GAGCTTAAAGTGTACCGGTTGTTTCTCACGGATTTCGTGTTCGACGTATCGAAATATTACCTTCTACCTTAATATATATTTTTTTTATTTTTAGTTCGAGTTCAACGAAAAATTCGAAACATTGCTATAAGAGACACCCTGTAGGATTTGTATATATTAATTCCCGAAAGACATGTATAGTGAAGACGTTAATCAGCGGCCGTATCGTCGGTTAAAATTAAAAGTAATTATTTGAGTAAGTTAATAAGTTATCTGGGGAAAATCTGAGGAAGCACGGTAGGCGAACGCTCTTACACTTTGCCCGGTTAATAACGAAAACTCTGCCTAGCAAAGTTCCGGAAGGCCGCGATTGCACCTGTGTGTACGCGAGTGCATCGTTTTCCGGCGATTCCCGCCCTGCTCGGGTCCCCAGAAAAAGAAATTACCGTCAGATTACACTCCAAACGATTTTGCAAGATTGTCCTACTTTTATCGGTAACAAAAATATTTGTCCACTCCGTATACTAAGTTTTTTGTTGTTGATTATTTCGGTTATTCCCTAAGGACTTTTTTTTGTTTTCTTTACACTATTTTAGATAATTTTTTTCAATAGGGAGTTTTCAGTTCGTTATCTCAACGCCTGTCCAGATGTTAAACGTTCGATTTTATTGAATAAAGATCGAAACGTGCGATGTTTCCCATTACTCTAATGAATAGTAATATTAAATGAACAAACACGAAAAGTAACATTCGGGCACCATACGCGACAAATGGAGTATGAATATACATTCGATGTACCAGTAGAACAGTGTGTGTGTGTATATGCCGGTGTTATCTCAATCGGTAGACAGTTGTGCCCCGGCTGGTAAACGATTGCAGCCAATCTGGCCGAATATCATCCATATGGCACCTATAGGATGGCTCGCAAATGGACCTTATGCTTCCATATAACAAATAACCGTTTGCGTTTTTCGTCATTTTATTATTGTGAGAATATCTGCCTAGCAGGTTTTTTATGACTCTCTTATATTGCCCGGAACTTTTACCCACGTTTGTAAAATTCTCCATATTTAGTTATCGCTGCTTATTTTTACTAGATTCGGCGGAATATCTAAATGTCTGACAACGTCGCATAATTTTTAGCTTAAATTCGGTATAAACTATACTCCGTTCGTCATCAGACAATGCATTTTCAATACAATTAGGAGCAAACGATGATGCAATTACAGCGTATCGACCACTGAAGATCACAAGAAATGTTTCATATACAGGGTGTTCATAAACATCGTGTACATCTGAAAGGGGGTGATTCCTTGGTTTATTTTATGACTAAAAGTTCATATAAACATAGATCCGCAAACGCTTCGTTATCAATCTACAGGGTGTTGAAATTTCAATTTTTTTTTTGGTTTTTTTCTTTGTAGCTTCTGCATTTTATGAGATATTTAGCTCAAATTTTGAATCTAGATTGCTTTATAGGGCAAACAATATTGGGTATATCAGATGATTGTTGAATTCTACAGGGTGATATTTTTTCAGGGGTCATCTACCCTTTTTTCCCCGGAACTTTTTTGCTGTGCGCCGCTGGTAGATTCTAAATTACAAAATTAATTGTCGGTTTTGTTTAGAAACTTTTTTTATTTTTAAACTTTTTTCGTTTCTGTGACCGTTATCGAGAAAAAATTAAAAATGATTTTCTGTAAAATTTCTGTAAAAAATCTTGAAATTTCAACACCCTTTAGGTTGTTTTAGGAACACCCTATATACTCCATTCGCCATCAGGATATCTAACTAAGATTCGATCTCATTACCATCTTCCGATGGCGAACGGAGTATAGTTTCAAACAAAAAAATGTAGCTACCTAATTTTGTACGGTGACTTCAAATTTCAAAAACATTTCGAAAAAAACCGACTGGTTATTTTCTTGTCCGTTTTTAACTTGTCTCTGCTTGTCCGCCGACTGACCGTATGTGTGCGATTGTCTGGATGTTCAACAGCTGTCGCGCGTCTAATCTATTTCGGTATATGAAAAAAAAAATCATCGGAATACGCAGACAGATTGCACCTATCAAAATTAACGATAATATTCTCGCCGTCTTGTATCAACTCGCGTGCGATATTTACTTTAGAATAAAGTACCTTTCGCGTTTATGTCACTCGAAGGAGCTTCGAAATCTCCTCAATACGTCTCTGTCGTTTCGACTATGTTTTAAGACAGAGGCGGATCCAGGCAAATTCTATTAAATAACGAGAGTATAAGTATTAGTAGACATGCCGTATAAATAACGTTGTGTAATAATCATTGAAGAAATTACGGTTTCAACGCGAGATTAGTTATCTTAGCATTAAAAATCGGGAAAAATTCTATAAATACGCGTTGGGAAGGCAGCTTTATGTATTCCGAATGGTCTACACCTGTTTCTAAAGTCTCGGAAAAGCCGCGGAAATCGATGGGGCACAGGTGAATATCACCCAAAAATATTGCGTTTGTCCCATCGAAAATAAACGTGGAGAAGATAAAATAAATAAATTCTCGAATTATTCCGTTTTTAATCTTTACGAGTAGAGCGAGGAATAGTTATTTATTTATACAAGTTGCTCCATTTTTGATCGCAACATAGGTTATATAGGCCATGGGTGCAATAAAGACAACTTCCATTAGACACTTATAAAGGAAAAGGAAAAAGTGACATTTGTGTCATTGCAACTTTTCACTCTGACATCTGTCATTTTAATAATCTTTCTTTGTCCCGCTCATAGAAATGACCATGTTACAATCGGAGATGGAGCAAGGTGTATATTCTGTATGTTGTCTACGTCCCTTAACCCCGGCAAATTTTCAAAAACAAACATACCCTTTATGTATCATCAATATCATTAGAGGAAATGTATACTGCATAATAGCATATCGAATTAAACGTATAACTAAATAGTACATATGCGAACATGTTGCTCCAATTGACCGGCCATGCTCGTCGAGATTCCGCTCTAGATAATGATTTATTCGTGAATGAGCGCATTATTATAATTTATAATGCGGACGACTCGCTGGAAATGAATGAAAACGAAACGAACAGTCGAACTTACTGTGGCGTATTTCCGTTCCGTCTCGGATATTTCGGATTTCGCGCCACTCCCGATTCCTTCCCGTTTTTATTTTCATTCATGTAACATGTAATTTATACCTGCGCTAATTTCAGGCAATTTTGGATGACAGTTGTAAGTGACAGATCTAGGTGAGAGATCTAGATGACAGTTTTAAGTGACAGTTCTAGGTGACATATCCAGGTGACAAATATGAGTGACAGTTCTAGGTGGCAGGTCTCGGTGACAATATGATCTATAATAATTTTTTAATATGCTCATTATTCCAAAGGTGAGTTTCGAAAACTTTACGCCCCTGTACGCCCCTGTTGATTCGATTTCGTTTAATCGACAGGACCGTATCCGGAAATATTCGAAAGCCTAAATTAAACTTGAGACAATACGAATTACTAAAAAATCGAATCAATTTCATCAAATACCGAATAGAAGCTGTAAATAATCCGATGTTTCTTTTCATCTCAGATATTTAACGGGTAGGTATTTTTCGAAATCCTCAGGTGTTTAAATCGAATGGGCGTGAATAAAGAGAAACAGCTTATGCGGCATACCGTCTAAAAGACGAAGAAGAACAACAATATGAAGAAGAAGAAGAAGGCGAAACTAAACCAGATATACACCTGTGTGACCGACTGAAACATGAATGGCACTTGAATAGAACCAACGCAGGTCCGTATTACTAATATTATTTCCCATTATTTTACACATTTCTAGTTAACAGACCTATGTGACAGATCTACGTGACAGGTCGATGTGACAGTTCTAGGTGACACATCTCGGCTACAGATCTAGGTGGCAGGTTTAGAGAATCAATTCAAAGTGACAGTTCTACATGACATTTACAAGTGAGAGTTCTTAAGACAGTTCTTTCAAGAATTGAGTCCCAAACGATCGAGAAACGTGTAAAAATTGAGCAAGAACCGAACATTTGAACGTTTCCTGGTAAAGTATACTGAAGTCCTCACCTGTACCAGGTGGCGACAGAGTGCCGGAGAATGCGGCAAATCTTATTTTACCTATAAAAGCCGCTTAGAATAATACGAGACACCTACGATTTCGACTAAAAAGCGTTCGAGCGATCCCTTCTCTAATCTACGCGACCGTTCGATAGATCTTTCTTCGTCAACACAACGCGCATTAGTTACGTAAACCTAAGTTGTTTAAACTTTTAACGAAGAATTAACGGTCGCATAAATTAGATAACCGATCGTAATGCGTCAAAGTTAACAATCATCATTTTGAAGATTCCCTACCCAAATTTTTCGTACAAATGGGTACATAATAAATTGGGACACTCTGTACATGAGGATATTGATAAGTTGATTTTTTTGCAAGTGGTGTAGTAAGTACATACAAGGCCTCCTCGATTTGTACAAAACACATAAAACAAAAATAATAAAATGGCGGGCAGCGTAGGTATGGAAATGAAATTCTTGGGCGTCTCGATGGGCCTTTTTGTTTGTGCTAAGAAAAGGCGATTTGGGGCGAGCATTTATCATTATTATGCTCGGAGAGCGGTCAAGCACCGGCGGCGCCTCCGAGTCGCCCGGAAAACAATGCCTCTGTCGAGACGTGACGTGTAAATGTCTAAGAGGCTCCATTACCTGTCCGTACCTGTCGAGGGAAATTATCCGAAATACGCTCGAATAGGGGTAAACCTGATTCGTTTCTATTGGTTTAGGATCCTTAAAATTCGTGGAATTATGTTATTAGAAGTTTTTAAATTATTTTTCTAATCGACAACCCAGCGCCACCTGTTAGATATTTCTGAACTAACTATCATTATAAAAAAGATCCCGCACTAGTGATGTGGTCCAATAACCAAAAAGCCGAGGCCTTAAAAAGAGGAAATAGTAATTATAAACAAAAAAGAAGAATATGACAAATCTGCCATCTGCCAACAATGTCAAATGAATTGTTTATGATCACTTTTTGAAAGTTTTATGCGTTGTTTTAGTGATGTTTTCAGTTTATAATAACGCAAATATACAATAAATTAATATGAAAAATACAAAAGCGATATTTAATAAGGAATTGGTGATACGAATACCGTTTAACGACTTCACCAATACTCCACAAGGAAAAAATGCGTCAGTCAAAACGGGATTGCAGAGGAAAAAAACGGCACAACAAGCGATTGGAAATTCAGGAAAAGTGCTTCAAGTGTTCGTTGAGAGAGCGAATTTCACTAAACAAATGGAGGTTAATAAACGAAGAACGCCTGTAGTGAAAAGGCTTAGGAAAAGAAATTCGAACGTACATTACGAAGAGAGGGAATCGAGTTACGAAGGAACTCCCTTGAAAGTGACGAAAACAAATACCAAACTGCCTATTTATAAACAAATTAAAATAGCAGAATCTAAAGAAAACTTGAAAGATCCCTATGCACTTGATGTATTCAACGAAAAACCTAAAAAACATCCCAAACAATCGACCTACTATGATAGAAGTATGCACGAAGAATTAGCTAGAATAGAAAAAAGGGAGAAGGAGAAGAAACATAAGAAAAAGAAAGAGCCAGTGAAAGGATACCAGAATACAGTAAACAACATCGTTAAAGAAGTTATGGAAAGAGTTAAGAAAAATCAAAATCAAAATTCAAATCTTAGCCCAGTTAAGAATAACGAAGTAAAAAAATCTAGCAGCCTACTGGATAACGAGTTGAATTTGAGTAAAAGCGAAAAGAACGAAAAGAAAGGATATGATGCTATAGTAAATTCAACCATCAAAGATATAATGGAGAAAGTGAAGAATCGTAAAACAAATACAACGAATAATTCAATCAATAAACAAAACGATAGTGTTATTTGTAAAGAATGCAAATCAAGTGGGCATCATGATGATAATACTGATGACAATTTGGAATCTGATGAAGAATTAAAGGGATTTGTAACAATCGATTCATTCGGATTAAACACATTCGACACTTCTAATCAATCCCATGATAATTTATCAGGTTTTGATAAACACAATTCCAGTCTCCCTAAAGCAATAAGTACACCAAGGATAAATATACTGAGCAATGTTTGTATAACAAACCGAAGAATGGAGAATGTTTTATACGATGCCAATAACACCATCGAGTTGGAGTTTTTAGATAAATCTCATTGTACCCTTAATACTACTCAATATACTGATGATACATGTGAATCTGACAGTGATGATTCTGAAGATGATCCTTATTTCGGATTTAAGGAAATGTCTACTGACACACCGGAAAAACCCAAAAGAAAAAGGACAATATTTGATGTAAGTTTACCCAAAGAGAGTAATTTTTAGGCAATGACGTCACTGAATTTAGCGAATCACAATACTTGATTGTTCCTCTCATTTATTTTAAGGGCCAACTAGATCTCAAGTTGAATAGTGACGTCATTGACAAATATTACAAATAATTTTTAACAATATTGTAGAGAACAAACTCTATAATAAGAATTTATTGCAGGAAACAACATTGCCTTGTCGATTCGGAGGAAATTTCACACGAAATCCCCATTGGCTGAGAATAAAATCAAACGGATTACCCGCGGTAGATCAAGAAATGATTATTGATGAAGAATTTGCAAAAAGAATTGAAGGAGCCTTTTCGAATAATTCGAAACCTGAACAAATACCCGAGAAACATCTCGTACAAACTTCAATGAACGATTTCTTGGAAAACAAAGAGAATAATTTATTAGATACATCGAAATCTTCAAAACGATTGAGTTTGTTTGATTGTGATGATTTCGATTTAACCAAATCCCCTAAAATACATCACAAGAAACATGTTTTAAAGGAATGTTCTCAAGTTTGTTCCACGCCGAAGGAGAATCTTCGATCGAGAGTAATTCCATCACCTCATGTATCCTTTATATCTTCGAGTAATGAAGATGAAAATAATGTAAATGTGGAGTTGGAGGAAGATTTGCATTTGTTCGAAGAAGTCGATGCCGATAAGAAGACAGATTTCTCTATTAAAATTGTAAGATGAATATTTCTTTTTTTTATTTATAATTTTTATAACTATATCTATTATTATTTATCTAGCCGATCATGACTTATGCGAAGAAACCTAAGAAAAAGCGGGCCGTGGAAGATGAGGAATATACGGAAAAACCGGCGAGTCCGATTAAAAAGAAAAAGAAAAATGCTATGACAAAAGCTGAGGTAATTAATCTTTTATCGCTTGTGCGCTGCGCGAGCTCGACTAGTTCGTTTCTAATAATAGATTATTTTATATTTGTTATAGGAAGCCGCATTCGAGAAGTGGGCCGAGGAAACAAATGCCGCATTTTCAGAGGTTGATAAATTCGAATTGACCATTTTATAAGTTTTGCTTTATTTTTATTGGAGTTTATTTTTTTACGTGCCACCTTATTACAGAATGGCAAATTTGTACTTGCATTTTTGCATGTAAATATTTTCTTACATTTGATAACATGAATATAACTTTTATTTTTATATATATTATAGTTGATCTGATGATTTAATACAAATTACACATATATTAGTGAGATTTCCTTTATTTAATTGGCTGAACAATTTAATTTCTTGAACAAAAATCAAACTAGCTGTAAATTCGAAATGGCCTTTTATTTTGTATGCAATGTAATTTATATAAAAAAGAAGAATCTAAGAGATTGACAGTGACATTTCAAAATTAACTAACCTCTATTTATATAGCAGAAAAACCAAACGAATTTATTATTTTTACAGTTTTAAAACAGCATAATCCGTTAAACCTACCAATTTTCATGTATCAAAAGTGAATAATTCTCCGATTAAAAAATTCCCACTAAATGGCCGCCATTTTGTGTTTACCAATTTATTTAAACTAAAAACCGTATTTAAAAATGCTAGAAGGCCTTGTCGCCTGGATTTTGAACACCTATTTAGGCAAATACATCGAACTAAACACAGATCAATTGAGCATAGCTCTATTATCAGGTAAATAAATCCATTTTTACAATCTTTAAGTAGCACTTTCAATCGATCGATTTGTTTACAGGTAAAGTGGAATTAGAGAATGTACCGTTAAAAAAGGAAGCTTTAAGACACCTGGGATTCCCTGTTGATATTAAAACGGGCTTTATAGGAAAAATAGAGCTGCAAATACCCGTTAGACAAATCCGATCAGCTCCCTGGATAATTATTATCGAACAGTTATGTTTTGTTGCAAGTCCTCTATCAGTGGATCAGGTAATTATTTTAAATACCTCAATTAGCTTAATTTAAAACGAGTAAATAAATGTTTTGTACAATTTGCTACTAATTGGTGTTTAATAACGGTTGTTATTTATTTTAAGTGGGATTCCGAGGCGGAAGTTCTATCGAAACACGAAGCCAAACTGATGGCTTTGAATTCAATCGAAGCCGAATGGAGATTGGAAAAAGACTTGGCCGGCTACAATTCATCTTCCTCTTATTATTCTTCGACATATTCCTCTTGGTACAGTTACGGCACCGGACTGATTACGGAAATTATGGAAAACTTACAGGTAAAAGACCATCATGAGTAATAGCGAGTTCGGATCTTACAAGAAAACATGCAAGTAAAAGGCCACCTAATTAAAAATCTCTTTTTGTTTCCAGTTGAAAATCCAGAATATCCACGTGAGATACGAAGATTGCACAACTGTGCCGGATCAGAAATTCGCCTTCGGCATCACATTGGGCTCCCTGATAGCCCAAAGTTGCGATCACAATTGGTTGCCCAAATTCATCCATAACAACGACACGAGCGAGGAGTCCTTCAAAATCCTGGAAATCAAGGAATTCGCATTGTATTGGACGGGTATAAACGAAGGAGAATGCCTGGCCGGCCTGGATTTATCCGGATTAGCCGTACGTAGGTTTAGCCTGATTTTAACAACGCCTATTAAGTATAGATTGGGATAAAATGTTAACCTCTTTATAATTCATTTTTCCAGGAAGAAATGGGCAAAAACAATTTGAAAAAATACACGAAAAACTTCCTTCTACCACCCGTAAGCGCCCAAGCTCATTTGAAACGCAACAAAAGCTCGAAAGCTTTGAGATCATCGACCCCTAGATATTTCTGCGATTTTCTACTAGAAGATGTTCATTTATCAGTATTAGACGTAAGTTTCGCTTCATTAATATTATTTAAAATGATAACTAATAGTACAAAAATTCCAGTGGCAGTATAAACAATTGATAGGCTGTGTAAGAGGCTTGCAGGACTTGAACAGGATCAGGAATTACAGGCGTTTCAAGCCTCTGAATCCCGTGGAAAAGGACCCTAAAGCCTGGTGGTTTTACGCCGTAAGTTGCCTTTACCCCACTGGCGAGCAGCCAAGTATTTGCAGGCCGAAACCCACTTGGGAATCCTGCTCGAAAAGGGCCAGGGACATCGTTAGATACGTGAAAATATGCGGGAAAGTGCTGACAGCGCCCTCTGTTACTTTATCGGCCGACGAGAAGAAATTCAAGGAGGAAATCGAGTGGGCTATGGGCTACGAGGAATTGAAGACATTAAGGAAGGTTTGTTATTGTACGATTATTTATTCGATAAATTAGTATCGCATGTTAATTTGCAGTTGGCGATGGATTCAGTGAGGCTGCCCCAATGGGGTTCCACCGATAAAGCAAGAAATACTCTAGTAAAATGGTTTCCGAGCTGGATGGGCTGGTACGGCAATTCGGGCGAAGGCCGTTCGAAAGAAGAAACCGATTTGGAAGGGGAGATTTTAGAAGTTCTGGCGAATTCCGCCGATAACGTAAATTATAGGAGAGATGTTGTCCTTGGAAAACTCCATTTTTGCCTCAAAACCGGCTCGTTGACTTTGAGACGTTCCTACGGCAAAATGGCCGACGACAGGTAATGAATCAACTTGCTCAAAATGTTCTCTAATAACCCCTCCATCGTTTTTTTCCAGCACCTCCATGTTGGAAATGGAGTTCGGCAATTTCGTGTTGGGATTTCTGAGCAAGCCCCGCTTCGATTCCTACGCCATCGAGTTATCCTTGGACTCTCTATATTTAAAAGATAAAATCAACGCCGATACGATGTTCCCGATCGTAATAGCCCCGTCGGGGCTGGAGAGGCTGTTGTCGATGCAAGTCAGAGGCCAAGACAGAAAAACCAGCATGGCGAGCAAACAGGAATTCATCAAGAGGCATTTGTTTTATTTGATGTACGAAAAGAGAACGAACAATTCGAGGTAAGCGTGTTAGAGTGAATGGAAAATATGTTTTTTTTCTCTATATAATTCTCTTTTTTTGCAGATTAACAGTAAAATCGGAAAGTCTCGACATCGTGTATCAACCGGACGTCATCAAGTGGTTCATGGAATTCGTTTACCAGCCTCTTTATAGCCCCGCAGTAGCCCCGATTCAAACCCCGATAAAAACCAATACCAAGATAGAGCTGATGAAGAACTGGGAACACATCATATCCGCCGGAAAGGTATATTAATCGTATCAAATCGAGCGATCGGGTACATTCCGGATGAATTTTCCAGGTATCCAGATCGGCGTGGGAACTGGAATTCGACATTACGGCGCCTCAAATTATATTCGTCGAGCAATTTAGCGAGCAAAATAGCCCCATGGCCGTCGTGGATTTCGGTAAATTGCACTTGAAAAGTAACGTTAGACCGGACAGAGCAGAAAACACTAATACGAACATAGACATTTCCGAAGGAAAAACCAGCGAAGAGGACGGTAATTTAATTTAATTTAGCCTCACAAGTCCCGTTAAATAGCCTCATAATATGATGACATTGTGAGGATAATGTTACCTTATTAGGAGGCTTGTTAATGGGTGTTTGTGAGTCTAGGTTTAAAAGCCTCATCAAATTATATTTGTAGAAACGTATTTAACGCCTTGTTCAACGCCTCCCGTCAGCGAAGAAAGCCTCTCTGTCGATCAAGAGCCCGTTTTAACGGAAGATTTACTGCTAACGAATCAACCGACTTTGAACGAAGAAAATCTTCATTCGAAACTCTACGATACTTACAATTTGGAACTGACCGATTTGCAAATATTAATCGGCCGGTTAAAAGATAACTGGCGGTTCGCGCTTAACAGGGGCTCGTCGAATTTGCACGTCATCGATAGGTTTTGCATTTCGGTGCAAATCGAAAGGAGATTGGTGAGTCGTTTCGAATAATCTTCGAACTTTCGAGTGGCTGTAGAGCCTTTATTGTGCGAAATAAATGTTAAGTGTAAGGGCTTTTTGGAAAGAGCTTGAAGAGACGATTTCAACGATGTGCTACACTTGGTATTTACAACGGATAATAAAGTAGCTAGATTGATTTTTAGATATTTGTATAATACAGGGTTGGTCAAAAATTCAAATCGGAAATTTTTAACTATCCTGTATGAAATAATTTTATACGCTACTAGATAGGATTTGAGAAGTTGGAATAGGGACCTACTGGTCGTTTTATCTCCATATTCAGCTGTTTAGCTCTTAGAGAAAGCTGAAAATTCGAAAATAAATCCACATTTTCAAGTGGCTGTAAATCCTTTACTGTTCGAGGTACATATAAAGTGTAACATCTCTTTGGAAAGAGCTCGAAGAGACGATTTCGACGATGTGCCACACTTGATGTTTATTATGGAAAATAAAGGAATTACAGCGATTTTTAGAACTCTGCTTAATACAGGGTTGGTCAAAAAATTCGTTGTATCACAGTTAAGGTTCTGCAGCCATTTGAAATTTTTTTCAATTCGTTTTTAGTTTGCAACGGCCGATCCGCATTATCCTAATTTCATTTTGAACGCCCACCTTCCAAAATTGGTGACCCACATCAACGAACTCAACATGCTATCGGCTTGTAACTTAATCGAAATGATATCCAAAACTTTGATAGTGTTCAAAATCGCCGCCAATACCACAATCGGACAATCTACCGACGAACCTGGTAAGGAAAATTTCAATAAATCAACCAATCGAATTTTTCAAATAAATTTCCGCAGACGCCCCGACCTCGCAAGAGCCCCACGAAGACGACGACGACGACCCCGTCGCCCACCTCATCACCACCCAATTCTTCATCGATCAAATGTCCTTGGAGATTCAGAGCAGGGGCAGGAGCATAGCCGAATTGCAAATAGCCGGCGTCAAAGCCTCCTTGTCGAAGAGGCCGCACCACACGAGCCTCACCTTCACCTTGCACAGCCTCCTGCTCGTCGACGCCCTGCAGACGTTCGGCGCCGATTTCGAGCTGCTGATGGCCAGCCACCGGCATTTGGGCATGGATTCGCTGTCGGGCAGCATCAGGGGCAGCGAGCCCCAATCGCCCGTTTCGCCTGCAAGCCCCTGTCCGGGCGGGGGCGGCGGGCTCTCTTCCAGGAGTGGGATTTGCGGGGCCGACGGGGCTACGTCCCCCACCGATCTTACGAGGGTGAGCGATTGGAGTTGTTTAAACGATGATTTAGAGCTCTAAAGGGGGTAATGGGGCGAACGTGGGGTTCATTGTTATGATGTGGATTAATAGAGGATTTTTGTGCAGCTGCTGTGGGGCTGATACGGGTTTTATATGAGGCTAATATAGAGCTTGTGATTAGAGATTAAGGGATTATAATGTAGAGAAATTACTGTAGTCTTAACGTGGAAGCGGGGCTAATGATTTTTTTTTGTTGGTAGGCCTTGAACACGTTAGCTACGTCAGTGACGTCTCCTATGGACTTCTTGGAAAACACGGAGGCCTTGATTTCTATTGAAATTCAACTTGTCACCGGTTCGACGTCAATGCAAATTGTCAACATTCAATTCAACAATTTGGATATTATTGGTAAACGAATTAGTCTTATTTTTGAAATATTACAAATGAAGTTTTAACCTAATTTTTTGGAAAGTGTCTTTAATGTAGTTTTTTTTTCATTTCGCAGCCAATCAAGAGACTTTGGTGGAATTGGCGGGTTTTTTCAAAAGGATTTTCCCGGACAATCGAAGACCCTTGGAATCCTTGATGAAAGTTCAAAAATCGGCGGAGTCCTTGCTCGAGGAGTCGATGAATCCTCGGGGAAACACCGAAATTACATTTGATTTTCACCGTTTGAACGTTCTTCTATTGAGAGGTAAAACGTCCTTGAAGTAATCCTCCAATTATCCTTGATTAATCCTTGAAAAATATTTCAATTCTTAAAAATGTCTCCTTGAGAAATGCTCAAAAATGTCCTTCAATCGATTCATCTGGTAATAATCCTTGTTTCCACAGGAGCCTTAAAAGACGGCAAATTATACGGCAGAAAAATCGGCACGGCTACGATAACACAGGCCAAAATCCAAGCGACGATAAACCCGAATTTCGTCCTCGAAGGGTCCTTGGGCAGCTTCCAAATCCTCGATTTAACCCCTCAAGGACGAATCCATCAAAACATCCTCAGTATCGGCGACAGCCCCAACAATTCGCTGGAACATTCCCGTTTGTATCAGGACGAAATCGAGAAAAAACCGGCCTTCAGTTTCAGGACGAAATCCCGCGAATCCTGCAGGACTTGCATCGACATTCGTATGGCTTCGGTTTGGTACACTCATTGTCCTTATTTCATACTAGAGTTGAAGTCCTGCGCCTCGGAATTTGAGGTTTACCTCACGAATTTGGCCAAAACTATCAAATCCTTCGGATTGGCTACGATAAGGACCGAGTCCTCGACAAGGACTCACAGCGCACCGTTTACGCCTACTAAGAAATTGTATTACAAGGACTCCTCGCCTTATAGTCCTTCCGATGGTAATTTCGGGATTTTCAATGCGGACATTAACGTGGAAATGGACAGTCCTGTCATTATCCTGCCGAAAAACAGCCTCAGCACGGAGGTGTTCGTCCTGCATTTGGGCAAAATCACCGTGAACAATCATTATCCTGGCGAGAATACGGAATTTTACAACGTCGAAATCAAGGATATGAACATTTTCTCGCTGGATATCGAAAAAAGGACGAAAATCCTCGAACCTCAAATCCTTTATAATTGCTCTAACGAAGCCAAACCGATCCTACACGACACCGTTTTGCTCCTGAAAATCGAACGGGAATTTTCCCATCAGGATTACAATTATCCCGACGAAAAAAGGACGATTATCCTTCGAATAAACGCCAGTATTATAACGGCCTTGAAAGTGTCCTTAACAATACCGCAATACAGGCAAATGAGGCAAACATTAGACTGGCTATCTTCGATTAATTACACCAATCAGGAACAGGACCTTCCGGCAGGACCTTACATAAACGACGTCATCAAGGACGGAGACGTTGGTACATTAGAAATGGACCCTCAGATTCGCGCCAAATTATTCCTGCCCGATATCCTCAAGGATAATACCGTACATCATTCCATTCAAACCGAATTATCCTTCGACATATCCTTGTTCACCGTCGAACTCAAAGGATCTGATCGAACTTTGGTCAACGTATCCTTGGCGGATTTCGCTTTCGTTTACAAAAAACACGAGGAATTCGAGGCCAATTTACGAATATCCTTGAGATCCTTGCTGGTCGAGGACCTTCAGCGACCTATTAACAGCAAATACAGGATCATAGCGGCCTCGTCCTGCGACAAGGACTCTTCGAACAGCCACGTTAAAGTCTCCAAATCGTGTCCCGTGGTCAGTTACTCGAGTTACCCGAGAAGAAGAGGCTCTAACAGCTCGCTTCCCGATCACTTAGAGCAGGATAGGATGTTCGGAGGGGACTCGGATGAGGCTTTTCCTCACACGCCTCCCTCCAGTCCTATAGCGGGACAGAGGCGGGGCTCGGGCGAGGCTTACTATCAAAGGCGCTCGCCTAGTACAAGCTCTTTATGGGGCTCAGATGAGGCTTATCCTCACCCAAAGGATAGCCAAGGCGAAAGATTAGATTTTGGATCGAGTGAGGATTATCCTCGCAAACATCCGAGACATCGTCCCGTCGAGAATTTAGTCATTATAAGCGCGGTTTTGGTGGATCCTGGGGCTCCGAATTTCCAGGATAACTACTCTAGCTCGACTACGGTGGATTTCAATTGCCTGGACCTCGTCCTTAGCCCGGAATCCTGGATCCTGTTGCTCGATTTCTTCGATTATTCCCCCGAACAAACCCCTAAATCCTTCGATAGTTCCGCGCAGGCGCGGAAAAAGGATAAGAGCCTAACGAATATTAACGTGAGATCCTTGACGATCGTCCTTGTGGAACAGGACAACGAAATAGCCAAGGCTAACGTGTCCGACGTGGAAATTGGTGTTAAAATAACGGAGTTGGCGAAGGAAATTGAGGCTAGTTTGGGGTATTTGTCCTTGCAGGATTTGACGTTTGACGGGCGGCTGTACAAGGATAGATTCCTGACGTCCGGTTCGCATCCCGTGCATTTCGAATACACCAGGCAAGGATAATCGGAGAATATCCTTGACGATTCGGGCGCTTTATATATTTTCATATTTTTAGGTATTATAAAGGGGCTAAAAAAGGACACGACGCGGAGTTGTCCTTGCGAATGACGTCAGTGATCTACGTGCATACGAAGAGGTTCATTGCCGAGGTCCTGGCTTTTTTCCAGACCTTTTCCGAAGCTAGGACGAAGGTCCTTAAAGGTTTTCGCAAACAAACAGTAAGTTAATTACAATGGAGATATGGGGCTAATTTTTTGAGGCGTATTTGTGTATTTCTTTTAGACACAAGCCGATCCTTTGAAACTACTACTGAGAATTGAGGCTAAAGCCCCCGTTATCCTTCTACCGGTCAGTTCGTCGTCCTTGCAATTAATCGTAATCGACTTGGGCCAATTGAAGGCCAGCAATTCTTTTAAACTAGCAGGAGACGATGGTACGCTCGTCCCGCAGGATAATCGCTCGGGATCTTCGCAGGACCTTACGAGGCGAAGCCTCCTGGACGTAATGACCGTATATTTGGAACATACGGATTTGTATATGGGCGTCAAAGGAACGGAAAAAGATAGTCCTCCGAAAAGGACGAAATCGGGATGTTGGAGGTTCCGGAAAATCGGCCCGTCCTTACTGAGGGAAAAATTCGAATTGAAGTTGCGAATCCAAAGAAATTTGGATATTTCTCTGGCCAGATCGTTGCCGGATACGAGCATTTACGGGGAATTGTCCACGCTGGATATAGCCCTGGATTCGGACCAGTACAGGACGATTAGAGGCCTTTTGGCGCTCAATTTGGGCGAGGATACCGAGAGGATATATCCTTCTATACCGAGGAAAAACGAGGTAAGTTTTGGGACTAAAACAAGAGATTTATCTAACATAATGAGTGGGGTTAAAGCTACTTAGAGTGGAGTTAGAGCTTTAAAATTCGGCACACGTAAGTGCCACATTAAAGCAACTTTAAAAGTCCTTGAAAAGGTCCTATTTCTAGCCAATAAATCCTCGTTTCAGATCGAGAACATCAAAGATTGGACGTTGCTCTTCATCAAATTGGACTTGCAAAACGTGAATATATCCCTTTGGAAATCGCACGAGGACAATTCCAAGCTGGCCTGCGTGAGCCTCATCAAATCCCATCTCACGATCGAAACGTTCAGCAACTTCTGCCAGGACATCGATCTGGTATCGAAGGAGATCCTCATCAAGGACATTCGCGAGGACGCGAACGATTCGGGCAGGAAGAGGAACGTGTTCGGCAACATCCTGGAGCCGATCGGGCTCGCGCAGCAAGTCCAGGCGGAGATCCACACGCGCAAGCGCAAGAACTTCGCGCAAACCACCATCTTGTTCAACGACATCAAGCTGATGGGGATATTCGATTGGTGGGAGGAGTTCCTGCGGTTCGTCGGGCAGGATTTCGAGAACGCCGAGAGGAAGATCCGGAAAGGGGGTCCTTCGAAGCCGGAGGAGAATCCTTCGGAGTACGAATTGAAATTGAACATCACCGATTCCAATGTGATCATCGTGGAGGATTCGTCGCGGTGTAACAGCAACGCGGTGATTTTGAAAGTACGTGTGTTTAATGCGGGATATTTTCGAAACGGGTCGATGGATTTTTTGTCGAAATAGCTCGGAGTGTTTTCGAAAGATTGCTCTATCGTTTGCTTTAAACCGGGAGTTGAGGAAAATTGTTTGACAAGAGTTATGGGGTAAAGGAAATTCGCCTTTGCTACGGTTACTTACGATTTTCTACGTTTATCTCGAAAACTAGAATTTTTCAATGCTCGAGGTGTGAATCAAACGATAGAGCGGCCCTTAGAGGACATTTTGAGCGATTTTGAAAAAATCCACTGGACATTTTTCGAGAAAAGTGGAAAAAATACTAAATATTACTTATTTTTCTAGAGTACGACAGTTTTGAATTACAAACCTTTCGGACCTTCGAAACCTCTCACGTGCAATTTGAACAATTGCGAAATGTTCTCGTGCATTTTAGGCCTGGAGGAGGAAACTGCCTTATCCATAATTGATCCAGTTACACTCAATCTGGATATCAATCAGGACGGTATTTTAGAGGTAATTTAATTCAATAAACATACAAATTTAAAGCGAATTCGAGTCAGGTATGTGCTTGATTTGGGGGCAAATTTTAGCCATATGTGAGCCAAAATTCACCAAATTTAAGCCAGTTAGTTAGACGAGCGCAAATTTAATTTAGATTTGAGCCAAATTCGAATAATATTTGTGACTAATTTTAGTCAAATTTGAGCCAAATTAGAGACCAAAATTACCTTATTTCAGGTGCAATTGCAATCGATGACTGTCAGATTGTCCTATCACGATATGTGCATGTTCATGAAAATCCTGAATTCCCTGCCAAAACAATTGATTTCTTCGAAAAACCAAGACCAACTAGACCCGCACGAAAGTAAGTATAAAAGCGTCCAAAACGAAACTAAAAAGACACTCAATTGGTCCCAGAATGGGGCTAAAATAGGGAAATATCAAGGCTAAAAGAATTCTCGGTTTACCGCCCTTATTCCATTTTACATTCGACCTTTTAATTTTAGATCAAATAGCAGCCTTAAGTAGCCTTGGATTCTCTCCGGAAGCCTGCGAAATAGCCTTGGAAGTTTGCTCGCAGCACCTAGACGAGGCCGCGCTTTGGCTGACCAATAACAAAAACCCAGATTTAGAGAACAAACCCGGGGATTCCCTGCAAATTAGAGCCATTGACGTACGTACTGAGCAAAACTTAGAGCCTCGTTAAACGACAATTTATGAGCTTTTATTTAAGGCTTTTTTTATGTTTTTATGAGCAGTCTTGTTGCCTTTGGGAACCTCATTTTTCAGCATTTTCAGAGCCCAATTGAACCATTTTTTGCTTCGTTTTAGATCGATGCAAGTTGCATTTCATTGTGCATAATCGACGATTGCGGCGACTCCGACGTACCTCTGTTAGAGCTAGCTCTAAGCGATTTGAGTTTAGAGCAAAATTTCGATGTGGTTAAGACCTCTTCTAAAGGCTCCGTTAATTGCACTCTTTCCATGGATTACTACAACAGGGTTTTGTCCGGCTGGGAACCTATGTTAGAGCCTTGGAGGTAAGTTTTTCATTAGCTCTATTTTTTCGATTTTAATATAGCAATGAGAAATTCACAAGTAATTTGTTGGTATTTTTGTGCAAGTATTTTTGGCTATTTAATTGAGTATTGTCGGTCATTTTTAATGAGTGTTTTTGGATATTTAATTGAGTATTTTTTGGTCACTTTAATGAGCATTTTTGTTAATATTAATGAGTATTGTTGGACCCTTTTTGAGCAGTATTTGTAGTCATTTTATTTAGTAGTATCTCCATAAGCATTTTTACCATATCTCCATACCAAATCGCCATTTTAACAATTTCATTAATTCCCCCAACGTCAGGTGCTCCTTGGAATGGTCGCGACTCGCCCGGAAAACGCCCCAATCGAGCAGGCTATCCATAAAACTGGATTCGCAGGAAAATCTCGACGCCAACTTGACCTCGACCTGTCTCGAGCTCTACGAGCAAGTGAAGCTCAGTTGGCTGGGCGATTGGCGGGACAGAGACAAAACGAACGCGGAACAATACGACGAGAACGAGAAGGAAGAGGAGGAAATCCAATTTTCCGCGGCCAACTTGACCCGAAGGTCGCCGTTCGTTCCGTTCGCATTGAAAAATCGCACGGGCGCCAATTTGCGATTTTCCACGAACGTTTGCGAATGGAACGACTACGATTCGATGTTGATCGGCGGAAATTCCGAGGAAAATTGGACCGCCGTCAAGGCGGGGGAGACCGTCAATTTTTCCTTTACTAGCAGAGGTATTTTTTTATTTAAATTTTGGCGTTTAAAATGGGGCTTTAAGTGGATTTTAAAGGTGTTTCAATAGGACTGTAGATGGGGTTTAAAAAGGATTTTAAAGGGTTTTAAAATGCCTTTAAAAGTGTTTAAAAAGCAAGGGGGTAAAAAAGGACTTAAGGAGGTTTAAAAAGGCATTTAAAAAGGTTAAAAAACGACTTTAAAGGCCTTTAATGGGATCAGATAAAAGGACTTCTAAGGGTTTAAAAATGCCTTTATAGGTGCTTAAAAAGCAAGGGGGTTAAAAAGGACTTTAAAGGGGTTTAAAAAGGACATTAAGGAGGTTTAAAAAAGCCTTTAAAAAGGTTAAAAAACGACTCTAAAAGGGTTTAAAAAGGCTATTTAAAGGATTACAATATCAATTGTAATTATGTTGAAGGTCTGTTCTAGGCAATTTTCTGATATTTTTTAAATATTTCAGATAAAATAAGGCACCGGAATTCGCACAAAATGCGCATGCACCAACTGAAAGTGAAAATAGACGGTTGGAATTGCTCGGAACCCGTGACAGTCGATAAAGTTGGAGTATATTTCAGAGATACCTGCGCTGAATTCAAAACTAGGGTAATTCTTCTTCTTTTTTAACCGTAACTTTTCTCAGAGAATTCTCCAGAGCATATATGATAGAGCACCCATTAGAAAACATTCCTAGCAATTTTTTTTCAAAAACTCTCGGAATCATTATCCAGAAAACCTCAATATTCACACTAGCTACTTTTCCAGACTTCCACCCTTCCGCACGCCCGGATCGTCTTCGACGTCACTCTGGAAGGCTCCGCCAGGAAACTGATAACGATTCGGTCGGCTCTATTGCTCGTCAACAATCTACCGAGAGCCATCGACGTGAAGTTAGAGAACAAATTGCCCAACAACGATTCCGCGGCCAACTTTTGGGTGGCCAATCAATTTTTCACCGTAGGAAAGAACGAGACTCTGCCGGTTCCCCTGGATCACGCGCACTCGCTCATCCACATCAGGCCGTTCCAGACGCCGCAGCAGTTTACTTATTCGTTTCCGGGGGTTTCCTGGACCGAAATGTCTTACGGTTTCGACAGGATTTATCGAATCGGGACTTGTCATTCGCACAAAGGGGAGAATTACAGGTAAGTGAGGCTTATTGAGGCTGAGTGGTGACTAGTTAAGGGTTTTTATTTTGTAGATTCTATACGGAAATAGTGAAACAGGGTCTACTAACGCCGTGCAGAGGAAAATTGGATCAACCGGCTCATACGATTTACATTTTACCGGTTATTATAATCGAAAATTTACTACCGGTCGATTTGCAATATTCGATATTCGAGCAGAAGGGGCTGATCAAATCCTGTTCTAGCGCTACTATTGAAAAAGTAACTAATTTCACAATTTTCGATTTTTTTTTAATCAATTGTTGTTTTGTAGGTCGTCTCGGAAAATATCGAATTGAAAATAGAATTGGAGAATTTCCGCGCTTTGAACAGCATATTTATACCGAGCGATTGCTCGAGCGGGTTCAATTGCAGGATCAAAATGGAGGATAAAAGGAAGAGGAAATTGAATTTGTCGGGTCAGGTGATGGTGAATAACGGGGCTATGTTTAAAATATCGATTTCCGCTCATTATTGGATCGTTAACAAGACTGGATTGCCATTGGTTTTTAGGTAATTTGGGGTGGTCTCGCTTGCTTCTGAAGCTCGAAATGCAACTCTATGAAAAAAATGGGAATATCTCGATAATTAGTTAAAAGTCGTAGAGAAAATGTTTCTCTACGACTTTTGAAGAATGTAATTTTTCAAAAATTGGCTAGTTTTTGAGATATATCGAATTTTTAATGGATCCTTCAGAAATTTTCAATATTAGTGTAATTCGATAAAAAAAACAAGAATATCTCAAAAACTAGTAGAGATAAAAAGCTCCCCTTTCGTTAATTTGAATAAAAAAGGCTTCTCTACGGTTTTTAAAGGACCGAAAATTTCCAAAAACCGCCTAATTCTCGAGATATTTCGACTTTTTACTCTCATCGTATGACAACCATTTAACTAGTATAAATTATGTACCACCCAGACAATCTGGCACTTCCATGGAAAGCGCTGGACAATTCGACGAACACGAACAGGCCAGGATGGTGGGACCTCTGATGTTCAGCTTTTCAGATCAAGGGGCTAGCCCCACAGTAAACGCGAGAATCGGCAACAGGGTCATTTGGGACGGTACACCACAGGTAAGCATCCCATATAAAACTTCACCGTTACTGCTTTCCCACAGGGATTCAATCCCTCAGAATTGTCTCCGAGTCTCCTTCAGAAAATCCCAACAGTATCCCTCCAGAAGCTTCCTCCTGAGGAGCTTCTTCCACAACATTCCTCCAGGTCTCCTTTCAAGATTGCCTCTAGCTTTCCTCTAGAAGACAACCTCCCAAATAACCTCGCGCCATGTTTTCCAGTGGTGCGCCAATTTCCACGTCCAAAAGGGCACGCAATACCGCAAACTCCACGTGACCCTGAGAGACGGCCGGCCGGACGTCGTCTTCACCGTGGGTCTGGAAGTCCGACAAGGCAGAGGCAAATACCGATCGACGAACATCCTGACAATATCGCCGAGGTATCGCCTGTACAACCGCACCTCCTACAATCTCCTGGTCGCCCAACGTTGTTTCGCCAAAGAAACTCGCCAAACCCCATCGCCTAGATCGTGCTTGAAGTCCGTGAAGAACAGCCACATGGCTTTCCATTGGCCGAATCTGGAGAAGGAGCAATTGTTGTGTTTGTCCATAGAAGATGTCCAGGATTGTTGCTGGTCCGGCGGATTGGACATCAACGATAACAATTCAATGCACGTGAATATCAGGTAAACGAAGGAGTCCTCTCGATTTTCTCTTCTAAACAACATCGTTTATCGTTCGCAGAGACTCTCTAGGCGGGGCCTACTTCCTCCGCATGGAGGTCACCTCGCAGGGGGCCACTTCGGTGGTGGTTTTCACCGACGCCGATCACCTGCCGCCGCCCCTTCGGCTGGACAACTTCTCCGAGGTGTCGCTGATGTTCGGCCAGGCGTGCCACGTCGATGTGGCCCACAGCACGGCGCGCGCCCATTCGAGCGTGCCCTACGCCTGGGACGAGCCCCACGGCGAGCACCTGGTGAAGATCATCGCGCCCGGCGGCGTTTCGAACGCCTACGCCACCGCCGCTTTGGGACCGGCGCCCGGCTTGACCTACGAGAATTTCATCTACGTCGCCCTGACGGGCACCTTCAGAAGGTGATTATGGGAACGCTGAAGTTTAACACATCAACAGCGATCGTGTGTACAATAAATGCACCGTACTGTGTACAGATAAGTGCAAATTTGTACGCGATATGGTCAATTCAATGAGTTGAACAAAGGAAGATTATTAAGATTATCTAGTTAGAATAAGAATGTTGCAATCCCACAACATCGCTCTTTATTTTTCCTTTATAAGAGTCGAATGGGAGTTGTCTTTGTTGCATACATAGACCATATTGCGTTGAAATTTGCTTTTTTAGGAGAAAATGTTTCTCTACGATTTTTGGAGAATGTAAATTTTTCGAAAATTGCGTAGTTTTTGGTATATATCGAGTTTTTAAAGGATCCAACAGAAATTTGCAATATTGGTGTAATTCGATGAAAAAACAAGAATATCTCGAAAACTAGATGAGATAGAAATGTCTTTTTACTTTTGTATCGAAGAAAAAGGCTTCTCTGCGTTTTTTGAAGAATGAAAATTTTTCGAAAATTGCGTAGTTTTGGAGATATTTCGAGTTTTTAAAGGATCGTACAGAAATTTGCAATGTTGCTGTAATTCGATGAAAAAACTACTTTTGAAAATCTCGAAATCTCTGTCTCTCGAAAATCTTTCGGATTGACTATCGTCGTTCTTCCCCTGTACCCTTTCAAACGCTCGTCATCGTTGCAGGAGCAACAACAACAACAACAGGGGTCACTACGAGCAGGAGGGCGAGCACCAGGACCTGGTGCTCGACGTGACGAAGCGCAACCGCGTCGTGACGGCGACGAAGGTGGCCGGCGGGCGGTCGCAGCTGTGGCGGATGACGCCCGACGGCTACCTGGAGCACGAGGGCAGCCGCCCGCCGAGGCATCCGCACCAGGCGCGCCAGCTCGGCGATCTGCTCGTGCTGGACATCGAGGATACGGCGCCGCAGCCGGGCCGTTGGTCCAAGTTGGCGTTGCGAAGGGCCGATCCGAGGCGGCGGTCGACGCAGCGGTGGCGGTTTACGGGGGACGGGCGGTTGAGGTGCGATCATCACAACATGTGCGTGCAGGTGGTGGACGGATTGAGAGCAGGTATGATAATTGTATTGGGGTTTATAGGAGTCTTCTTTAGAGGACACCTAGAAACCTGGAGGAATTGAAGAGATCTGGAGGAATCCTAGAGATCTGGAGGAATCCTAGAGACCTGGAGGATTTTTGGAAGAAACTTAGACGAATCATGGAAAAAACTTGTAAGAATCATAGAAGACACTTGTAAGAATTATAGAAGACACTTGGAGGAATTCTGGAGAACTGGACGATTTTCGAAAGAAACTTGTAAGAATCATAGAAAAAACTTGTAAAAATCATAGAAGAAACTTGTAAGAATCATAGAAAAAAACTTGTAAGAATCATAGAAGACACTTGGAGGACTAGACGAAACCTAGACTAGACGAAACCTAAACACTTGGATTAATTCTGGAAGAATCTTCTAAAAAAATTCCTCTAGGTGTCCCTTTAATGAATATTCCTTTCAAAAAATCGAACCAACGCCAACCTCTAACATTAATTCTTCCTCCTCCAGGTAATCATGTCGTCTTGGGTCTGTCCCAGTCCCACGGCGATGGGCTCAAACGCCCCGCGGACGGCGGTCCGCCCGTCGAGCAGGCCATGGAAAGACAATACCTCAGGCCTGGATCCGGTTTGTTGACGGTCACCATCCACATGGACGGCCCCACCAAGGTCATATCTGTCAGAGATGCCAAAAATCCGGATTCCATTGGTACTTTATCCATAATTTACCTCTTAAAACCTCACTTCTAGAACCCCTAGAATGATATAATCTTTCACGAATACACTCATGTGTATTCCCTAATGAGCTTTTGTGTTTTGTGTAGATCAAAAAGGAGATTGCGAGGATTCGAAAGAAGAAGTGTTATTCAGCGTGAATTTGGAAGGAATAGGAATTAGTTTGGTAAATAGGCGGATTCCCGAGGAATTGATGTACATTCATTTTCGAAGGATATTCGGCGAAATGACGGCTACAGAACAAATCAAACGGATATGTTTCAGTATAAAGGACATTCAAGTGGATAATCAGGTAGGCTGATGCTCCGATCCGTTCCCCTTATACTCCCATGAGAGTTACAAAACAATCTTTTTTTTCAAAGCTATTGGACACGACAGTGCCGGTCTTGGCCTACGTGACCCATTCGAATCCGAAAGCGCAGGATCCGCAAGGCCACGATTTCCTGCCGGCCTTGGACTTCAGCTCGGAAATTCAACGGAAAAGCGACGTTTCGGTGAAGATTTTCAAACATCTGATAGTCAGATTGAAGAAAATCACGCTCATCATCGAGGAAATCGCGTTGCTCAAGCTGCTCGAATTCCTGGGATTCGGCTACGCGGCCGAGGAGTCCGTCAACAAGGATTATTTCGAGGATAACGAGACGGCCGGTTCCCTAACGGGCTGCTATGAGGCCTCTAACAGGCACGTGAATTGTTATAAAGAGAGAAATAGTAACGGAATATATTTATTTATTGGTTTTTTTAGGTATTATTTCGGCATAATAAAATTGATCCCGGGTCAAATACGATTGAGCGTGAAAACGGCTACAACGAATCTTCCGAGGAATTTGAAGGCCATCAAAAGATCATTGGGTTTGACCTTGATAAAATTCGAAGACGCCGCCGTCGAATTGGAGGCCTTCGAAAGGAAACATCCGTTCGAAACGAACGAGTTTTTAATGAAGACCATTATTAAACATTTTAAAGATGTAAGTAACATTCATTCGCTCCAATTTGGCCTCTTATTGACCACAATATCAACTAACTGTTTGTTCCATCGAACAGGAACTGATCTGGCAGGCGGGCATAATCCTGGGATCGGTCGATTTCATCGGTAACCCGTTGGGTTTGGTGAACGACGTATCGGAAGGAATAACCGGTTTCATAACCGAAGGTTCCGTGAGATCGTTGGTCAAGAACGTGACCCATGGTATGTCGAATTCCGCCGCCAAAATAACCGAATCGCTATCGGACGGTTTGGGCAAGGTGGCCATGGACGATTATCACGAAGAGATCAGACAGAAAATCCGGACTTTTCACGGAGGGAAAAGCTCCGATCACATTTTGGCAGGTGAGTTTTTTCATTTAGAAAGGGATTTGTAAAGATATTTTGAGTGGTGATTGGTTTTTATTTATTTAAGGTTTCAAAGGCCTGGGTTTCGGAATCCTAGGCGGCGCCACCGGCATATTCAAGCAGGTGTACGAAGGGGCTTCCAATGACGGTATACAGGGTGTTTTCTCGGGTTTGGGCAAGGGTTTAGTGGGAGCAGTTACGAAACCGGTCGTCGGAGTGTTGGATTTCGCTTCTGAGACGGCGAGAGCTGTCAGAGATTCTAGTAAAAGGTCAGTGAAAATGTTTTAAAAGTCAATGTTTGGTAAAAGTTGTTTTAGTAAAATGATGGGAAAAAGTTTTTAAAAGATAAATTGAGTAGTTAAATAATTTACTTCTTTTTATTAGTAAACAAACGCCGGAAAGAAGGAGATTACCGAGATGCGTACACGGGCCAGGTGGCCTTTTACCTAAATATAATTCCAAGCAAAGCCAAGGTCAAGAGTATTTATACAGGGTGAACAATAAGTAAGTATTACTACGCCAAATCATTCTTTTTGATTATGATAATGACCGATTTTTTCGTCTTTCCAGAAATTACTCGGAAAAATTAATAGCGTTCGAAATTCTGGGCAGCGCATCGGAGGATTTACTTTGTATTGTTTCAAATGAAACTTTACGAATCGTGACGAGTACGAAAAGTCCCGAATTGACATCGGTTGTTGAATGCCTTCTAAGGTAAACTCGACTCTTTTTGAATCGAGACATTTTTAATATAATTTATTTGTAGTGATCTGGAAATTTGCAACGTGATAAAGGAGAAAGAACACGGCGAAATCCGGCATTACATCGAAATAGTGATGCGTTTTTCCGGCACCAGCGCCACCTTAGTTAATCCTGATCCGGTGAAAAAACCGAGAGTCAGATGTCGATCACTAGATTTGGCCGATTCCATTTCGAAGCAAATCAATTACGCCAAGAAAAATTACAGTGATCATTTACAAACGTTGATTGTAGAGAATTCTTCAATCGTAGACGAATGAATTTAATTAATCGACATTCTGTTTTTAATATTTTGTTCATTTTATTGTTCATTATTCCGTTATTCATTCGTTTCAACCAAAGAGAAACGACAACAAAAGGTTGTTCACATTGTTATTCATTCGATTGTACATTTTGTTGGTTATTATGTTGTTCGTTTGATTGTTTTCAAGCGAACAAACTTGTAATATGTTGTACAAAAAAGGAACTGTTACTGATATTAAACTGTGTATATTTTTAGCCTTATCAAAAGTTGAAATAAATATTTTATTTTTTTATTGTAGTCTCATTTTGTTGTTCCTTCAGAGCACAAAACTCTTAAGCTAAATGGCACATAAAAAATAAACTTACTTTTAACTTATAAAATGGTCAATTCGTGTTTATCAACTTCTGAAAATGCGGCATTTGTTTCCTCAGCCCACTTCTCGAATGCGGCTTCCTACAACAAATATAAAATGATCTATTACTAGAAATGAACTAGACGAGCTTGCGCAGCGCACAAGCTAGACAAAACTATATAAAATAATAATTACCTCGGCTTTCGTCATGGCATTTTTCTTTTTCTTCTTAATCGGACTCTCCGGTTTTTCCGGACTTTCCTCCTCTTCCAAGGCCCGCTTTTTCTTCGACTTCTTCGCATAAGTCATGATTGGCTAGATAAATAATAATAGATATAGTTATAAAAATTATAAATAAAAAAGAAATATTCATCTTACAATTTTAATAGAGAAATCTGTCTTCTTTTCGGCATCGACTTCTTCGAACAAATGCAAATCTTCCTCTAACTCCACATTTACATTATTTTCATCTTCATTACTCGAAGATATAAAGGATACATGAGGTGATGGAATTACTCTCGATCGAAGATTCTCCTTCGGCGTGGAACAAACTTGAGGATGTTCCTTTAAAACATTTCTCTTGTGATGTATTTTAGGGTATTTGGTTAAATCAAAATCATCACAATCAAACAAACTCAATTGTTTCGATGCTTTCGATGAATCTAATAAATAATTCTCTTTGTTTTCCAAAAAATCGTTCATTGTAGTTTGTACGAGATGTTTCTCGGGTATTTGTTCAGGTCGTTTCGAATTGTTCGTAAAGGCTACTTCGATTTTTTTCACGAATTCTTCATCAATAATCATATCTTGATCTACTGCAGGTAATCCGTTTGATTTTATTCTCAGCCAATGGGGATTTCGTGTGAAATTTCCTCCAAATCGACATGGCAATTCCTGCAATAAAATGTTAATTAATTCTTCTTATCTTAAACTACTTGTAATAATTGTCAATAACGTCAAAACTTACATCAAATATTGTCCTCTTTCTTTTGTTTTTTTCCGGTGTGTCTGCAGAGATTTCCTTAAATCCGAAATGAGGATCATCATCGTAATCATCACTATCAGATTCACATGTATCATCGGTGTATTGAGTAGTATTAAGGGTACAATGAGATTTATCTAAAAACTCCAACTCGATAGTGTTATTGGCATCGTATAAAACGTTTTCCATTCTTCGGTTTGTTACACAAACATTATCCAGTATATTCCTTGGTGTACTTATTGCTTTAGGAAGACTGAAATTGTGATTATCAAAGCCGAGAAAATCATCATCGGATTGATAAGAAGTGTCCAATGTATTTAATCCGAATGAATCAATCGTTACAAATCCCTTAAATTCTTCGCCAGAATCCGAATTGTCATCGCTATTATCATGACGCCCACTAGATTTGAGTTCTTCAAACATAACACTATCATTTTGTTTATCGATTGAATGATTCATTGAATTTGATTTACGATTCTTCACCTTCTCCATTATGTCTTTGATTGTTGAATTTACTATAGCATCATATCCTTTCTTTTCGTTCTTTTCGCTTCTCCTCGGCTCCGATCGATTGCTCACATTTAACTCCTTATCCAGTAGCCTGCTAGATTTTCCTTTGTTATGATTTAAATTTGGATTTTGATTATTCTTCACTCTTTCCATAACTTCTTTAACGATTGTATTTACTGTATTGTGGTATCCTTTCACTGGCACTTTCTTTTTCTTCGGTTTCTTCTCCCTTTTTTCTATTCTTGCTAATTCTTCGTGCATACTTCTATCATAGTAGGCCGACTGTTTGGGATGTTTTTTAGGTTTTTCGTCGAATACATCAAGTGCGTAGGGATCTTTCAACTTTTCTTTACATTCTGCGACTTTAATTTGTTTATAAATAGGCAGTTTGGTATTTGTTTTCGTCACTTTCACGGGTGTTCTTTCATAACTCGATTCCCTGTCTTCGTAATGTACATTCGATTTTCTCTTTCTAAGCCTCTTTACTACGGGCGTTCTTCGTTTATTTACTTCCATTTCGTTAGTGAAATTCTCTCTCGCAATTAATAAACTTAATAACTAAATAATCACTTCCAACTTCCAAATTTGTTGTGTTGTTTTTTAAACGTTTAAAAACCTAACCTAACCGAACATAACCAATGAAATTGACTGAACAGGCTCAGTGTACGTTATTTGTATATTTTCTTTAAGTTGGTATTGATTTGATATAGCATATGGCAACGTCGCATCCATATTGCCTGCAATTAGACTCTGTCATTAGTGTCACCTGTCAGTTTCTGTCAAAATTATAAACAATTTGTAAAAACAAATAAACAAAGTTTGAATATTGAAAACCTGTTTTATGTATTATCATTATTAAATAACAGGAACCTAAAAATATAATTGAATTAACAAATATGTTTAATGGAGTATTTTCAGAAAAAATAATAAAGCAAGAGAAAACCGATGTACCACAAGAATTAAAGTCATCTTCAGAATCTTGTGTGAACTTTAATGTAAAATTAGAGAATACTGATAATAATTCTGTTGAAGATTTACCCGAAAACGTTGAGATAAAATCGGAGTCTTTAACTGACGATACTAATCATCTAGAGCCCTTAAATATATCACCTAAAGAATTAAATAATATAAGTAAAGAATTATCCAAAGACTGTCCATTCGAAAATGAAACTACTGTTTATAAGTGCCCAATGTGCAACAAGGTCTTCAAGAAATTACAAGAACACAGGGAGCACAAAAAAACCCACTACATCGAAAAACGAACGTAACAAAACATTTCTCCCGCAAGCAACAGCGATAACATTAATCTCCATATATTGCAGGTGTAAAATCTGCAAAAGAGTAATGCAAAATTACGGCAAACTGCAGGAACACATGAACAAACACTTGGGCTTGAAACCCTTCTCGTGCGACGAATGCGACAAATCCTTCATATCCGTACACTACCTGAAGTTGCACAAGAAATGCCACAATCCCGATGCGACTTTCAAGTGCCCCCTTTGCCCTAAATCCTTCAGAACCACCAGCTCGCTGCGGTGTCACCAAAACGTCCACGCCGAGAAAGTGGAAGATTACCGATGCAAGGTGAGTTACATTGCGATAACACTAATTACCAACGTGTTTCGTGCAAAGGTTTGCAGTGAGCAATGCAACGATGCCGCTACGTACAAAACGCATATATTAGAACACGGAAAAAAGGCCGAGATTCAATGTAGCTTATGCAAGAAAGCTTTCTACACCGATAGAGGATTGGAAGCCCATCTGAGCAGGCACCGAGAGCTCAATTTCCCTTGCGAATATTGCGGTAAAATATACCCCACCATGTACAAAATCAACCGGCATATTAAACGTGCTCATGTTGCGAATAAATGCGAAGAATGCGATGAGGTAAATTCATCGATTACTACAACAACCTATAATATACACGAATCGCATTGTAGATTTTTTACGACAGAAGTCTGTACACGAAACACAAGAAACAGCACTCCGTGGAGAAGCCTCAGGAATGCCAATACTGCCAAAAGGTGTTCGAGAAAGCCAAAAACCTAAGCGAACACATTCGACTGCAGCACAAACAGGACAAAGAGGCGCAAAAGTGCCACGTGTGCGGCAAAGAATTCATTAACGGCGCTTTGTTGAAGAACCACGTCAAAACGCACGATAAAAACTTCCAGTGCACCCATTGTGATCGAGTCTTTTCCTCGAGGTACTTCAACCACTTCCGTTAATAAACTCCCTTCGCTCTCATAACGCTTTTCTTGTGACCTCAAGTGGTCGATAATGCGAGTCAAATTTATCGAATTTACCAACTCTTGATAGCCCAGTATAAATGAAACGTTTTAGGTCTAACTTGGAGGTGCACTTCGTCACCCATTCGGGCGCTAAGAAGTACAAATGCGACCTTTGCGGTAAACATTTATGTTCGAAAGTCAGCCTGAAAAATCACATGGCCTCGCACTCGGACGAGAGACAGTACAAATGCGACGTGTGCGAGAAAACGTTCAAGACCAACCGGAGATTGTATGTTCACAAAATGTGCCACGCCACCGAGGAGAAGTACCAATGCGAGATTTGCCTGCAAAAATTCAGGTATGAGTGATGTACTAAATTTACAGCGTTTCTACCAACCGGTACCATTTTAGGGTGAAGCAGTATTTGAAGTTCCACATGAACAAGCACTCGAAAGTGAAGCCGTTCGAGTGCGACGTGTGCAGGAAGAAATTCAAGCATAAGAAATCGAGGGACAAGCACGTCAGATCGGGCAAACATAAATTGGTGACTGACGATGAGCACGATTGCGATTTTTGCGACGAAACGTTCGCCAGCAGGAAAATGTTGCTCGAGCATTTCGAAGGGGTACATCACAAGGAGAACGTTATTAATAGTTTAGACGATTGTCGAGATGAGGATGCCGTAATGGAAGAAGTACCTGTTTAATAAAGAGGTTTAGTAACGATCCAATTCCAACGTAGAATGTGCAAAGTCAATAACATTTTAATGTTGCAATTAGTTTATACGGAAATCGAGATTTTGATTGGCGATAGCTTTAATTAGATGAGAATCTTCCGTTTTAAAGAAGTCTTAAATTACGATCAGTATTAAACATTTTTCATGTTAGAATAAGGTTGTGTTGAAGTTTTAAATAAATGTTTCTTTTTTGTTGAAATTTACCAGGCAATTTTGAAGTGAAAATTCGAAGTTTCAACGTTCTGTGTTAATGTACTTTTTTAATCACAAAAATTGTAAAAAATATAAAACTTCGAAACTAAAACATTATAAATATACATATAGTTAAAAAGTCCAACATGAAAATATAGAAAATTAAACTCAAGAGATCAATTTATCAACACATATTCGATTACTTGATTAAAAAAAACCTGAGAAATCGTAGTCATGTAATAGGAATTAAATTTTTCAGGTTTTAAATTAATCAAATATATATTAAATAGTCGTATCACACGAACTCGAGATTAAAAACAATCAAATGGCTAAGTGAATTTCACACTATTCATAAATAAATGTAGTCTCATTACAATCACACAAATTGACTAGAAAAAATAAAACGGAACAACAAAAAAATTAATAAATGCATTAGGGAATGTTTGTTTTACGCAAATACTTTCGTATTTTATACGAAATTCGTGAATTTAAATAGCGAAATTAACATTCACGATTTCTGCGATATCACACTCTGTCAAAAAAAATAACCGAACGTTATCCTAGCAAAACATTAATGGTTGAGAGAGTCTTTTTATCTAACAATTAAGTCTCCTTTAACTTAAACATTCCAGTTAAAACGAACTTATTAGCTCTCATAAGACCTTTTTTAAATTAAGTAATAAATAAATTATGTAAGGTTCGGTTTTTTTAAAGTCAGAGCGTCGTCAATACTTAACCTATTAGTAGAGAATGATTAAACACCAATAATTACAAAGCAGGCAATCTGTCGACTTCGCCCATTTCGGTAATCGTTTCCTCGTCCATTATGTAACTAATTATGAATTTCAATCCGATCGTTAACGATTCAGGATTGGCTATTAACAATATCTGCGTTATAGCAGATGGCGGCAAAAACGGATTGTAAGCGGGAAGATTCGTAGAGGAGGGCGGTTGGAGTTTCAATTTGCATTTCTGAAAAAAAACAACTATTAATAACTACTCGTCTTCAGTAGGTTATCTTTGCTTAGTTTACAGTAGCTTAAAGAGTTCTAGTTGAAAATTACCTTAGGAACTACCGCTTGGAATACATAATCGCTCAAAGGTAGCTCGTTTTTATTAACAGTAGTGATAACGAATATGTTAACGCCTTGTTTCAGCTGACCCTTGGCTAGATGCAGCGTTACGTCGAGTCCGTTTTTCTCGCTTAAAATCGTTATAGGCGGCAGACCGCTCGGTTTGATTGTTTCTAACTTCACGGATATATCGTTCAGTTTGATCTCCGATTTGGGTGGTTTATCCGATTTGTCGTCTGCTAGTATCGAGCCGTTGTCGTTTTCTGGATGCTTTTCGTAGCTGATGTCCACCAAGTTATCGTCCGATGTATCGAAACAGGTTTTCGATTCTTCTAATTTGGATTCTAACAGGTAGTTCAAATCTAAATCGCACTGTTCCAGACGATTTGCGAATTGATTCTGTTTGACTTCCGTTGGTTTGACGAACGAATTCATTGGAACCTTTTCGCTCAATCTGGAATTCTTATTTATTAACTTTCTCCTATATTATTTACGAACTTTAATTACCTGCTAGGGTTAATATTTAGTAGTTGCGAGTTTGGTAAATTTTCTTTTAGTAAATTCCTACCCAATAAATCTAATTCTTCGAATCCAGTTAGTTTGCTCTCCTCCGAACGTACAACCTCTAAAATAACCAATTAAACATTTAAAACACTATCGAATCGATTACTCACCGGTTTCTGTTAAAGCAAGGGGTTTTAAAACATCCGCTGCATCGTTAAAAGAAGAATTAACGAAGACATCGCATAATACATCAACGCTATCGGTTTGACTCCAGTTCTTCGTACTTTCCGCTTTATTACCGCAATCGACACTATCGAATTGCAAGAGCGATTCGTTCGCTTCCAACTGTTTACCTTGCACGATTAGGATGTTATACTTTTCGAACGTGGCTGTTAATTCATCGTTGGTCTTCAAAATATCCGCTAAGGATTAATCGGTCGATTAGTGAGTCGAGTAAAAGTTTCTCGTCTTACCCAACATGCCTTCTTCGTGGTTGGTTTCTACAATGAGCTTGTTGACAGACGGTTTCAATCGTTGGCAGTTCTCGTGCAGTTCTTTGATGAGATCTAGTTCGCTGGTGGAGGAGACGTATTGTTTGTAGGAGTCGAGCATCTCGTTCAAGAGCCTGAGGTTGTTTTGAACGGATTCCAGCTCGGTGATGGTTTTGCTTTTCATTTCGGCGCGCTTGTCGTCCTCTTTCACCATGCTTTTGATCAGCCAGTTGGCGGCCTGGACGTCCTCGGGGTCTTTGCTTTGCAACAGTTTTTGCAAGATTTTGGATTTCTCCTCGTCGTGGAATATGGAATCGGACGATTTCTTTTTCGAAGCGCCGATGACGTCGTAAGGCGCGGTCGGATCGGGGATGTCCCTGACGACTCCCTGTTTCCTTAACATGTCGAGGGCTTCCATTATTTTCTTTTCTTTCGGATACTGAAACGACCAGGCGTTCAGTAACTGTAGGATTTTTTGTTTGACGATCAACGGCGTTTGGGAGCCGAGGTATTTGGGCGATACTAGCTTAATTAGTTCGTTTAGAAATCTGAATTTGCCGATTTCGTTTTGAAAACTCGTACCGCATTTCGCCATGCAATGGTCTAAGACGTTCAATGTTTGTAGCATTTCCTTTTCTTCGCCGTTCGGTAATCTACTCGCTATGACTTTTACGCCTATGTGGAAGCCGTCCTTTTCTTTATTCATCAAAGCGCAAAATGCCTCAACCGCTGCTGTATCGAAATTTAAATTCTTCGAACTAGTAGCCTTTACTAAAAATTATGACGATTGTCTGTTATTACTATTGTCGGTTAATAAATGGTATAAAATACTCACGCAATAATGCTTCTAGGCTCGTTTGGGTTATTAAATCCATTTTTTTGTAGTTTAATTCATTAAAAACAGTTCCATTAGAAATCGGTAAATTTTTTTGAATTGTCAAAGTTGTCAATGGATCTTCTTGTTAACTGGGGGTCTTTTGCTATTTTGTTATTTGGTCTGACTAATTTTATTCACTGTGTTCGAGGTAAGAGACCACTTTTCTAAAATGTCAAAAAAACATCGATAAACAGTAAACAGCCAACTAAAAAAATCTGTAATTTAAGTAATTTTCAATTACAAGTTCACTGAAAATGGATGACGATTATTCGAATAAGAGTAATTGTACCAATTCGGGAAATTCACTCGCCGGAGAAACAAATACCACATTAAAAAATGCTACGAATTTTCATCCACTAATGTCACCGATTTCTCAGGAATTTCCCGATTTGATTCCGAAGCAAATTCAAATGCAAAATTACAACGATCCAGAATCTCCCGTCGAACGTCTCGATAAACCAGGTACAAATCACATAAGATGCAATTAAACCGATTAATAAATGACCATTTGATGTACAGAATACCCCAACAGCCCGTTGTTAAGAAAAAAATCCGCAGAAGTAACACCGACTGATATCACAAGCGACAACGAAAACGACAAATCCGTTTACGAGGCCCATTTGAGTACAAATTTACAAAACGTCTCTCTTACAATGAACGAAAAAGAAGGTAAAAATCACTCAATACAATCGATCGAACAGCAACAACAATCTCTCCCCCATTGCAGGCAACTTGAACTTCCTGGCACACAACAAAAGAAGCAACAAATTGCGGAAAATCAACGTCGTACAGCCCCAGTTGAGCGACGACAGCGACATATCCTCCGCGGACACCAACACGGACAGCTTGAAATCCGAGGATGTCTTCAACGGAGACGGGGAAGATGCAGACGGATTCGATGAGACTAAACGTGCGCCCCTTAGATTCCTCCGCGATTTCGAGTACACGATTGTTTTGTTGTAGAAAATTGCACGGAACCGATCGAGCCGTTGAGTGCCGAGGACGAACGTTGTCACGCCAGGCACTGGCAGAGAATGGTACTGCCCAGCGGCGAGCAGCGTACCATCGACATGCGCGTTATAGAGCCCTACAAGAGAGTGTTGAGTCACGGTGGTTACCTAAGAGCCGGAGGCCATACAGCCATTCTAGTATTCTCCGCTTGTTACTTACCGGACAAATCCCGAGTGGATTACGTTTACGTCATGGATAATTTATTTCTGTAAGTTGATAATATGTTAACGTTGAACGGACTCATTGTTAAGATGTTGTAGGTACGTGCTGTGGACGTTGGAACGTTTAGTAACTGATGATTATATATTAATTTACCTGCACGGAGCTGCGACGAGGTTACCGTCGTTCGGATGGTTGAAAAGGTGCTATCAAATGGTGGGGAGGAAATTGAGGAAAAATTTGAGCCATTTGTATTTAGTTCATCCGACGTTGTGGATCAAAACTATGCTATTTATGGCGAAACCATTCATAAGGTAATCATGATATTGGGTACAGTACCGGACAGTATTTTACGGATAGCGGATAAACACCTTTCGATCACTAGCTGAAGGGAGTAGTAGAAGGAGGCCATCGGATCTTTTATCCTTTCCAAATTTTTCACTGGCTTTGTTCCTCCTATGGCCCACTATCCGTAAAAGTTGTTTGATACTATATGCTAAAACGATGAATTAAATTTGCTTTGTTTTTTAGTTCGAAATTCTACAGGAAAATCACCTATATCGGTTCATTGAGGGAACTGATGATTCGAGTGCCGATTGAAATTGCTGCCATTCCAGATAAAGTGAGAATATTCGACAGTCTGCATAGTATGTAGAGAACGGGCTGTAATAGTTCACGCAAATTGCTTTCCCTTCTAGCTGCCAGAAAACGGTGCACGTAATCAATGTGTTATTGAGTTAAATAAAAAAGAAAGGTACATTTAGCTTTGCGTAAACATGCATAAACCTGTTAGCGAATTATATTTTGTATTTCTTTTTTTTCTTCTACGAAACAAAAAGTTCGCCTCATATAACTCGAATATTTTTTAATGATAATTTTATTTATTATTTATGTAAGTCATTGTATTGTGGAGTATTTGAATCTGAGGGTATGTAAAATAATTTATCGTTTATTATGTAATAAAAGTATTGCTCGTAATTCGTTTGCCTTTCCTTCGGTAGTCAAGCATCACTCTGTATAGGAAAAAGTATTTGACACATTAATTTTACACACATGTCTAACGCAACTGATTTTAGAATAAAAACTAAGAGGCAACACAAAATGCACAACGATTGCAAAAGCACGTCGAACACGATCAAACTGCCCGACAAATTGCGAATTCCTCGAGGAGAAGAAACCCTCTTGCCGAACGTCCCCGAAGAAATCATCTACCCCAACGAACTAAACACCTATCTAAGAGAACAACTCATGGTGAGGCGCCCACTTAAACCCTTAATTCAACATTAATCACACCGCCCCGATTTCGATTAGTATTACGTCCACAAAAACGGCATGCTGGAGAAAAACCTCAACGAGGTGGAGGAGAAATACTCGGCCAGCAAAGAGAGCATAAACAAATTGGAGATCAAACTGAGCGACTACGAGAACCTCTGCGACAAGTCCAAATTCAGCACCTCCTCCCAGCTAATCAGCTCCAAAATCATCGAATTGACCAAGAAGCTCAGGGAAAAAACGTCCGAAATCGAATCCATGAAAACCAAGTACTCCAAACTGGAAAAGGAAACGTTCCTGCTCAAGGAGCGAATGGATAACGATCCACACACTAATGGTAAACTACATTTATGCAATACTACTTCTGTTTCCTCATAACTACTCGATACCTGAAAGTATTGCCACGAATTGCTCCAGTAGAGGAGTCGCTTGGACTCTAAGAGAGTGTCCTAGGAAGTTCCCTTTGAGGTTCTGTTGGAATGTTAACATAAACTTAACTTCATGTAACCCTTAGACTTGAGATTATACGAAAGTTTCAGTCAAAGAAATCACCGAGACCCCGGCGAATTCGATCAACGAAGAGGAGCAGAAGAGGCAAGCCGACAAGCTGGCCCATTTGAACAGCAAACTGATGGATTCGAAGAATTCCAATTCGCAGCTGAAAAAGGAACTAACGTTGGCGAAGAGGATACTGCAACAGGAGGTGGGCGAGAGCCTGGACAGTTTGCAAACGATGTTGAACGGCAGCAACGCCGGCTGGAGGGGCAGGGCCCAAATGATATGCGATTTGCAGCAGAAGAACGCCGATTTGAGGGAGAAATTGAAGCAGGCACTGGACAAATGTGAGTTGACTAACGGTTTAGGGAAAGCCGGTTTAGTTGCGTTTGCGCAGGTCCCTCGCCCATCGAGATGATCAACAAAAACGAGGCGCTATTGAACGAATTGACGAAGGAGAACGCCGAATTGAAGGTGAAATTGGAGGAGGCGAAGAAGAAATGCGAGGCGGCGAAGGCTCGCGTTAAAGTCATCGATTTGGAACACGGCCTGACCAAATCCAAGCTGACCATGCTCGTCGAGCAAGCTGCTAAAGACAAGGAAATAATATCAACACTCTCGGTGAGTATTGTAATTGTATAAAAATTTCGTTTACAAATTATTGCTTCAACGATACACCTTCTAATAATATCAGAACGTTCACCATTTCCGGCCTGTCTTTGGCCCACCTTTCCACGCACATTTTACCTACTTCTAGTATACCCCTGTAGCACTCGTCATAGTCTTTAGTATTCTTGTCTTTCAGTTCCATCACGTCGCCTGGATAATTAATAACGTAGTCTCTCAACAGTTCCTTTTTGTCCAAATAAGGCGGCAGCGAGGTGGCTATTTCGAACAGCACCACGCCGAAACTGTACGTATCGACTTTGGTGGAGAATTTCCTGGCTCGAAGGAACTCCTCGGGAAGGTAGGGCTTGGTGCCCTGTATTTTACTCACCCGAATGTAGGTGTAGTGGCTCTGCGGGCCTTCCCTAGCAAGGCCGAAGTCGCCTATTCGCGGTTGATTGTTGGGATCGAGCAGGATGTTGGCGGATTTGATGTCGCCGTGCACCAGCGGCTTGTTGTGTATCATGTTGGTGTGGAGGAACTGCAAGCCGCGCGCCACTCCAACGGCTATGTTCAGCCTGCTCGGCCAGTTTAGGGCCATGCTGGGGTGGTTGGTTCGTAGCCTACTGTCCAACGAACCTCCCGACATGTATTGGTATATTAAACATGGATGGGACCCGCCGATGCTGTAGCCGTACAAAGGCAGGATGTTGTCGTGTCTATAGGCGTTTAAACAATGCAATTCTGTTATGGATTGCTTCAATTGTTCGGTTTCGTAACCTGGCTGGTTGTCTTTTTGCTCTAGTCTCTTTATAGCTACCATCGTGCACTTCCAAGTACCTATGATAAAATCGAATTTAAATATGCTGTTTGTAGTAATTATTGTTGGTATACCTTTGTAAACTTTTCCGAAGCCTCCTTTACCGAGCACCGTACTTTCGCTCCAATTGTTGGTAGATCGTTGTAATTCTTCGTAGGGTATCGATGGTATTCCACCCATTGATTCGGCTACGATTGATATATCGGAAACTGTGATCATCTTGGATTTGCCTACGTTGAGAGGGATAGGGGGCGCGGTGCTTTCGTTGTTTTCTTTACTAACTATTTCGGGATATTTGGAAAAGACGGGGGCGTTTAGGATCTTCTCGGTGGCCCCGTCGTAGTTGTTTGGATGCTCCAAGTTTTTGATTTTCTTCTCTTCGATTGGGGGTTTCCTTGTTATCTCGTCGTGGATTAATACGTGGTACTCTTTGTCGACGAATTGTTTTAGGACTTTCATCGCCTCTTGCTGTCTCATGTAGTTTAGCAACACGAACAATTCGAGTACAGTGTGATTATGGTGGCCCCATATCGTCAGTAATTCTGAGGTGGGAGAGGAACACTTTTTGATCGATCTTGCTATTTGATCTAGAGTCGTTTGGTCGTACTTCATTTGTACGCCTCCTAGTTCTTTCCATTTATTTTCCTTGTCGAGGATTTGGCACAGTTTTTCTCTCTCCTCGTACGGCAGATTGTATATGTACATTTTCGAAAATATCACAGTTTTATTATTAAGGTCATTTACTAACCCGAAACTTTATTTCGTAAATAAATATCAATTATTAAACAATTAAAAACATAACTTTCAGAATATTTATTCATATTTTTGACATTGACATATGTCAATGACTCAATTTTTTTTTCATACATAATTTTTTAAACTAATTTACGTAAATAACTATCTCGAAACTTTATTTTGTAAATAAATAACAATCAGTAGACAATTAAAGACATAACTTACACTACTTCCAGCATATTTATTCCACTTTTTGACATTAACATATGTCAAATTCTTCTTTTTATTTCACACCATAAATCTACAATTTTCTATATAGTCGAGGACAAAAATCAATTTTTATGTTTGAAGAAGATGAAGATTGGGTGTTTTTCTTGATGGTTTTTCGTTGCAGAAACAAATTAATTGTACGAAAGAGTCGCAAATCGAGTTACTGGCTCAGAAAGAGCAAGCGCTGCAAAAAATTCAGGTGGAAAAGAAGAAGCTTTCCCAAGAAATGGACGGTTACAAGACGGTCATAGAAGGATTACGCGATGAATTGAGTTCGTTAAAAAGAAGCTTGTGTTCGAAAGATGGGAATAAATCGTATTTAGTGAGTATAAACTAATTATTACTTACGGGTTTTATTAATTTTATGCTCTTAGAACCGAGATTTATCACGAGACAAGGGAACGGAAACGGACGATAAATTTCATGATATTTTGGAAATATTCGAAAAAATGTGCGAGCGGTTGAATCAAGAACGAGAAAACCACGCAAAAACTCAAAGTCTGCTCAGGGTAGAGAAGCAAAAAGTCACCAGAGCGGAGGCCGCTTTAGCTAAAATGGAACTAGACACTTTACAGTAAATATTATCTACAATTTATACATTAATTTATGTTATTTATAAATATTTTATAAAAGCTAGATAAATAGAAAATATAGTATTTTTTGTAACTATACTCCGTTCGCTATCAACAGAAAGTATAATAAACCACTCTTGATAGCGAACGGAGTATAAAAATATTGGTACACAATAACATTGGTTTTTCAAATAGTTCAGGATATAGTTCGACATCTTTGTCCAAAATATCGGAAACGAGCTTAAAAGACCAATTGGAATTGACCGAGGAACGTTTGATGGCCGCAAAAACGCGTTTGGAAATCGAACAAATGGAAAGGAAGTCGGATTTGACGAATTTCGCGAAAATTTTGAAGACCTACGACATTCAAATACCGGAATGCGTTCAAGCCAAATGGGAGAGAATCTAAATATTATAATTTTTGTACTTGTTTTTGTCAATAAATGAAATAATTCACCTCGAGCTCGAAATAGGTTTCGAAACATTGCACGTTTTAAAAATCCATTTATTAATTTAAATAAGCTACAAATGAAAATGGTAAACAAAAAACTTTGCGCTTTCTTTACGAGCATAAATAGGCAAGACAAAGTTCGTTTGAATTTACTTGCTAATTAATTTAACAATCACATGTAAATCAGTAACACATATTTTAATCTAATATCACTTTTTCTCTTCGTTTTTTTTTTTGTTAAACATTCACACGCATCATTCGATCCACTTACATTTAAGTACAAGAATTTTAACACTACGAATTTAAATAATTTACACGCCTCAAATTTCCAATCTGAACGGTGTATCCGAAAAAATGAACTAACAAAATAAATTACAAAAATCACACAACGAACCCCATCATTGCACCGGCGCCGCGCCGCTCCTCTCCCTGCCTCTCATGAAGAGCACCTTAGCGATGATCCTCAGCAGCGACACCACCGGCGCCTCGAACGCCACCGACACGATAAACGACAACACGAACGCCAAAACCAGCTGCCCCAGGTACCAAATGACCGTCACCACGCTGCCCAAGTGCAACGGGCTGTCCATGCTCATCACCATCACCCTTATGGCGATGGGGTGCAGCAAATAAGCGCAGTAGGTCACTCTGCTGAACGGGTACAGGATCGTCGCTGATAGGATCTTATCCACGAAGCCTAGGAGATAAAAATTAGATGAATTTTGTAGTGGGTGTATTAAGGAGTAGTACCTCCGTAGCCTGTTACACATGCTACCACGATCCAAGCCAGTCCAAGCGCCCAAGCGGAGTGGCTGAGCGCGCTGTACGCGGCCCCCAACCAAGGACTTAACTTCTGCTCGTACAATCCGTACACTAACGATAGTAGAATCGATACAGACACCGTCCAGCCGATGACTACGATCCACTAAAAACGATATAATGGTAGCTACAAAGCATTTTCGAGCTGTTCAATCTCTCACCTTGGGCATGTGGATTTTGCAGTTTTTCTTGAATAGTATCCAACCGGTGCACATGCCGATCAAATACGGGCCCAGTCTCGTCCACGGTTTGTCGTAGATCTTGTCGAACAGCGCCAGGGGATCGTCGGTTCCGGGTAAATGGCTGTTGCTGTACGCTATGTAGCCGGTCGTCAGCCAGGAACTCACGATGAAAGCTACCAAAAGGGCGGCGGCGCTCTTGAAATGGCTACCGACAAATTTATTACACAAACAATTTTAATTGCTTATCGAATTCGATTACCTCGTCGCTAGGATTAACATGATGGCGCCCACCACGTAGAATTGGGTGTCGTCCGATAGGTACCAGCTCCACAGCATGCACTGGAATTGTAAATTGGGTTATTTTCGAGTGGGATTTTTGTTGGTTACTCACCATTTCCTCGACTGGGAATAGAGTGTTGATGTACAAGACGTTCCTCCACCAGTAATTCGGGCAATTGACGTGGTCCATCGTGGGCGGCTCGAAGACCGAGTTGTAGGTGAACCATTTCATGGTGATCTCGACGATGCCGATGGTGAAGAGGTAAGGTGCTGTTAGTCTGTAGAAAAAATATCATCAACTCCATCCAGGAACACATTGAACTACAATTTCTACTCACCTAGCGAACCTGTAGGCGATCAATCCGAGAAAATGCAACACCCCGGCTACGAAATGGTTGCCTTTATTGAGCTTATCCAATTTTCCTTTGGCGTTCGTCCTGAAATACAGGAAGGACACCAACAATCCGCTGGTGAAGAAGAACGTGTCCACGCTGAACGTCCCGTTCGTGACCGTTTGAAACATGAATTCCTGCTGGACGATCCTCCGGTACTCCATGTTATCTGAAAAGGAACCGACGAATTGCAACATCTCGTGTAGATCTAGACGATTTATTGGTACCTGAGTACTTGAAGGCGATGATGCAGGTGTGTCCCAGTATGACCCAGGCCATGCTGATGGCTTTGAGACCGTGTATCACCGAGATCGTGTCGCTTCCTACGTTCTGATCGCAAATGTACGCCATGTTGATGCGCACGGAGAACGACAGCAGCATTTCTTTCAGCACGAATTCTACGAAAGCATTCGAAATTAATGAAATTCGGAAGAACAAAGAAGCTGTAAATCAAAGAGATGTGCTGGAAATATGGACTCGATTGAAGAGTGGTAGATGTACCCGAAAAAGGAACACAATTTAGAAAATGATGTAGGGGAGAGTGGGGCATATACTCTCAAGCGAATATTTACATACTTATAAGCGACTCGTGCGATTTGGAAGCGTTACTACAAAGCTCTACACTACGGTTGTGATCTTCGACGTTGCCGCAACTGTTGTTGTTGTTGCCCGCGTACAGTCCGCATTTACCTGAAAAAGTACCACTAATTTATGTACAAAATCGATCGCGTGCATCGTCCTTAGCTGCGAAATTATATACAAAAACAAATTGTACGCCCGGTTCGGTAGCGGCTTACCGTTCTTCCCTTTGGGATTGCCCCCCGTCATGTCTAATTTACCGTTGAAGTGCATGCAATTCTTGTCCTTCATGTTGCAATTCTTGAGGTGTTCCAAGTAATAATCGAACGCCGTGCCGATGGCTAACAAGCACACAATTCCAGCGGTTGCCACGCTGAAAGAACACAGTTTAGAATTGATAATCCATCTTACGCTTTAAGGAGACTTTAAGGAGCCTTTAAGGAAGCTTTAAGGAGGCTTTAAGGAGGCTTTAAGGAGGCTTTTCATCGGTGCTTACCTCATTGCAATGAAGGTGGTATCGGTCCAGAAATTGTACCTGTCGTGCTCGGATCGCACGGCTTCGACTTTGATGGAGATTTTGGTGGAAGTGGCCGAGGTTTCTTCGACGATTTTCTGCACGTCTGCCCCCGAGCAGGAGTGCGGCATGCACAAGCCGAGATGTAGAATTCTCTCCTGCGAAATCTCTTTTATAGCATCTATATCTTGCGGGAATTTGGAGTGTTTACCTCGGTTGTGTAAGTCGAATTTAAGTGGAGACGCAGCTTGAAAAATGATACGGGAAACGGGGGTCCGTTTGTGGATTCAACGGCGTCTTCTTTGTAACCGCTTGCTGAAGCTGGGCTGAATGGTTTGATGGAGGCGTCTGCTGCTCGTTTCGATCGAGAGTGGTTCTACAAAGCATAAAATTAGTTCCAAAATAACGGTTAAATTGGAACGTTTTGAAATAACAACTCTATACAAGGAACGTTTGTTGCCACCTCTACAAGATATGTCACAAAAATATCTTTCTTGACATTTGACTTTAGTAATTTTAATTAATTCGACGTAATAATCGTAGTAGCTTAGTTGTGAAAAATTGTTAAAAAATAATTTTGCGGTCATGGGAAAAGCGCTAATATACAAACAAATTTCCCAATTTTATTTAAAGCAATTTTATAACCGTATAAATTTTCTTCTAACATTGAGAATTGACAATCGATACTTTAAACACAAAACATATGTCGTTATTTAACAATAATTGTAGTGATGCAATTACATCTCTTTCTACTCTCTTTGCAAGTAATTTGTCGAAAAGGTGACGGTTCGGTGGAAGCAATACATATTTTAACGATGTTGCGTCAATTCTAAAGAGCTTTTTTATGTTTACGAGTACATTTTAGCGAAGACTATCGCCTTGTCGGAGAAAATTTTAATCGAGTATTGTCCATTGAAATTGCACGAAAATCCGTGTATGTAAACACCCATTTTAATTGTAATAATATCGCCACTTTTGCAATTATATCGTTTTCTCTTCGATGTACACAAAAAAATATCGATTTGTTATTGTACAGGATGTCCCAATGTTTTTATGATAGGCGTTTGAAAGTTACAAAAGATGATTTAATGGGTTACTTCTCATTGGGACACCCTTTATTATTTAACCATAAGGTTGGGATTAAGGTGAAATTTTCGTGTAGAATTTCGGTATAAAAATTTACCTGAGACGTTATGAAAATTTGCTTCTTAGGGGCGATGTTTTCGCACAAATTCTGCGATCCCACCCAGTAGGTATTTCCCCAGAACCATCCGGTTGAATATCTACCACTTGCATCATCCACTGTAACAAGAAAAATCGTCACATCAAAACAAATTTCATAATCAAGGGCACCAATTTCGTATTAGTAGGTAAAGAGGTCCATTCGGAATTGATTTCTCTTATTAATTAATTGGCTAAAAGTTTCTTCCAATATTCGTATAAAAGTAAATAATATATAGGACCTACTACTTATATGTAGGAGGCAATAATTGATTTCATTCAAGTCCACTTTCATTGCTAACTCTATTAGGTTATAGCTAATTTATTTAACAAATAAACTTTACATCCGTTAACAGAACGGTTATTTTACTATTCGACTGTCGCTGACCCTGGTCGAGTTTGTTCCATCACGTAACAGTAATTAATTAGCCCGTTATTCTTCTATATACGATAAACTTCACTTTCAGTTCATGAAAGCGAAAAGCGTTTGTATATTCAATAATTAACCCGCGTAGGTACACAACAATTATTTTACATCTCGCGTCATGAGCGAATTACCTAACGTTAAAATTTTAGTTTTTAGCGGAAAAAAATCGAAAGTAAATTCACTGGAAGCGGAGTAGATTTGCAGAATGGCGATTATAACTTTCCTATGACAAAACACCGGAAAGCGACTCGATTATTTTACATCGTTCATTAAATTACGCGCGACTTTTCCATCGCAAAAGTAACCCCTTCGTAACCGACCGTCTACATTTAATATTTACAAATCTGTCTTCGCAATATTATTATATCACCGCGGATTTCCCTCAACCGTGTCTTTATAATAGCATTATACAATGCGATTTTTGCGAAATAATCAAATAATAATACGACACAATTGCAATTGTAACTCCGCTGCACTTGAATCGAATCCTATGCATTAAAATCGATTGCATAAGCGATATTGTTGTGCATCTCGCAGTTCGTCTCTCCGGCGAAAATTAATCTTCGAATCGCATCGGTAATTAGTTTTTTTCCTACTTACGATACGAACGAGCGTAATGAGTAATCGCTGGAAATTTCTTCCGTGATTGATAGATAAATCGATCGCTCAAGCGGCAAATTAGATCTATTATTTCAGATCGAATCTGGGTTGCGAGCACTTCGTTAATAGCAGTGCATCGGAATTTCCCACCGAAAATATAATATGAATAGAGTAGAGTAGGATAGAGTAAAATAGAGTAGAGTAATGAGGAGAACAATACTTGAAAGACAAGAGTTATTTTGTAACAGTCGTTACTGCACCTCTATACCAAAAAATTGATGCCCACCTTTATTAAACTTCTGTCATACAAAATGTCATTGATGTCAATTTTGACAGTTTTGATTTAAGTAGGTAAATTTATGATCGAACGCATTTTAAAGTCCTACTTATTCGCGTCCAATACAAGAGAACCATAAAACTATAAAAAATCCTGAGAATAATTGGATAAAATGGTAGTAAAACGTTCATATTCAAATTAAAGCCATTAAACGGCTATAATTAAACGGCAATAATTGCATATAAATCGCATTTCTATTATCTATTCTATTCTACTCGAATAAAACCAAACCGATGCAAACCTCGAAAGGTTTTCTTTCAATGACACACGAATGCAACGCAAGAGAATTTCATCAGATAGGCAGCTGCCTATTAAAACAATAAAAAAATACATGATCGAACTGCAAATACTGTTTTAAACACAAAAATTAATATAAGTTTATTTGCACAACGGCCTGAAATAAGACAGTTTCAAAATATCGAAGCGCGTTCGACCTCGTGCGTAATCGCACGCGGACCAAATCGAATCGAGAATGAAAATTCGATTTTCAATCGATTATTAATTAATGGACTTTGGTTAATACCTAGAATTGCAAAGCATAGTGGGAATGAAATTAGAATGCGCGAAGAAATATCGGAAAAAATCGAGGTTTTTTTAAGAAACCGATAACGCTCTTGCATAACTGATACCGAAAACGCTTTCACTAAACTCGCCGAGATGAAATGAAGATCTCGATGAATAACCAGGTCATATTCGCTTTGTTGTGTTTACGTCTGCAAGTGTTTATTTATTATTTGCATTACGAAATACGCAATGAAAATTGCCGGGAAAATTCAATTACGCGTAAAAAATAACAATTTTAACGCATTTTGAGGATATTGAAGACACCACGAAATTTCTTCTATTATTAACGAACACATCAAAATTTCATTACATAACTTTCCATATGCAACAAAACAAATTTAGCATATAATGCCAAGGCTACTGGGACTCGACCCGAGTGCAATAGTTTGTCGCAAAAAATATGTTTCAATTACTACGATTACTATTATTATTAAGCGTTTCATCACGTTGGCCCGTCTTCTGAATTTTGAAGGTGCAGCGTTGCGAAATTTCGGAATTTTTCTGATGTTAATCGACAGAATCAAAAGTTCTATGTTGTAGAAAGCGGCACGTAAACTGGATATGTTTCCATACAATTTTTAATGAAATTATACAATCACGAGCACCACGACCAGAAAGAAAGTAAACGCACAAAAAAAAATTCTTTTGATAAATCATGTAAATGGTATGCGCACATCGGAATGGGAATAAAAATTATATAATATTATATGCTTATTACATGCAGAATTTCGCAAACTATATACTGTTTGTTGAAAAAATTAAACGATCCGATACTTTTATTGTTTATTTTGTCATATTACTAATGCGTTATCGAGACGAATAGTGCATTTCGCAACTCGACAATGATCGAAAATTCAACTATTACATAAACCGCGGGGTTCGACCGATTTAATTTTGTTCTTCGGCCCGTCCTTGGGCCAAGAGAAACTCGAAAAAATTTTACATACACGCTAAAACTGTAATATATTACTTCATCTGCGGATGTTTGATATTTCGGAGAAATGACCGGCCGTTGCAACATTCATTTTCGTGGAGACAGATTGCTGTCGATTCGAATAACCTGCGGTGATTTCTCCTAAATTTTCGTTCTCGGTAATTTTTGCAATCTATTGCGCGCTGGGACTCCCGGAGAGTAACTCCGATCGCTCCGTTAATAGAACTAATTTTACTACAAAGAAATAGTAACTAGCTTGAAATGATTGTGCATAATATGAATGAAATAACTATCACTGTATTAAAAAAACTTTTAAAAAAATCATGTTTTGTATTAACAATGTCATCTTGTGATGCATTTCCTTTTGTGATCCAAGCTTTTTTTTAAACATCTTAAAAACTGGTTGTAATTGCTATTAATTGATTATTGTTCCGGTTCGTTTGATACTCATGATTGAATTGAAGGTAAATGCATTCGATGACCGTGATGTTACTGTGAACTCCTGCATAAACTGATCGAAGGGCTGAGTGCAGAAAAAGTTCAATTTTTATTCCTTGTAAGGCTCGTTCTTTGTTAAAAGCCGGTTTAAAGAATTTATAAATTTACAATTTTTTTATTCAATAATAGTCTACATCCTCTTGAAGATTGATATGTTGAAGGTTGATAAAAGAATGAAAAATAGCTTGATGGCCACCTTTTTTTGAAACACTCTGTATTACTTATCAATTTTTTATCATAATTCTTGCTCGCGCGCGCTTCATTAAGATATAATACAAATTTATTAAATCCGCAATCTCGATATACTTTCTTGTTTTTTAGCGTTATATAAGCGTTAATAGCCGATTGCGTTTCGAGCTCGAACCGTGTTACGCAGTTTTTTTTTTTGTTAAATTACGTTAACGTGAATAATGAACGTTACTTTTCAGAGCCCAGTTTTCCGGCTTGCTCAGCCCCTCGATGTAGGCCTCCACGTCCTTCTGGCAGCCGTGGCTGAGGCTCCCCTTGAACCCGGAGTACTCCACAGCCAGCAATTCCGTGTTGTAGAAGTTCAAAACTTTGGCCAAACTGGTCGCCGCCTGCGGACTAATTCTAACACTAGCACTGACATTAGCGGGGTGGTGGTGGGTTTTCGACTCGTCGGAAAAATTTCCCGGTGGAGATGCCGTTTGATTGCCGTCGAAATTCGACGGTACGGATTCCGCGAAGCACAACAGAAACAGCAGGAATACCTTGAACGCCATACTTTTACTGTCGCCCGCAAGTTCAAGTCTTCGCGGTACTCGAGGAATTGTTCTTCGTCGGCGAGCGTAGCGCGAATGATACCGCGGAGGCTCGAAGGAGAACTTTCTCTCTCCGCAGAAGGCCTATTGCCATTTCTTCGGTAATGAGCGCCTGTCCCCTCTTCGGGTGTTATTTAACACGAGGAAACTGCGACTCGAGACGTAATATCGCCGAAGAACGGGCTTGCTTTGTTGTCGATTTTTATTGATTATTTGCAGAGAAGGCGGTGCACTGGAATTTCCCGCCAAAATAATAATTCCTTTTGTATAATCGAATTTAAATTAATTTTGAGTAATCAGGAGAATGTGAAAAATAACAGTTATTTTGTAACAGTCGTTACTGCACCTCTATACCAAAAAATCGATTCCCACCTCTATTAAACTTCTGTCATACGAAATGTCATCATAAATGTCAATTTTTCGTTTATTTTTGTTTTTCGAATGCACTAGGAAAGAAACTCACAACACATTATACGCACTATTTATTCAACCAAAAAGAGCCTTAAATAAATCGTTTATCACAGTTCTTACAATCTAACTTAACCACTTTACACCACTGATTATAACACCTATAAAAAAAGGACTAGGACTTGAAACAAATGGCTCCCAAACACCCCTACAAATTTACAAATACTTCTTAATTTTATTTCCGAGTTTCTGCTGCCTCGCTTTGCGCATGTGCGTCATCAACGTGTACATGCCGGGTATGGTGAAGAAGAGCAAATAAATCCTTAGGAAGGTGGCATAATGGAACGCGAAATTGAGGGAATTCGGCAGAGGAAAGGACCACTTTCCGCTTTGCTCCACGAATATTAAATTCCTGAATAATATAACCGTTTCGCAGGTGAAACCGATCGGATAAAGGACTATCCAAGCCGTGTACCTGATCCACGTAAGGATCTTATTCTCCTTCTTATACAACTGCGACATGTAATAAGGATACCTAAAAAATATACATTAAATATCTAATATTACTATTATTCACCGCAATTAAACTAACCTGATTATTTCTATGGCAGTCCAAGTGAGGAATAGGTAAAACGTGAGGGGCATGACTTGTATTCTGGGCTCGTTGTCTAAATTTACGATCAGCACGAATAATCTGCCGATGATTTGCAGAAAGGGCATCAGCACGCCGCCTTTGACGTAGCCGAACATGGGGTGCAGGATTTCGAGGCCCTGCAGGAGCTGCATGAAGCACATGGCGGGCCCCACGCTTTCGTAGACTTTGGGGAAAAAGTCGTCGCCTTCGCGGGCGTACCGCAAACATAGAATGGCTGCGATGTACATGAATCCCACGTACATAAACAGGTTGTAGAAGGTTAGGTAGACTTTCTTGATGTCCTCTGAAATGAGTTCGATTGAGTCTCGATCGGGGTGGTTTTTGTGATGGGTTAGTCACCTTTTTTGTACCCGATTTCCTGTTTTTGTAATTGTTCGTACAAATCCGGGTAGTCTTCTTTGATGTCGCGTTTTTCGTCTTCGACGTCTTCTTCGGACTGCCATTTATCGAAGTCTACTTTCAGCCAGGCCGGTTTCTGCGGTTGGGCTGTGAGTCTCGGCCACCAGCCCGGTTCGGCTTTGAGGAACATTATATCCACTTTGTGATCGGTTATTTTTGTACTTTTGGTCTGAAATTTAATCAGTTGTTATCAGATAATTAATGTGGTAAACGTAATCGTACATGTTGGTCTAAATCCTTATGAAAATCGATGGAAAATTCGTATTTTCTCAAGCCCTGGGCGCCGACACCTTCCGTTTGAAAATGCAATTTTCTGGTTTCCAAAATTATCTCCGGCGCCTGCAAAAAAATATATTACAACAATTTCAGAGTACCTTCATATTGTTCTTACTTTTACGTCTTTTAAATCGACTTTAAGGAATATGTTTTTATCGTTTTGTGCCCAATACACGAAAGGACTTAGTACAGTCATATTTAAAACAAGTAACTTCGTTAAATAACGAACAAGCTCAAAGATCAACTAATAATTAACTTATAAATTGTGTAAATCGAATGTTTACAACCATAAGTACAAGATAACATGAAACTTCAACCTAATTTTTCTTCCTTTTCAATAACTTATCAATTTATATCAATAGTTGACTACTCTTATTCGGTGTTACAGCTACTTCAAAAAGTGAAGTGCGATTTGACACTTGACTGTCAAATGATTAGACATTTTTAGGTTAAAAAATATTCAATTGTTTAATTTCAAGTTAAAATACTTTGAAATGGCATTTACGTTGTGGAATTTATTTGAAGCCACTTTGCTGTGCTTAAATGCGGTGTGTATACTGAATGAAGAACGGTTTTTAAGTAAAAGTAAGTGGTTTTGGTCCGTCATTTTGAGTATAAATTAAGTTTTCTTAATCTTTTTATGACACAAGTTGGTTGGGGCTCGAAAGGAAGCAATGTACAAGGCTTCGGGGAAAGTCCATCAGCTAAAACGCAATTATATACACTATTTCACTCAATAAGGACTGTAGCACGAAGTAAGTAAATACCCTTTGAGCATACGAATATACTTATTCGTGAATTTTCCATTTCAGTACCTCTGATATTCTTCAATGTGTTAACGATAGTATTCAAATTAATCCTGGGGTGATACTTAAATGTTTGTGAAATTATCGTTTATACGTTTTTTGTAATTATAATTTAGGAATATATATTTTTTAAATTACTACGAGAATACTTATTTGATCAACTTTATTGACAAATATTAAAATTAAGTAGGTGCTATAAATACTGTAAATATGTTATAAAAAAATAAATTTTTGTAAAAAACAGTACATTGTACACTAAATAAGAGCGCAAAAGTACATAAAATAGATTCAGGTGTATAGGTGTATCTCCCACAGGTAAAGTTATATTAACAACCTAGGTTTACTCAGATAAACTTCGAAATACGGGTAGTGTAGGGTTGAGTGGGGTAGGTTTCCCGTAACAAAAAAGGAAAGTTTTTAGTGGGTAACCTGTTGAAAGGAGTCCCACACTACCCTTGTATTTCCTAAGGATTTCCTATCATACCAAACATAATGGGAACCCAAGAAACCTACCCTACTCTTGTTTTTAGGGTATTTTGCAGTTTACCCGCGTAAACCTTATCTAACTTTACCCGAAATATATCTAAAAGTAGGTTGACAATTTGCTTGTGTGTGTTTCACCCTACCAGTCTTTCTCGAATAAGGCCAAAAAACGCTAATGTCGCTAATAATGTTACACATTGTTTCTGGAATCGTCCAATAACATTTAGTACGAATCTGGCTTCGAATTAATACCATAACATTTAAAATTAAGTGCATTTTCTTTACGAATAAAACGTCAACACTGACGTTTGATTGCCCCTAACAAGTAATATGGGCGGCATATCTTTCGTCAGCAACTCCAACCAGGCCAGATACAGCGGAGCTGATATGAGGGTCTTCCTGGGTATCGGTAACGTCACAACCACCATATTGGCCTCGCTCGAATACTCCAACAGCAACTCTCTGAGCCTCAAGTGCCTGTTGGTCTTGTCCTTGACGGACAGCAGCTCGGATTCGGAGATTTGTCCTAAAACAGAAAATCATTAAATGGCAGAAAATAGTAGCTCGAAGAGCACTACCCAAAGGCGGCGTTTCCGAGGCGCTCTCGTTGCCGGTGGTTTTGAAATTGGCGATGAGCAATTCGAAGAAATTCACGGTGCTCTCCTGCGGCTTGGCCGTGATGTCGGGGACGATTTGCAAATCGGTGTAGTCTATCCGGAATTTCGCCAGCAAACTGGCCATGTTGCGGTGCTCCAATTCCAGCTGGTCCCTTTTATTCGCCAAAGCGAACACCCGCAATTTGCAGCTGCTCCAGTTCTTGCGGGTGCTCATGATGTACGGAAGAAGGAGGGTCAAACCTGCGGGGTAAGAGGAAGTTATACAGGGCGAAGCAAAAATGTTGACTCCGATTTTTACCTCCATCATCGTACAACCACCAGACGTCGATGGTGCCCCCTTTTCTCGCTTTCTTCTGGAAGTAGAACATGTCCGATGGTAAAATGTCTGGTTGTTCTTCGCAAACAGTTTCATCCATCGAATCCCCGATTGATTTCGCTTTTTTAATCGTTTCCTCCGGGTTGGGTTGCTCGCAAATCAAATTATTAGTCTGCGCCGATCTATCGCTACCGCTACTATCTAAACAATGTTAAGAACTCGATAAGATGTGTACAGAGTGGCCTCTTCGATCTTGACTCCAACAATGAGGCAGGGATATGTATTTATATGTCTATTTACCTTGCGACATCTGACTGTAGGATCTGTTTCTTTGTAAATTAGCCGTGCTTCTGGTTTCTTCTTCGTACAGCATACTGGCATCGAAACCTTGCTGGATCCTTATTATCCCGCAGCCCATATGCAAATCGAAAGCGTTGCTGAAGCACAATAACACCGTTACAACGAGAAATTATAACCGTTTAAAGGTACATACTGTACGATTTCGAAATATTGCTGCAAGTCCTCCTTCGGGCAGGTCTGCCAGTCGTTCTTGAAGCCCATCAAAAGGATGTTGGGCCGCAATTTTCCGATGCCGCACGACTTCATCAACGCCACGCAGGCCTCCTCGAACGACATCCCGTCCACTTGCATGTAGAACGCCTTGATCTTGTGCGCCCTCAGCCAGCTGTTCGCTTTATAATTCAGCACGTTCCTCACCCTCTGCGTCAGGGCGCTCTTCAAAGATCGAAACGATTACAATCGCGCCGGATTTTTACCAAATGGGAAATAAAGCGTACCCTATTGAAGTGTCCGCAGACAAGCATCGACAGGTTTTTGGTGAGTAGATGGGCGAAATCGACCAGCGCTGGCCTGGCGCTGGGCGTTCCGGACAACACCAGTATCTGCGGTCTGTAATTCTTCACGTGGTCCTCGACCGAGTTCAGCTGGTAGACCGCCTGCAGGGCGTTCCTGTAGATCTGCGCCTGCGTCGTCGAGCCCCAATTAACGTCTGGAATCAATCGAATAGATCAGTTTTCTGTGTTCCGAATACCGGTGTGATAAACTTACTCGGTTTTCTGTAGGAGACGATCAAATAGAGCGACAGCACGGCGGCGAATGTCAACAATGCGGTCATCCAGGATATCAGAAACATCACCATCAGGCAAAAAACGGATCCCAGTAGACTCAACCACATATTGTAAAACTGGAAATCGAGGTAAAGTCGACACTATCATCGTTGCAAACGTTTAAATTGTACCTTAAATGTCGGCCTCCAGCCCACCGGTTTCACCAAAGAAGCGTGAAACGTCGAGAAATTTATCAAAGTGTACGCGGCCAGGAAGAAGTTCGATATCAAAGGCGCTATTAAATTCAGCTCCGCTAAAACAGATACAAAACTCATTACCGGCCCGACAATTACCTCAATAATTTATTCCAAACACGCTTTTACCATCCCAAAACCTTTACACCTAAATAATTTTACATCTATAATTATATGAAATTAACGTTCGAATAGTTTTATGCCGCTCAGTTTACCGTCCGGCTGGTCCTCAATAGCTCAATTTACCGTCCGCCTAGTATCATACATCGCAAACAAAACCCTTATCTCTAGGATATTTTACCTATAAGAACGACTCCTAGGGAAATGACGAAGGTGAGGACGTAGCCCCTGACGGGTTCGTTGTTGGTGCCGTACCCTTTGGCGAACCACTCGATTCCTGGGTAGAGTTTGTCCTTGCAGAGGGCCTGAAAGACCTTCGGCGCCGATACCAGCGACGCCAGCGCCGACGATAGCGTCGCGGCGAAACATCCGGCGTATATGATGGGCCCGAACCACGATACTAATTCTATTACCTGCGATAAGAATGTCGGTGGTGATTAGCCGGGTGAGTAGTCGAAGAGGAATTGTGTCGCGACTACGGGGCGATTCAATAGCGCGAAATTGGTGTAATAAATTTCATTTTTCGTTTGAGATACAAGTAGAAACTGTTAATATTGCATTGTTAACATACAGTGTGTCACAAAGATGCGTGACAAACGAAAGTTATGTTCTTTTAAATGGAACATCCCTGTATTTTCTGTTGCGATCGAAAAGTACACCCAGTTTACTATCAATGTTTACTTACAATGTTTACTAATGCTTATTTCTAGTATCTCAAACGATAAATGAAAATACACAACGATAATACGGTCTAGTCTAATCGAACCTGGGATATTTGGGACCCTGTACGAGTATCTACTCTACTTTGAATCTGTTTTACTCTGTACAGGGTCGCTTCTGTCCCAACAGCGGTCTAATTTCGCGCTAATGAATCGCCCTGTATACCTGAAAGTTGTTCTGGAGACCGTATCGGCACTCGCCGACGCCGCAATGGGGCCAGCTTCCGTTAACGTAATCCGCTACGTTACCGGTAGCGTCTCTCATTACCGTAAAACCGGCTACAATGGCCATGAGAATGTAAGATAGCGACGTTAGCAGAATCGCCAAGATAGTACCTTTGGGTATGGCGACTTGGGGGTCCTGAAAAACATCCTCTCGTTGGTTTATTGGTTATTTAATTGTTGGCGAGTTTACTTTTAGATCGCCGGAGATGTTGGCGCCCGCGAGGATTCCGGTAGCGGCCGGGAAAAATATGGCGAAGACGCCGAAGAAGTCGTAATCGACGCCTTCGGAGCGCCGGTAGTCCGAGTAGAGGTTAGTTCTGGCTAATGTCACTGGAATTAAAATCGGGTTTATCGATTGGCGGATGGGAGGTTGAAGTGTGGACGACTCACTGTTGTATCCTATGAATCCTTTGGCTTTGCTTTCCTCGTCTCTCGGCCCGATGAAGCTACCGACGAAGAAGTCACCAATCGCCACCAGGAGTATTATGAGTAGCACGAATTGAGCCTAAAAAATCGTTGAAATTTGACCTATTTTACTGTATAATCGTCTAATATTTGCATCTAAAAATTCTATAAAAACTTCCAGAGATTACCAAATCCATCATACACCGAATCATCCATTATAATCATCTAATATTTACCAAAGATTACACACATCATTTTATCTCTTGCACTAATCTCTTAACACCGCCTAATTAACACCGTTACAAATTTATCGAGTGCACCTACCTAATTAAAAATCCACCTACTATTTTTTCGAACCGCCCTGTATACATATAAATAATAAATACCTTGGCTTCCCATTCCATGCCGAACACCACAATGCCTGTAATGACCACCATGGTTATGCAGCCGATAATCCTGACGTCGTGCTGGGCCCCGTCCACGATTTTCAAATGGTGCACCTCCAACAGGTCCTGCAGGGACTCCCCGAAACCGATGACGTACATGGCGCAAGCCAAAGCGTTCGCTAGGGAAAATATGAGCCCTATGGAGCCCCCGAATTCCGGGCCCAAGCTCCTCGATATCATGTAGTAAGTTCCACCTGCAAGTAGGATAAGAGTAGAGCAGAGCACAGCAGAGCAGTAGAGTAGATTCAGAGTAGAGTAAAATAGAGTAGTGTAACTATTTTTTATGAACTTGAAAAATTGGGATAGAATAATGATTTTTAAAATCCTTTACAATCCTTACTAATAAATAGTAAATAGGACATCTTATCATTGAAATCAGCTTATCTAGCAGATTTTTAATACTACAATAAAAAAATTATTCAGTAAGCGCAAATTTCTCTGTTTGCTATAATTAAATATTTGCTTTCGAGAACAAATTGCATTTCTAGGAACAGGATATACTTGGCTATTTTCGCGCAACATATCGTGGAAGCGATTAAGAAATCCATTGTGCAAATAATTTACTAAATAATAGTCGATCGTGACATTTTTGAAAGGCTGTCTTACCTCCTTTTATGACTCCATTCGTGCTAATGGCGGACATCGATAAAGCTGTTATCGTCGTGACGACTGTCGTTGTTACAATCAGCAGTATAGCTTCCCCTGTGCAAGAATTAATTTTATATTTTCTTTGACGTTTATAAACTGTACGCCGGAATCACCCATGGAAATAATAAACCCTTTTTGAACGGTATTTTTGAAAAATAACGCTTATTTTGTAACAGTCGTTACTGCACCTCTATACCAAAAAATGATTCCCACCTCTATTAAACTTGTCATTAATGTCAATTTTAACAGTTTTTTATGTATCATCGAACGCATCTTAAAATCTGTGTAAATTTATTGCGAAGTCCCTTCATAAATATTTGTTCAAAAAGTACCTATTCCGGCCTGTCCCACCACCCAGCTCAGGCGGAGGAACAGCATAACGCCCCAAATGCTCAGCAGGCATCGCAACAAAACGCCCTGTATCCATCCGAATTTGATTTGTCCCTTGATTTCTATGATTTTGCCGTTCGTGTTGGTCGTGGAAAATCGGTTGCCCTGCGAAAACGATACGAATTAATTGTATTTAAACGGATTTTCGGAATCGAAGGCTTCGAACGATTTCGCGATAAAAAAAAATGGGACACCCACGATTATTTTCGCTAATAAATTTACGATTGCGATTTAGAGGCCTCGTTAATTGCCGTTTCCATTAAAGCGTCGAGTCACGTACCGGAGTTTTCTCGATATTCGCGCGTCCTAAATAAATTCGAATTCCACGCCGTAAAATTACGACATGATCGGTATTCCATTACATACATGATTATTAGTTCAAATTATTACATTCGCGTGAAGAGAAAAAAAACGAAATGGTAATTTTGTGACGTCATTCGCAAGTGTCGATGGTCCAACATTTTAATGTTGTGTTATCTTGGCCTGCGGCTTCTGTCAATTTTGACATCCAATGCTAACTGTTTTTTTTTTGGTAATGGAATTTTTTTATAAAAAATGGCCGATAATTAATGATTTATGTATCATCAGAAAATACTTTGGTAAAACGCCGGATGAAATAAGTATACAGTGAATTCAATTAGATCAGGTAAGTGGACCATTTTATTACTTAGGTATATACATACAATACAAATTGTGATTAAATCTGCAGTAATTGCAACCTTTTCATTACCGGCGTTTAAAACATTTTTATAGCGAAATTTTACAACCCGAGTATGATTAAAGATAAAGGAAAACAAAGGAAAGCACCGGTTTTCCATCGCCTAGCCGAGCGATATTTTGCGACTTATCTATATAAAACGCCTTTATTCCAGTTCGTTAAAATTTGACCTTTTATTACCAGAAGCGAAACGTTTAATTAGACCCGTACCTACGCGGCGTTAGTCATAAGAAAAGGTGACCAATCAATTACCCTTAACTACCTCCAATTAATATTAATCCGAAAAGTTCTAATTGCTCGATTTGACGATTCTAGTCTAAAGCTCGTAATTCATGATAGAATAACGTCACTCAGCCCAACCAATCACAGCGCCCGATTTTCGCTAAAATTTTATTACCAGCCAATAAGATCTCTCGCTGAATCGATATTTCAAAAAAATTAGGAAAATCGATCATTAAACTCCAAATTGAATCGGATGTATTTACAAGTACCTGTACCTTATTTGATAGCGTGGAATTGCGGAGTTCGTCCAATGTTGGTCGATTGGCGGCCTGCAAGGACATCACGTTCCTGTAATTTTCCATTCTGGGCAAAGCCTCACGAGTCATGTGCCTATAAAGATGCAGTTTTTTTAATTGAAATACATCAAAACCCATCGAATAATTGGCCAATTTAAATTAATATGATGTGGATCAATCTGATGAAGACAGGGGTAAACTTAATAGTTTCTTTTAATGTAATTTATAGTAGCTTCATGGAATTAAATAAATACCCGGGAACTAAAGCAAAAAAAAATCCAAATTAATCCTTTTTTTTGCGCACTGTTAATGATTGATTAACGTGCATTAAGGAATGTAATATAAAGGAAAATTATACACTTTGAATTCCGAAAAATATAGGAACGCAAAAATGGTAGATATTCAAGAAATGCGTTAAAAAAATGCAAATTATACACTCCAAACAACCTCCGGGTGTACAGCAGGTGCTTATTCATCTTCGGAGGCCACTAATTAAATCATTTTTTTGCCACAAACACGTCCAAAGAAGCCCCACTTTCCATGTTATATACATATAACTCATCTTCTACCTACCTAAAACTTTTGATGTAATCGCTGTTCAACCTGGTCCTTTCGTTGGCGGAAATAAAGTCATCGTCTTCGCTCTCGTGCTGGTGGACTTTGACGCGCAACTCGACCTCATCCTCGTCGTTTTCGCCGTTGTTCTTCACCCGGTTCACCTGGAACCTGGTCTGTTTGTCGCCCTTGCTGTTCAACAGCTGGGTCGCCCGCTCGGCCAGCTCCAGGTTCAGCTCGTCCCGGCTGGACTCCTTCGACATGGTCGACTGCGAATTGACAAAATTGACATTGCATCCGGGGAATAATCAAACGGTTAGGTTACGTTAATCGATCGATAGAATAGTTGCATTCGAATCGATCGATCGATTGGAAACGTTAGTGAGAGGTGGTATTGAAATGCGAACTTAATTTATTCGGAATGCTAAACGATTTTTTTCTGCGATAAATCAATTGCGGAACGGCCGAAATAAAAATGCAATTAACTGCATATGTGCTGTCAATAAGCGCCGGTTATTAATTTGCATATAAGATAAATTCTTGAAACATATGCACAATTTTGTTTTATAAATTGCAACAGTATTAAATATTCTTTCACTGAACTATTACCTTATACAGGGTGTATCAAAAAATAAAAAATATTCTTACTCGCTTAAATACCGCTTAATAATATCTAATAATTATAAAGCATATCGTGCAAATATTGCAGGTATTTACTAGCAACAACAACAAAAACATTGTTGTTTTGAAATAAGGTGCACGTATACTTACGATTCAAATACAGCGCTCGAAACAGGGAGATGATTACGCGTGGATATTTTCACATTTATCGCCGAAAATTTCTTTTATTGTCCTTTGCGAGGATTTAATTTCGAATCGGCAGGTCCGCGTGTAATATGTGTTGTGTGGTAAACGCGGAATAACGAACGGTTAACCGTAGCAAAATCACGCGTAAACTTCGATTACGACACCATGAATGGGGGACTTCGAAGCCGGATCGGGCAGAAAATGCCGGCCGAGTTGCCGCGCGCTCCGCTCGATTTTCCCGAATTTCGGTTAAATTACACTTTACTTACGTATAAGTAATTAAAAAGCTTTATTATAAATCCACTGTTTGCTTAAAAAGATTAAGTTAGTTCGAAGAATATGAGCGCTAATGACTTGTTTTGCATAACATATTCCAGGTATAGTTAATAATTTGTCATAAAGTAGAAAATTTACTACGTACATATTACATTTTTTTTGGTAATGTGTTAATGTGTACTAGCATATAAAACTATTAAAATTTATGATTACGTTTTATACTAATACTGTTATCGAGCAAATTGGTTTTGAATAAGTAGGAATTTAATTAATTTCTAAATATGGTTGATTTTGTGATTGGTCGGGCAACGTTGTGAGCAAGGAAAACCATGTGCACGCTTGTTTACTATTTCGTTGGGGTTCAGATAAACTCGCTTTCCTTTGGGAGTAACGGGAATAAAGTTTTGTGCAGTCGTTCAATCGATAAGTTCATTACGTATAGGAAAGCAGTACAGTCAAGGACATTTTTGGGACGTTCTGTACTGTATTTTTAGTTTTTTCTTTTAAATCTTTAAGTAATGACTAGAAAGCTGTTAAATAAATGGGAATTTGATTCAAATTTTTAAATGATTGAGTTTAAGGTTCTTTTTAACCTTTTGATAAAGTTGAAAAGAATTCGATAAATATAAACGTACTTATTACAGTTCTTAATAATCAATGATTAATTGAAACACGTGTTATTAGGAGGATATATTATATTCAATTCAATTCATAATAAAAATCGCCCCATAAAAATTACACATTTATCAATTACTTTCGTAAAGTATACAAAAAGTACTCAAACCAAAATGATTACTAATTTCGTAGTTATCGAATATTTTTGAATACATCCCTGCGTATAAACCCCAAAAATAATCAATACGTTTTATTAAGGATATTATTTTTTTCAAGAAGTCATCGACTTTTGTTCTGGTTAATAAACTCGCGTTTTTTATGTTAACTGCATTTAATTCTTGTATTTAGATCCCACTACATTTCTTTATGATATATTATGTACCAAATATTTATGATCTTCGTCACTACAGATTGTATTCTTTTCACATTTAACCCAGTTTACCAACAAAAACCGTTATACGAACTTCCAGAAAAGAAAGAAAGGTCAATTAATGGCGAATATACAGTGTGTCCCCAGATTCGCTTCTCTATACTATTATCTCAATAGGAGTGAATCTGGGACACACTGTATATGGTTGCTTGTTTGTATTCTGAAAAATAATAAATAAAATCGTATCATATTTACTTATTAATTCAGCTTCGTTTATTAATAAAACTCCGAATTAATCAGACAAAAGATACAAAATTTGCACTTTTTTTATTATCAACAACTGTACATCTTTACCTTTTGCTTCTATAAAAATATTTAACAGTAACAATCTGATCAGAAATCTCTGGTAAAGCCATCTTTATTGTTAATTTCCGGTCAAATTTTACATTCAAGACTGCGAATTGTATGCACGCCGGGTGACTACCTACAATTGGGATTGCTGACCAGGCGCGCAATTCGGCTCGTTCAATTTCTCTTTGTTCCAATCTTTCAAACCCTCGGGCAAAGAAGTGTCTTCTTCGAACGAACCCGTACCCTCCACAAACTCTTCGTAGGTGGACTTTTCAGGGAAAGGTCTCTTACCTAGAACACACAAAAAAATATCATTCGAATGAAGCGATTGGCGTTATTAAAATCATTACCCAACAATTCGATCATATCGTCTCTACTAATTATCTCTTTTTTCAGTAACCTCTCGGCTACTTTGGAGACTTGCTCCTTTCTTTCTAGTAATAAATCCGTGGTTCTTTTGTGAGCGCTATCGATCAATTTCCTAACTTCCACGTCTATCATTTGCGCCGTACTTTCCGAATAAGGTTTCTCCATCATCATCTCGCCCTCACGCGGCATATCGAAACTAACGTTCCCAACCTTATCGTTCATACCTAAAACGAAATTTTCATCAAACACCCAACGCCTCCACGAACCAAAACGATCCTACCGTAATGCACCACTTGCGCGTAGGCGCTCTGAGTCACCTTCTTCAGATCGTCCTGCGCACCCGTCGTTATCCTTTTAAAGAATATCTCCTCGGACACGCGACCGCCCAGCGTCATGCACATCCTATCGAACAGCTGCTCCTTGCTGTACAAATACTGATCCTTCGGCAGGTATTGCGCGTACCCCAAGCCCTTGCCTCTCGGTATGATCGAGACCTTGAGCAGGGGATCGGCGTGCTGCAGGAACCAACCGGCCACGGCGTGACCGGCCTCGTGGTACGCCACCGTTTTCTTCTCCTCGGGCGACAGGACGTTCGTTTTCTTCTCCATGCCGGCCACCACGCGCTCGATGGCCTGCTCAAAGTGCTTTAGATTTATGGAGTCGTTCAAGTCGCGGGCCGCTATTAGAGCGGCTTCGTTGCACACGTTCGCTATATCCGCGCCTAGAAAAATATAGGAAATTCTTATGAAATCGACCGTAAATATTCCGTTATACTAACCAGTGAAACCGGGCGTTAAAGCGGCCATCTTCCTCGCCAAATCGTTCTTCTCCAAATTTGTTTTCAGCGGCGTCAAATGTACTTTGAATATGTTCGCTCGACCTTTAATATCGGGTGCGGGCACGAATATCTGCCTGTCGAATCTACCCGGTCTCAATAGAGCCTTATCCAAGATATCGATCCTGTTGGTAGCGGCCAAAACTACCACGTTGGTGGTCGTATTGAAACCGTCCATTTCTACCAGCAATTGATTGAGGGTGTTCTCCTGCTCGGAATGGCCCCCGAAGCTTCGCCCGCCTCTCTTCCTGCCCACGGCGTCGATTTCGTCGATGAACAGGATGCAAGGAGCGTGCTTCCTCGCCATGGAAAACAGATCTCGTACTCTCGAAGGACCTACGCCTACGAACATTTCCAAAAACTCGGATCCGGATACCGTTATAAACGGTACATTAGCTTCACCGGCTGTTGCTTTCGCCAGCAATGTTTTACCGGTACCGGGAGGACCTGTAAATAACACATAAATACATCTAAACGAGATACAATTAATTGCGCTTACCTGTCAACATAGCCCCTTTGGGAATCTTAGCACCCAGATCGATGTATTGCTGGGGGTTTTTCAAAAAGTTCACAAACTCCATGATTTCGATTTTGGCCTCCTCGCAACCGGCCACGTCTCTGAATTTCACGCCGATTTCGTTGGAATTGATCAATTTGGCGGTGCTCTCCATGACGCCGCCGAACAGACCGCCGCCCCTTTTGCCCCGTTTGCCGCCCATCATCTCGGCCGATCGGCGCATCATGTAGATGAGAAAGGCGATCACAAGAATGGTAGGCAGCATGCCCGATAAACTGGCCGCTTCTATTTCAGTCTTGTAGATCACAGGTATGAAGTTCGCGGGCTCCGAGTTCATGTCGACTTGCGCGTTCTCCAAATTCCTCTCGAACGAATCCACGCTGCCTATGTTGAACCAGATGATGTTCTGTCGATCAATCGATTATTAGAGATGGGAATTGTAACGTTATGGGGAATTTTACCGCTCCGTCTACGGTGTTGCCGGGTAGAAGCTTCACTCGCACCCATTTCTTGTTCACTACTTCTAATCTGTCCACTACGCCTCTTTGTAAGTAACTGTAAATTTTTTAAACGATTAATTTAACTGACTAGGGTTTATCGATTGTGGTTTACTTTTGTACGAATTCTTTCCAGCTGATTTCCTTGTAGCCCATTTCCCACATCGTAACTGTTGCTATGAATGCTACAGCTGCAGCTGCTCCGAGCACATACCACTTGTCTCTTTCGTTATCACCGAAAGGTTTACCACCGCTTCCGCTACAATACGATTAAATTAATTATTAAGTAGTGATGAAATGGATTATCCCTTACCCTCTACCCGTTCCACCGAATAATCCAAAGGACCATTGCTCGTAAGGTTTCGAACCGCCGGGGCCCGTGCTGGACGGTGGGAAAGGGGCTCGTTTGGGGGCATCTTTGCTGGATTCGGGTTTCGGTTCGGGCTGTTTGGGTTCCTTTTCCTTGGCTTCTTTGGTCGGTTTACCTTCTTTAACGGGCTCCTTAACCTCCTTCGAACCGCCTGGTTTGAAGTATTTTTCGAATCCTTTCGGGGGCTTCTCGCAGAACAGGCGCCATTCGCTTAATACTGCTTCTTTGAGGGAGAATTTACTCTAGAAAACGTCGCGTAAGAATTTCGCATTATTATGAAATACCATTCACCTACCTGTGTTACGTTAACATTGCTTTGTTTAAATGTTTTCCAAACTAAATTTTCTAGGCGCCTGCAAGTACTTAAAAGCCGATAGGCCATAATCGAGTTATTTTATGCGATTTGAAGGCTCCAAAAAGTCAACATCATATATCTTACGAAAATGAGAAGTGAGAACCTAACCTACAATTATTTTAGTCTTGTTCACAACCACCAATCTATATTTAGAATTATCAATACCTTCTTTACCGATTTCTTCTTTTTAATAACCAGGTCAGATCAACTTTGCACTTTAATTTTTGCGTTATTTGATGATCGCAAATTATATTCACTTTATGTAATTTTTCATAATTTTTGATTCAAATTTAGCATTTATATAAAGTTTTCCGTTCAGCTTCGTGACAAAGTGTTCTTGTATTATGTCAATCACTAATCGGCATGATCTGAAGGTGTCTTGTAATTTACAATTGTTGCTTAGTAATAATTACGATAATTTTTAATCGTAAATTGGAATTTACAAAGAAATTATCTCAAATTATTTTTTTACGATTATATAACTGTCACTCTGTCAAAAACTCTATATAAAAAGGAAGAATAATAGCATTTGTCCCAGCAACCCTTGGATTCGCGGTTTTAATACTTTGACTAATTTTTATAAAAATATTAAACTTGGTGATGATCTTATGGAATTAAATTTTTAATAATAATGTTTTTACATTTGTGTGAAGTTATTTGAAAGTTCGAAAAGTTGGTTGATGATTGGCCTTTTACAGTTCATGTGTTGAGTGACAAAATTTTGACATTGGCTTCGTCCTTGACGGGAAATGTCGAAAGCACCCGAAAAGCATCCTCACCTCATCAATCAACAAATCCCGGATGCCCGGATTGGTCCGGAAATGGTTAATTAGGGTTGTTCTCGTGTTTTCAGTAAATGCAACCTCTCAGTAGTTTTTATTTTGTTATGTAACTACAGTTCAACACAGCTTTACACAAAACAAACTAATTTTATGTTGGAAAATCGTACTGGAAAATCGTAAACAGGGTGAGTAGGCTATTTATAGGCGCTGGAAAGCGAATTTACCAATCGGCACGGTTTCCAGGAAAATGGCAACGACTGAACAATTTTCGCTAAGGTGGAACAATTTCCATTCGAACATGACCTCAGGTTTCCACGAGCTACTCGAAGCCGCTGATATGGTCGATGTGACATTGGCTGTGGACGGACGTTTTTTACAAGCCCACAAAATAGTCCTCTCCATTTGCAGCCCATTTTTCAAACAAATGTTCAAAGTAAACCCTTGCAAACATCCTATTGTGATATTAAAAGACATAGGCCACGAGAACATGAAGGACATTTTAGAATTTATGTACATGGGTGAAGTTAGCGTGCTCAGGGAAAACCTAACTCAATTCCTGAGGACCGCGGAACTCCTACAAGTCAAAGGATTAACCGGTGACGATTCTGTATGTACATTATTATTACTGTTAACAAGTTGAATTTTCGAATGGGTTTTTAGAGTGATGATTCTTCGCCGATCGAAGCGAAAGGGGAGTGCGATAACGAAGACGATAACGAAATGTACGGGCATCTAATCGAGTCCGATGTCGAGTTACCCCCGTACTCTCATTCCTCGCCTTTACCACCTACGAGCCAGAACAAGAGACCGAAACCTAGTGCAAACGGTAGTACAAATAGCAAAAAAACCAAATTACAAATCGACAATCACCAGTCTCAGCTGAAAAGCGTGAAAGCCGATTACGAACAGGCGCAGTTCAACGTGGAATCGAACACGTCCGGTACTTACCAACCGGTCAACGATACCGTACTGAACTCGTTGAAAACCAGTCCCGGTTCGGACGATGCCAAAGAGCCCGTTAACATGAAGACAGGATGGGACAATTCGTCGGAGATATTGAGTAATTGCCCCGATCAAGGTAAGCCCCACGTTTCGCATTGCATGGTAATTCGAAAACAAAAAAAACCATCGCTTGTTTTTATTAACATCAATTAACCCACATTATAATTTTATTAGTTTGATTATTTACAAGAGTTTGTATTATTATTATTTTTTTGTGAGTTTTGTGTTTCTATTGCGCCGTTTTATTTTCGTTTGCATGGTAAGTAGATCGCTTCTATACTAGTACGCTCCCTATTAATCGTAAAATTTGAAACCTAACGTAACTTTTCCAGCGGAATGTTCGAGGATGATGATGATGATGATGATGATGAAAAGGAGCATCGTAAGGAAGCGCAAATTTTATCACGATATGCTCAGTAGACACGGTGATGCATATTAGTCGAGTGAATTAGTTTGTTAAAATCAGAGCTAGATGGATTAATGTAGAGGTTTCTATAGCTAGGAAATTATTTCCGAAAACTCCTTTATTTGGAATATTAATAATTTTTGGATCATTTTAAGCGACTGGTTGATTGTTTAAAAAGTAATGTACGTATCTAAATACAAGATAAAATAAAATTAAGGGGCATAAAATATTAGAACAGGGTAGAAAGAGGTAGGGAGGGGTAGAGGACGGTAGAAGGTGGTAGGTAGGATTAAAGAGTGATGGAAAGAGGTAGAGTAGGGAAGGTAGAGACAGGGTAGAGGGTAGAAAGGAGGAGTAGAGTATGGTAGAAGGGAATAGGGAGGGTTAAAGTCGGTAAACTGGGTCCTGTAGACTCTTATTATTAATTCTAAACGTAGATTATTTAGCATTTCTATATTTTTTCAGTGTCAATTTTATTAAAATATCGTACGTAATTTATTTACACCCATATTTTTTTAGTTATTTTCCAATTAATCCATCTAACTCTGTTGGCAAATTTAGTGACATGAAACGTATTTTGATACAAACAGTAATTACTTTAACGACCTGCCTGTGATAAATAATTAGTGTGTTTAATAAATATATTATACGAATCGCCACTAACTCTTTGATTTTGTTGTTTAACGCCTTTCGTAAGGACCATGCGAAGTAAGAACTAATTAGCTTTAAATCCTTTTGTATAAAAAGTGTGTAAAATAACAAACAATAGTGTACAATCGGAACGATATCAATTCCTACATAACAATTTAGGCGTGTTGTTAAGCGAGAAATCCCATAAAATTAAAGTTGAATTGAATTGAATTTAGGAAGAGCGGACGGGCGTAGCAGTAAGAACCAATTCCAATGCAGGCAGTGTATGAAGAGGTTCTCGAGACGCGACCACCTCAGAACGCACGAAAAGAACATACACGGCGAATTCGCCGGCCCGTTCAAGTGCAGCATTTGCACGCAATTGTACAAAAATTCGGAAAGCCTGCGCAAGCACATCGCCAAATTTCACTTCTCCGCCGTGCAGGATCCCGTTCGAAGGGTCGAAGTTAATGCGTGAACCTTTACGTTATTATTTTTTTCTTTAGTTACATTTACAGATTTGACGAAAGTATTAATTACGATTTGTGGAATGTTACCGTATAATTAGTTATTTTTTATTAGTAATTAATATCGTTATAATTAAGCATTGCATGATTATACCAAAGTTTTGTTTATAAGTTTAGAATAATCATTATTTATATATTTTAAGTGCCAGTTTAAAACGTTTGTTAATTTACCTATACTTATTGGAATTGTTGTTAAAGAAGTGCCATATATTTTTGCGTATGAATATTACAGAGAATCGTTTGACTATTGAAATTTATTTCAGGACAATAAAATTAGTTTTCTATGTACAAACATAATCAATAAAAGTACTTTAATTTATAATATTTCGTTTACGCTTTATCCTTCGAAATTTGCTTGTTACAATTAAATGCGCATGAAATCGGCTTGGTTGTTTTTTTCACTATTACATTGTTAACAACCGAGTTGATTTATCAATAAATCTCATTCATTTCATATCGAGCAACTGTGGTGACGGTTATAAGTTTACCTAATCGAATAACATATACAATGGGGCTAACGAGGTAAAAAAAAACCAACGACGAATCCTCGTCAATTCACAAACAATGTTTTTTCTTCTTTCTAATTCCATTTCAGACCTACTGCCGTACCAAATCGATCAAAGGGGCCACGTGTTCTGTCCCTACTGCTGTAGGAAGTTCGTCAACCGGTACAATCTCAAAGTGCACGTCAGAGACAAGCACGAGGACAATTCCAAGGATTTGGATTGTCAGATTTGCGGTAAGCTCATGCGGAACCAAAGCTGCCTGCGGGTGCACATGTACCACCATCGCAAGGCCAGCCTCGAGGCCGCTCAGGCAGGCGTCATTTGATTTTTGTTGAATTTTTTTCGTTAGTGAGGTCGAATACGCTTCGAAAGAGTTTAACCATTTACAGAGCGATTGGAATAGCTGGAGACGTGAGCTGCGCGACCTTCGGTACAAAACACAAACATAACCCTCTATAATTAAAGCACAAGCTGTTTGTAAACTTAAATGGTGTAATTTTATTGGTTCTGATCGATTTGTGATACTTGTTAGAACAAACTTAAATGGTACGAACGAACAATTGTGCATATGTTTGTCACGTCTCCAGTTATTCTTGTCGGTCTGTATTTGTGTTAAAAGGCGATACCTTGTTATAAAAACACAAAGAAATAATACCGTTTTAGGATACTTTAGAAGGTTTTTTGAACGACTTCTTAAATAGGCAACACTGCAAACGCCCCACTTCTGATTATCCTGAAACCATCGCCTAATTTTAAAGTGCAATATTCGTATGGACCTCGCTAAGTCGGTTTTTTTTTCTTTGTTGCTCATTGTTTTAATTTTTATTGTTATGTTTATAATTGAACAAAAGTGGTGTTTTAGTTTGTAAGCGTTACGAGTAGGTAGATATTGGGATAAGTCACATTCTAAATGTTTTATTCCTGGGCGGAAAGGACCCGCGTTTTCGAGGGCTGTGATATTTCGACATTAGTCTTTCCTAGGTAAATTTCTTCGATTTATCGGCCAGTACATGCTGTTAAATTTAAACGAATCGGTAAATCACGGCAGCTGGGTTATTTTATTTTTACTGAAGATCTGTTTTATTCCTGTTAGAATGTGATGAGTTTATTTTTAAATATTGGGTTGATTTGTTTTTTTTTTAATTTATTTCGTTATAGTTTTTAAATAACTTATTTATTTCGCAACGAATACTTTGTTACTGTTATTCACAAGCTTAATCTTGCCGTATCCGTTGCGATTGTGATAGAACAAAACAGCTAAAATATACGAGGAAATTGACGACAATAAAATAGTACCTATAAAAGAGAAATACGTACATTCCGTTTTCTTCTAGCTCGTTTTTAGTGGGAACAAAAATGTAAATGTTGATTTGAAAAAAAAAAATAAAGAAAATAATTTCATAAGTCTCACGTATGATTTAATATCGTGACAACGAACGTGACTTGCCGAATGTCGTTGACAAATTTTCGTAATGGATGGGCGCGACCAGGGGGAAATCTACGGGAAATTCTCGAACATGCAACCGTATTTCCTCTGTTCGAAATCCCCCATCTTTCCCTTCTCCAGTGCAAGCATCAAACGCAACGCGTGCACCCAAACCGATTCCCGATCCGCCAATCTGGAAGAACTGCTATCGCCCGACGACGACGAGCTGATTATGACCGAGAAAAGCCGAAGTTTGTACCTTTTAGCCCTGCGCTACGTGAATAAGTTCCATCGAGTCATCAACGAGGAGCTGAAGTTCGTTTACGGGAACCGCAAGGAAGCTTTTATGTGCCCCAGCGTTCCGAATTACTCGGCGTTGTTGTGCAACGAATTGGCGATCGAGCCTCGCCAGTGTAAAAACGAGGATATAATCGACAGCGATGGCGTGTACGTGCACTTAAAAATCCAGGAAAATTCGCAGTTGGTGAGAAGGAATAGTTTTAACGTGGTAGCTATAGAGCCTTGCGTGGATATTCTGGAGTACGCGAGGAGCAAAGAAAAACTGAAAAGCCCCTATCCGCCTCAGAAACCGCCGCCGCCTCCTTTCGAAATCCGACCGTACACTCCGCAGAAGATTAAAAGCATGTTCGACGCCATATCGCAGAAATCCAAAGTCAGTTCCACCGTAGACGATTCCGACGACAGCGTGATTTTGGACGACGAGCAATTCGAGCAGCACGTCCAATACAAAAACCCGTCGGCCATCGACGATTTCTTCCACCGCAAATCCAACCCGCTGCAACTGAACAGCAAAGACCTCACCAACCTCAACGAGCGTACCCTGCACACCATCGGGCTGTTCAACAACAAGGGAGAGATCAAGCCGGACGTCATGGATCTGCTGGAGAAGGAGAAATCGTTCAAGGCGAAGGACGCGCGCAACAAGCAGTTCAGGAGCAAGAGGCAGTGGGACTTGCAGATACATTTGAACCCCAAATCCGACTTGGATCGGGACACGGTGTCTTCGACCAGCCAGAAGTCCTTCGTGAGCTATTCGGACGTGAAAATCCACATGCAGAATATAGATTAGTGTCGATATAAGTGGACAATAAATTTATGTTTAGAGAATTTAGCTGGCTAGTTCGCCGAGAGTAAAATGCCATGGTTGTTGTGATATAACTTTGTCCAATACCAATAGAAAGCGTCTCAATGGTTCTGGAAGTAGTTACTGTTTAAGTCTTTTGGTACAAGTGTAGTTTAAATGAATTTATTTAACGAGTATAAATGCAAATTAGACCAATACAAATTCCGAAAATTTACCTCATCTCCATCGAACCTGGTTACATTCTGGTGTTCTGGTCGCCAGGAGGCGGTAAAGGTACCTGGTACCTCGTGGGTTTTATAGATCTGTTCACTTTAGGAGCTCTAATGGTTCTTCTTTTAACGAACACCGGAACGTATTCGCTATCATCGCCATCAGCATCGCCTATTTCTTCAATCGCATCCGAAGTAGTTTGATCAATTTCCACCAACGGTATATCGTTGCCGGTGATTTTTCTATCCCTTCTCAACAGCATTCGTTCTTCCTTAGCTGAAACATCACCAAGCAATCACACGCAACATCTACTAATTTATAAACTGCACTCACTTAAGTACAAAACCTCGTCGTAGCTGTTCAACGGATTGACGCCGAAGAAATTGTACAGCTGCTGATCGTATTTGTAGTCCAAAAACAAGACGACCACCGATAGAAACAGGCACACAAAACCTTAAATAACAAGCATTAATTATATCATTCGAGTGTTTGGCAAACGGACCAGCTCACCTATCACCAACGTACACCAGTAGTTGAAGCCGAACTTGGTGACCAGCGTGGCTTCTTCGAAGGGTATGGAAAGCGGTATGGGATTGCGAATTAGTAAGTACACGATGTTGGCCATCAGCTGCAGGGCTCCGCATATTCCCAAGCAATACGCCCCGTACGAAATTACTGCAAGACAGTGTTAATGATTAGTTTCTGCAACATGTGGAAGCGAAGAGTTGCTCACCGGAGTTGAACAGTATGATTGCCAGTAACCAGAAGGGGAACGCGGTCCACATGAGTATGTGCGTGTACCAGCCGGCTGTTCTGTAGAATCGGCCGTATCTTTGTCCTTCGCCGTCGATGACGAAGTAATCGACCACCCAGAGGATAGGTAGAGGCAATCCTCTGTATTGGGCCGCTCGGAATTGCTGTTGCAAATGTCCAGCTGAAAATAATGTATATGCAAGTTGAGCTACTGCAAATGGTAAGGATGTTCGGTACTTAAGGGGTGGTTAATACATCTGAATAGGAAGAATTGGATAAAGGATTTACTAGTACCAAGGTTTGCAGATAATTCTGTTTACCGTATGGCCCAAATCCGAATCGACCTTGGTCCCAAGTCCATTCGAATCGCTCGTTGTAATTGATGGTTTCATGTTCGAGAGTGGTATTCGGATTTGGTAGGGCGTGTAGAGTAATGTTGATGCCCCTGAGGGCGATTTTTAGGGATACAGTTGCGTTAATTTCATCGCCAGTGCCCGCTTTGTAGGCCGTTTTGGAACGTATATGTCCCGTCTCCCATTCCTGACCGAAATTATTTACTAAAATATCATAAAATATAAAAAGATATTTATCTCAAAACCGCAAAAATTCTTACTCAACAGAAGCGTTCCTATGGTGATACTCAGAGAAACTCTTAAGTAGACACTGAGATTCTAAAAAAAATGTACTGTAATTGAGTGTTCAATGCGTTTGTTTTGTGGTACTTACAGCTTTTAACCTGGGTGTAGGTATCGAAATGAAGAGAGATATTCCTAAAATTAGGCCTGCTGTGATGAAGCCGGCGTCTAAGACATCCACGGTAACCGGAGTGGCATGGGGGCCGTAATTAGATGGGAATCCTTCGTTTCTTCCTAAACTGAACCACATATTTATTCGTAGGTGTAAGTATGTATGCAACCGTTGAAAAGAAACTAACTTTTAGCTGTTAATGTGAGAGCATGCGAATGATATTTGGGTACTTCCTTTGCGTTTTTCCTGTGAGATAAAATATGAATGTTCGTTGGGTTTTTTATCTCTCGGTGATTTTTGATATAAAAATATCCTATTATTCGTTGGCATAAGATTACTATCAGACCACAGAACTTAATTTGGAAAAAAATCGTTGGTGGAATTAAGATTATGAAATTAATAATGAGGATCGTATATGTGTTATGTTGGTTGCATAACGTGAAATCTAGTTCAACTGATCTTGTTCCATCTAAGTATTCAGCATAAGTAACTTTTATTTCATAAAAAAGAAGAGAAATATTAAATTGACGTTTACCTGTCATATGCCACACATTGTTTTTATTTCTATTCAAAAATGGCAGACGAAGCCGATAATGTAAATTTGATCAATTTCTAATATTACACATTGATTTTAATACGTTTATTCTTTATTTTTAGATACCCTCGATTACTGTGAAAGAACCTTTAGATTTAGTACGGTTAAGTTTAGACGAAAGGATATACGTAAAAATGCGAAATGACAGAGAACTCCGAGGCAGATTAAATGTAAGTTTTTTTAACGAAAATCCAAAGCCATAGTTGATTCCAGCGACTCATCGCACTTACTTCGACTTAGCATGTAAACTTAGAAACTCTCTTAACTAATTTTCAGGCCTACGATCAGCACATGAACATGATTTTAAGCGACGCGGAAGAAACCATCACCACCGTAGAAATCGACGAAGAAACCTACGAGGAAGTGTACAGAACCACCAAAAGAAACATTCCCATGCTATTCGTAAGAGGCGACGGAGTCATTTTAGTTTCACCGCCTATGAGAACTTCCTAAAACCCGAACATTTTAATAATTTTTTTTACGTTTAATACTTAAGCAATAAACGGTTATTAAAAACGGTTTCCTTTTTTTTATAATGTGTACAAACGTACACCTGCGACTTACTATTGGTTGCCACATCTCAATGGTTATTTATAAATCTGATGGATTTTACGAGTGTAGATATTAAACATGTGTGGTTCATTCAATCGTGTGCGGCCTATTAATACCCACAGAACTAGATCGTGTTTTGAAGCACAGATTGTTTACTGTGTTTTCTACTAAATATTGCACATTTCTATAAAAAAATGAGTAGTTTTAAAGAAAACGGTGAGATGAGTGATGATGATTCCACTTCGGAGAGTGACAGTAGTGATGATGAAGTCGATTCGATTGCTGTGGGACTTGACAGGGACAAGAGACAAACAAAGTGGTAAATTTACTAAAGTAATAAGTAAGACAAGGAAAGGAAATTATTTTAGAATTTAATCGTCGAAAATCGAGTCAACATAATGCAATTTTCGAACGACCATAAAATATTTATAGTAACGATAAGCAATTAATTTTCATGTTTTCCATTCGATGGAAACCAAACTTCCAGCGCTAAAAATAGAAACTGATCGATATTTCTAGGTCAACGTGAGCGTAAAACTAGGAAAATAAATAATCTAACTTAATAAATTTCTAAAGTCACTTTATCTGTTCAAGTTAATTAATCAATCCATTATTCTATTATACAGGGTGTATTCCTTGGTAAATTTTAAGAAAATACCTTATACACCTTTGTCCAATAGTCAATACTTAAGGAATCCATCGAATCACGGGACACCCTGTATAGATACCTATATTTTATATAAGGCTTTCCATAACTCAGTTCCTCTCCAAAAATCACCATTTATAATACTATAGGTGCGCCGTAGACCAACCAAACCAGCAGCTCCACCATCAACGAAAACCCCATCAGCATCCCCATCACCATAACCACCACCATCGACACCACGCGCCCGTAAAAGTGGTATGGCCTCCGCCATCCAACGCCACCACCCCATCGACGTCTTACTCGAATCCCATCAGATTCGACACGAATCCCAAGCTGGGCCCCAAGATGCAATTGCTCTGCAAAACCGGCTACCTGCTGGCCGTCTATCCGGATGGAAAGGTCAGAGGAACGGCCGACAGCAACGATCTCCACAGTAAGCTAATTAATTTGGAGCATTTTTATCATTATAAGCACTACTTTAGGTCCCTCCATTTTGAGCACCATTTCCCGTACTTCCATTTTGTACACTCTTTTCGGTGTCTCCATTTTGAACACCACTTCCCATCTCTCCATTTACTCTACTCTCATCCCCTCCATTTTGAACAACACTACTTCCCGCTCCTACATTATGTTCACTGGTTCCGGCCCCTCCGTTTTGAACTCTACTTCCGGTCTCTCCATTTTGTACACTACTCCCGGCCCTTCCATTTTGAAGAACTCTACTTCCGGTCTCTCCATTTTGTTCAATACTTCCGGCCCCATCATTTTGAACACGACTTCCGCCACCGCCCATTTCGATTTTTATGTCAAACTGTCTGTAAGAATAGTAAAATTGAATTCTCTTCCAGCCTATCTGGAATTGTTTTCGGCAGGACATCCAGGACACGTCAGGATTAAGGGTTTGCTGACGAATTTGTACGTAGCGATGAATAGAAGGGGGCGATTGTACGGAGAGGTAAATTTATGAATAAACCGGAATGATTTGGTTGAAAATGTCGTTAAAATACTAACTTTTCTAACTGTTTCAGTCGCTCATAAAGTCGCACGTAAGTATTTAAATAACAGAAATAACCGTTTTTTGAGAAACTTCATGCATAGTATTTCCAAAGTCAATTGAACATAACATTTCAAAAACACCTCTCGTTTAGTTATACTAATTTTATTGACCTAACTTTGGGAAAACTATAAGCTCGCGTTTGTGTTTGCAGGGGGATCCGATGATGGAAAATAACGTTTTTATAGAATCATTCCAAGGGTCTTACACGACGTATCTGTCGAGGAAATTCGCGCATTTAGGTTGGTACGTGGCCATCAAGAAAAACGGGAAAATTAAAAAAGGTCCGAAAACCCGTTACGGCCAGAAGGCGGTGAAATTTCTACCGTTGAGGCGAAAATTCGAATAAACCAACTAATTGTTAGATTAGAAATATATTTTTGTATTACTACCAGTACGTATAGTGTTTCCAAAATGAATTGAATATACGATTTTAGATTTTATATTCAACTACTCGTGGAAAGATTATACATACTCATACTATAGTCTATTCGCTGAACTTACGCCGATTTCGGATTAAAAATCACCAACTATGATTTGTACATATAGATAATTCAAATACAGGATTTTCAATTCTAATTATTAATTAACTATTTTGAGCAATTTAACAGATATAAACATTAAATTCTTCAGAGTTCAGTGAATAGACTACACTTACTTACGCAGTATTAAAAACAAATTACAATAGGTACAATAAATTATTTTTTCGACTCGCCCCTATCCCTGCGCTATAAAACTGTATTTATTCGTCGATTTACGAGATATTTCCGGTTATTTTAAGTGATTTATTCCTCCGACCTGATTGATAAGTTATCTGAGATTATACAATAAGTAAATTGCGCGCTCCAGCGAGGAAGTTTTCACAATGACTAAGCGAGTTTCCAGCCCATTTTCATTCTACAGGTGAGTAAAAAAATCAATATCCACCTTGTTAGGACAGCAAATTCATAATATAGATATTTCAGTTCGTCAATATTAATCGATTTTAAGCGTTTGCATACAAATTTCGATTTTACTGTTCAATGTTTAACAAACACCGGGCCGAGTAAGTGTTAAATTAAACTGTTTATTTCAATTTACATGGTAATACGTGCCGTAAATTTCAATCGTGCTGAAACTAGGCTTCATACTGGCTAGTTTCACATTAATGTAAGTAATTATTTTCGGTAATTTTTACAATTATTAATCCGAATTTCGGGCGATTATGTGTAGGAGCGTAAATTCGTCGCAATTGAGATTTATACGTGCCTAGTTATGTAAATTAACGAAGTCTAATGATTTCAACGAGTGGTTGTGCATTTTTTCGTGGATTCCTCAGAGCGTTCGTTCGAGCTTTTTAAATTTAGAAAATCAAATAACCGCGAGAAATCGAGAAATCGAGCGTTTAATTTTAGAGCATTGGAATTTCGTCGATTTGTAGAATATGAATCAAGATGAACGGTTCTCGAATCACGTCCGGCTGTTTTGCCAAGGATACAACTTGACCATTAGGCCCAACGGGGAAATTGTTGGGACTGATAACAACACAGATCCAGACAGTAAGTGCCAATTATATTAGAGAAGACTTTTTTAAACATATCCTTCTTTTATTCAGGTTTGATAGAGATCAAATCAGGAGGTAATGTGAGTCTCGTAAGGCTTCTAGGTATCCATTCCAATCTGTACGTGTGCTTCGATTACAACGGGCAATTATACGGAGAGGTATGAACTAAATAAATCGAGAAACCTATGAAATGTGTCTAGCAAATATCTAGAGTCTGTTTATGTATGTTTTGTTTTAGAGTGACCCAACAAACGAAGGGACAATATTTAAAGAATCATTCAGTGGATCTTACAATACTTACCAAACGACGATGCATTCCAAAGGTTGGTTTATCGGGTTAAAGAAGAGCGGTCAGGCGAAGGAGGGATACCGAACGAAAGATGGACAAAAGTCTGTACGTTTCTTACCCATTAGATTTAAGACGTAAGTTGCACTGAAAGATAATAAAGATTAACGGATGTTGATGTTTAGTTGATATTTTGTATGTTTATAAGAAAAAAACTTACTGTTTTATACAATTATTTTGTTTTATTTAACTTCTAGACTTCTACATTATTCGAATTATAGGTTAGAATTTTATTGACATCTTATAAAAAAATGGCCTCGGTAACAATCGGGTATTCGGTTCAACAAGCTCAGTAGCTGAATTATCCAAGTAACTAAGCCAATCAATTGACGTAAAAAAGTCGAAAATGTCAACAAGTGACAATTGACATTTCCTTTTCTTTTCTCAACTCGTGTAATTGGGATAACTTACTACTTCGCTTTGCGATTTTAGCAAATTTCAAACAATATGGGTTTCCAAAATATATGGTACTCTCACCCCCGTAAATATGGGCAAGGATCTCGATCCTGGTATGTATTTTGCATACGCAATTTTTTTACTATTATACTATGCAAAACATAACCTTAATTTAACGGAAAACGTGTTACAATACATTACAGCTTTTTCATTCCATTATATCAAGTATACTGGGTAAATCTACAATACTGAATAAATAGTGGTTATTTGTTTAGATTCCTTTAACACATTTTTTTTAATTTGTTACAGTCGAGCTTGTTCTAACAGGCACGGTTTAATTCGCAAGTACGGCTTGAATTTGTGCCGTCAATGCTTCAGAGAATACGCATCAGACATTGGATTTAAGAAGGTAACTTTTATCTATTAATATTCAATCAGTGTTTAATAATAAACTCCGTTTTTCTATTTCAGCTGGACTAAAAAGGGAGAGTTGATTTATAATGTAAGAATTTCATTTAAATAAAAATGTAAAAATATAAAAACGTTTTATTCTAAAAGAAAAACATAACATAAATTGCTTTTACATCGTTAAAGAAATAAGAAACATAATTTACTTAACTAAAGGTAAACTTAAACGAATGTACTTAAAAAAACAAAAATAAAACAAAATTCAGAATTTACTCTTCTTGGTTAAGAATGTTAAGATCGTGAGAGAAAATGGCCACTCTTTCGATGTGCTCTTTTGTCATAATATGCCGACGAATGTCGCTTACAAAACACAAATCTTCATTGCACAATTTGCAAGTAATCTCTTGATAAGGAAGCACCCTAAAAAAATATCACCTAAATTAATCAAAATTCATTTTAATCACGACAAAAACTCCTACCCTCTCATCATATCGTCCATAGCAGCCAAATTAACTTGCACCCCAAGGGGATCCTTATTTTCAGCCAATTTCACGAACCACAACAACGGCCAAACGTCATTATCATTAGACACGTTCGGTTTGAGTTCCATCGTGGAATAATTAATTTTAGCCCAATCATTCGGATGTTTGGCGTATCTTCTCTCTGTTGGCACTCGTTCGATGTATATCAGTCTGAAAAGGGCAAAAAGAAAGTGAGCCCAACGAATTTACACAGTTACAATGTTTAATAGTGAGAGATTAACCCAAAAATATGTACTAAATTCGGTTCTTTTAAATCGAAGGATTTGGGTTGATGGCCTTTGACTCGTTTGGGAAGCAACTAGGTATAAAGTTAGTTGGGTTATATCAGCATAAAGAGAAGCTCCCCTGCATGTTACAGCTGTGTAACTTACTCTACTAGTTCCTTTTTGAGAGTTTGTTGGATTTTCAAAATCTCGTTCTCACCGGCTCGATCGTACGATATTTCCTCCATCGCTTTCATCCCCCTATTGAGGTAATAACGAACTCGATTTATCTGCAATCATTAAATCGATTAGACTCCTATCTTAGACTCGTTTCATCGAACCCACCTTATTAATCTCGTCCTCCGTCAATTCGGTATCCAGTTCCAACACCAGATCGTGCGAGGCGTAATACGCCCGGTTGGTGAATTTATCGTAGCCCAATCCGCAGAGGATCGAGGCCACTCCCGTACCGTCCGCCGTCAGCGCCGGCCTCATCGTCGGGCAAAACAGCAACGCCAACACCATCGGTAGACCGCGCACGTTCGGCATCAGCGTCGTTTGGCGCAACTTCAAGCGGCCCCCTTCCGCCGTTTGGCTCACGTAACCAGCCACCAATAACCTTAAAAAACAACAATATTGTAGCAGTAGCGTGTATAGTAAAAGGCCGCGTCACAGGAGCGTACCTGGAGTGATAGTCCTGCGGTTGGTTGTCCAATAATACTGTGTTTATTGACGAGGATTCGATGGAGACGCTTTTGCTGCTGGAACTCGCCATGCAACCGTACACGGTCATCTCCAAAGGACTGAAAGGTCCTTTCAAATTAACGGTTACGTGGTTTTTGGATAGTTTCGGGGCTTCGAAGTCTTCGTAATTGCGCACTCTGTTATCGTAGCTCAACCTTACGGCTTCTCGGACTGGATTCTCCGAATTGTTCACCACCATTCTTTTGTTGTGATCCTCCTACAATCGAACGAAGCTGCGAGTCTTAGCTTTAATGATTTTATTAAACAACTCACCACGCATAGAAAGCTTCCTTCGGCTCTTTGAGCGTACCCTTGTTCTATCATCATTTGATTAATAGACTTTACGCCGATCCTGAGATTGGGGTCTTGCTTGTACAAAATCACGTACACGATATTATCCACGACCGAGTGAACCTACCGAAACGAAAATTACACACACACTGCTTATTTCTCGAGGCGATTACGAAATACTTACGTTACCGTAGAGCAGTATGTTCATGGTTTGTTGTTTGCAATGCTCGTTGCACCTCTCCGACCAAATGCCTTTGGGATTGTGCTTCGGGGCCGGCTGGATGCCGTAGAGGACGCATTCGAGCGCCATCGGGGGCATCTTGAACTCCGATCTGTCGGGCAATTCGTAGATTTCGCCCAACGGTACTTGCTGCATGTTACCGTAGTCGACGAACAGTACCTACAAAGTACATCGAATGAGTTTACTAGCGTTAATAATCGCGTAAGCGGCGTACCCGAGCGAATAGGTTATCTTTGAATCGCACTTCGCATCTGTAAAACATGCCGTCTTCGTTGAACCTCGCCGCGTACAGCTTGTTGGTTTGTATTTTTTTCTCCAATGATACGACGGAATGCAAGTAGGTCTTGTTCATTATTTCTTCCAATCTCGCCAGGTGGGTTTCGCATTCCAAACGGTTCGCCCAGAAATGACCGGCGTCTACAAACTAAACCGACATGTTATCACAATAGAAATTAACCGTTTACGATTTCCCAACCTCCGTTATCTTCAATTCGATCCATTGGGTGTCCAGCGTCGGCATGGGGGAATAATCGCATTCGGAATAACAGTTCTGTTCTTGGAACGTACTGGCGCTGGGAAACAGTTCGTTCGATGGTACGAGAGAGTTCTCCATTTTTAAACCGTTGTCGTTGGCGAATTTCCACGCTTCTTTGTTACTGGAAATATGTACACAATTTATACTCCGTTCGCTATTAGGTTATAGTAATGAAATCTTCTTGAAATAGCTCATTTTTCTCTCTACTCACGGCAATAATTTGAGCTCCATCCTGTACTGCAACTGCCTCTTCCTGACCGCCTCGTACACTTCCTTAGGAATCCTGCCCGTAATGGTATCGGCGATCAACTGTCTACCGTCCACCGATAGGGTGTGATGCTCGGTAGACCGCTTGAACTCCACGTAGATCTTACTGCTACCGTCGAAACCCACCGACATGCCCGTCTCGATGTCGTTGTCGTTGGCCAACAGAGCCTTGATGGCTCTAATGTAGAGCGGCCCCGGTTGCGTGTGATCCATTCCGGTCAAGTAAACGGTATTGTACGGGCTGCGACCGGCCACAATTTTCACGGCGTCTTTCTCAGTCGTGTCAGATTTCGGTATTCGAATGAAGAAATTCGGGTAAAAGGCTCCCGCCGTTATAATCTAGAAAAATCAGATGATAGTAAAGAAAACAGTAAGTTGAATCAGTGACAGGCTAAGTTTAAGTTCTGTTTACTATCCCAGAAGCAATTCCAATCCAATTTCGAGCTTACTTTAAGTATCAACGGTCCTTCGTCGTGCTGTAAATGCCGCTGCCTGGGCAAATTCTTGACTTTGATGCGCTCGAGCCTCTGCGTGATCTCGTCGACCAGCATGCTCCATTCGCGCAGGCCCTTCAAACTGACGAAGTTCGTCCTGCACCAGCGACGCTCCGAGTCGGAGCTATCGAATTTGTTGTCCCTCTTGCAGGCCTGCCACACCTGCCGGGCAAAAACGTTTATATGAAGCGATGTGACTTAAGTGTGACTAAACTTACCCGGTACAAATTGAGCAAGGCGATGAGATCGCTGAAGGAACCGTCGCCCCACAACAAAAGCTTCCTGTAGGCGCTGAATCGCTCTTGGAACGGTATGGAGAAGATGTTTTGGATCGAACAACCGGCCGCTAAAACAAAAAAGTATTAATCGATTGCTTGCATTAATCGAAGCATCGGCTGATACTAACCGATTATAATGGTCTCATCGAGGCAACCGAACAGATGTCCCAGCGCTATCAATTTCGATAAATGTATATCGATCGGTAGATTGGCCATGATGACGCCCAGAAACGTCAAATCGCCGTCGGCCGGAGTGTATTTTTTCCTGCAAGTCAACAGCAATCCTCCCATCTAAATGAAAATACAAAACGATCACCTATGATCAATATGTGTTCGAACAATCGATTACCTCTTTTAAACTGAGAATCGTGTTCCTTATGTTATTAAGATTCGGAGGATTCATGGCCAATGCGAGAATTTGTTGGGGCGTTTCGTTCAATTCCAACATCTTCGATTGGAGCACCACTCTCTCTAAAGGTGCCCTCAAAATCTCCGGTATGCTCTTCGATTGCATCTTTCGCTACAAACAGGATATCAACGCATTAGATTCACATAACCTAATCTACAGGACGTCCCAGAATATTACGCTTTAGGCCATATTGCAAAGAAATATGTAGGCATTTACCTGATAGAAAATTTTCGGGACCAATCGGTATATTCTACCGTCGCCTATTCTTCCCACTCTACCGGCTCTTTGGTCGCAATTGACGTGCGACGCCCATTCCAGCTTTAAGCTCATAAATTTAGTCGCCGGATCCACTGTCAGTACTTTGGTCATGCAGAAATCGATAACTGTTCGAACAAAAAAATGAATTACAATCGATCATCGAACGGAAATCGAAGGTCTACAGATTCTCAAGGAGATACTAAAATTTCTCTTTTCTACTCTGCGTTATATGGGTAAGGTGAATAGTTTTCGGCCTTCTTAATGAATCTGGAGCTTTCTAAATGGTTTCAGACAGTTCTAAATGATTCTGGAGCGGTGTAAATGGTTTTAGACAGTTTTAAACGCTTCTGAAGCGTTCTGAATGAGTATCAAGCGTTATAAATGGTTTCAGATAGTTCTAAATGCTTCTATACACTTATAAATGAGTCTGGGGCCTTCTAAATGGCTCTAGACAGCTTTAAATGATTCTGGAGCGTTCTAAATGGTTCTAATATAAATGTCCCAAAGAGGAAACAAGAATTTTTGCTGTTCGGAGCGCCCTCGGTGTTCCAGTCCGAAAACTTTTCACCTTACGCTCGCAGAGTATTCCGTCTTACCGAAATAGGTATCCGGTACAGTAATGGAACTCTCGGCGATGTTGGTGGAGAGTATGATCTTTCGATGGCCCGGTTTGGCCGGTCGAAAAGCCTTGGCGAGATCGTCGGTGGGCAGAGACGAATGCAACGGAACGATGTCCCATTGTATGGGCGCGGCGTCCTTTTGACCGGCCTCCTCGCGCATCTTCGCCTCGTGTTCCCGGAGGTGCTTGTTGGCCTCTTCGATCTCGTGTATGCCGGGCAGGAACACCAACACGCTACCGATGAGAGGTTGGTTAGTCGCCAAGTCGATCGGATCCAGTTTGTAAAACACCGTTATTAAGTAGGTGAAGATTTTCCAAATGCTTTCGGTTATGATCGGTTGATCGATATCCAATTCCGGCACCTAAATATCATTAATTATCTATCGATTATCGGTATTTCGAGTAAGTACGAACCGAAACGTGAGTGTGGCCCATGGCTGATTGGAGATGGTCCAAGTAAAATATAGTTTTGGTATATTGGTTTTCCTTGGTGATATGTATGACGGGAGCTGGGTAAACTTTGTCCATGGTGTGCGAGCGATAATAGTAGGCAAACTCTTCTGCTACGATGGTAGCCGACATAAGAATGACCTGTGGATGTTCGGTAAATGAAATAAGATGTGCAGTTTAATAACACGACTACTTACTTTGGTACGAATGGAATTCGTGTTTAAAAATCTCCTTATAAGCAACAGCAAGAAATCTAATTCCTGGTTCCGTTCGTGTATTTCATCTACGATAATATGGGTGAATTGCTGCAGACTTTTGGATTTGATGAGTTTTTGCAGGAGTACGCCGGTCGTCATGTAAGTTAGAATCATATCGGGCGAAATTCTCTTTTCCAATCCTACCTGGTAGCCGCAAACGGTTCCCAATGACCAGCCTCTTTCCTCACACACTCTCTTCGCTACGTTGATGGTGGCTATTTTCCTGGGCTGCGTCACGGCGATGTTGCAGTATTCGTTTCTTTCGCGCTGTTGGTCCACGATAAACTGAGGCACTTGGGTGGTTTTGCCGCAGCCCGTGGGGCCTTGGATTATCACTACGTTGTTGATCTCCACCAAATCGAGAATCTGCGAAATATCAACGATTAGTTTACAATGAAACTTTCAACATTGTATTCAGTTACTTTTTTGCGGAAAGAATCGATCGGTAGCTCCTTCTTCACTGCCGTCGTGCTGAAATTATACGTGGAGTACACGTTTAACGGGTTGTTTCTGTAATCCATGCCTTCGACTCCTTCTACTTCAGTCATCGCGCTACGAATCTACAATGTTTTATTTGAATTAACAGCCTGTCGAGACTTGAATTATGCATGTTAATACAAATAAAACAGGGTACCTCTTTGGACGTGGAAGCGTATTTTTGCATTTCTTCGGCCACGTAGTTTTGTTCGTACGTGTTGCCATAATTGCAATTGTCTTCTTCCTCCGAGGAGCTGAAGTCGTTGGTGTAATCGGTACCTTGTACGCCGTATACTTCTCCTATCGGTACCACCGTTTTCTTGTAATATGTGTTCATTAGTTCGTTCATTTTTGTTTGGTAATATTAACCTGAAAGATAGTAGAAAGCGCTGTTGTGAGGAACAGATAATAGGGATTTAGAAAACAAGCAGAGTTATTAGTGACAAGAATTGAGTACCTGCAAATGGACGCAAATAGTGTAAAATACTTACTACAATCAAATTGTATTTTCACTTCAACTTCCACTAATCATTCAAGATTTAAGTTTGTTTTCTGTAAAAGCGCGAGTAATGCAGCAGCCGCTGCAAATATAAGGGAATAAGGACAAAAAATATCCAACGTTTATCTGTGAAATCATAACATCAAACAGCAAACCTGTGCAGTAAACACTTTTTTAAACATTTCTTACAATATGTCAAATCAATGTCATATGTCACTTTCATATTTTCCAGTTCAGCTGAATAATTGTAATATTTGAGGCCAATGTTTGATAAATTTATTATTTATGCAATTTTGCATTGCCTAATCATGGATAACTAAATACGTACCTAAAATAATTACTTTATGTTATTATAGCCACTTTTAAATATACTTAGGGAAGTGGCCGGATGCGTTACTTTAAAAAAGACCAAAATAAAAATAACAATAAGACAAGAAGAAAATTTAAAAGTACATGGATTACTTGAATGTATAATTTAAATTATTTGTATTTCGTGAAGTTGTTATCACAGAAAAGGAAATAATAAACGTTTTCTAAATCATATACCAATTATTTATTGCAAATATTTTTATTCAAACGAATGTAACAAAATGCGATATTTTAATAAGTTAGGAATGGATATAAAACGTCATTTCTCTAAAACAAACATTCGGAAATTGAATCCCTCGCCGATCAGATGATCTATGCAAGCTAAATCGATTTCCATATCTTGCTTTTCGTCTATCAAATCTTTAGAACACCACAACCGATTATTACTCTTTGTAGTGTCAAGAACATCCACAACAAAACGATACTTGGAACTTTCTTCTGAACTATCGGAACCATCCATCAATTTAACAGAAAAACTGAAGAAACCTTTTTGAAACGAAAAATTTAGTTCAAAAAGTTTCGAAAGGCATGTCAAATAGAACACATCTTTGTATATTGTAAATTCCTCATCGAACGAAAATGGGTACGAGATAACGTTGCCTTCATACCAATTTTCATTATGTTCCATGTAAATATGACCCGAAAGATCCGCGTACACGATTTTCATTTCACACCCATTCAATTCCTTCAGGGGACAATCCTTTTCCATGAAATTGCACTTCTCCTGATGCTCTTTGATCAATATTCCTTTACCAACGAATGAGCATTTCTCGTATTTGCAGGGAAACTCGAAATCCGAAACCACACCTTCCAGCGTGAAATTTCTGGTAGTTTGAATCTCAGACTTGCACGTAGGGCATTCTTTGACTTTGTCCTTGCAAGAATCGCACATGCTGTGGCCTGTTGCACATTGGTAAATCGGCGCCATCATGTAATCCATGCATACCTGCAATTTATAAAAAAAATGTTAACTGTTGCAGGAGTACTATATTTACACTTACAATGCATTCGAAGTGTCTTAATAACCCAGCATTCGAGTTTTTATCAGACCCATTGATTGGCTCCTTTTGGAACACCTCGATACTCGCCAAAACCGCAGCAGGATTCTTCAATATGGAGTCCACCGCGGATTTATTAATACGAACAGTATCGTTCAAATCGCTGTAAACCGTGTGGCTGAACTGCTTCCCGCTATCTTCGAATATAATTTTATAATTCATATTCCCATCGACTGGATCGTACCCGAACTGGGTAACAGTGCACGATAATATCCTCTGGTTCCCGGAACAACGGTAGTTAATCAAATACAAACCGTCCAGGTAGGGCATTAATTTGGTCTCGTTGCGATTGTTTATGAAATCTACTTCAAAGCGACAATCAGTGAGTACACTACTGGAATGTTCGCTTTCCGTGTGCTCCAAAAATTCCTCCGCGAATCCTGCAATAATCAGTTACATAAATTATAACTACAGCGTAGAGCCCAAAAGATGTCTTTTCAGTGTATTATTAGCATTAATCGATAGTTAGGAGAGATCAATTGGTGTATTTTAAAGGGCTCGTCAGGGATGATGCTCCCTTATAGTGTTACAGATTTTTTTTACCTGATGGATAATTTAAAAAATTATTAGTTCATTTCATAGGTAATTTCATATTGAAACTTTTTTTATTCTTTCCGTTTGTTAAAATTCTTTGTCGTTTTGAAGAAAAACGCTAAAAACTGAAGCCATGTACACTACATATATCTATGTTACTTAAAAACGTCGACAATTCAAAAGTTAGCTGTGTTAATTTAAGTTGGTTTAAACAACTTATTTTAGTTCCCTTTACGCGCGCCTACTTTGTGTCGGTTCTTATGCGGGACATCCTGTATTTCGGGGAATCCCGCGATGTTGGATGCGTCTCAAACTCACTAGATGGCGCTATTAACATAACCTTTCTTATTGAAATTTTGGGCACTCACACTTACCATAGAAAAGGTATAATACTAATACACTTACCTTTCCACTTATCGGGGCACCCGAAGGGACAAGCGAACGTTTGGTATTTGCAATGCCATTCGTGCTTGGCAACGTTCTTTGGCAATAGAAGTTCTAGGCAGCCATTTGGCTTGTAGCAACATGGAAATTGAACGTTTTTGGCGAGCTCTTCGAAGAATTCGCAACGCAAGCCGCCGTTTTGGGGGGCCCCGCAACGGCCGCACGACGGGCCCGCTTCGGTGTTGTAAATGGGAAAGTAAGATAGCGGTTTTTCACAGACGAAACAAGACAGTTTCGATAGAGAATCCTCGGGAAGGACGTATCTGTAATGGAACGTAATCCACTTTGATCCGTTTGTTGTATAAATACGAAATAGTAACTTACCTGCCCGTCATCTTATTTACTTACAAACTAATTGATAAATTCTACAACTCAAACAAAAAAATTTATCGTTAAACAATCTTGACAGGTCACGTGATAACTCAATGGAAAAAAAAAGAAGTAGACATTTTTATGATCTGTCATTTGTCATGTCATTTAAATTTGACATCTACAACAGTGGTTAAAAATTATGAATAAAATTTTATTAACAATTTTATTCGTTTTAATATATTTCTGCGATGCCTCAGATGTTTGTTACCAGAAAGGCGGCAATTGCCTCGACGATAACAAGTAAGTTTAATTAATTCTCCTGGATTTTAAGTAATTTTTCTATATTTAGAAGGTACTTATTCTACGAGGTAAATAGACCCGAGGGGTTTAATTTGAGACGAGACGTTTATTTGCGCTTTGCCATGTTGGCACGCAAGATGAAGGAATCGAACGATGAGAAATTGAATAATATCCAATTGGTCCTTCCGCCTTGGTCGAACTTGGTCCATTGGAAATACACGGACAAGCCGGAACACATTCCGTGGGGTTACTACTTCGATGTGGACAGTTTGAAGAAATTCGCCCCTGTCGTAGAAATGTACGAATTCTTTGCGAGTAAGCCATGGTATCACAGCCTACTGTATGCAAGTACAATAATTGTGTTTTAGATTACCCGAATAAATACTCCAAAGTCGAGATAGAAGAAGTGTATACATTGCAACATTTCGAAGATATGTTCGAAACGGGCAATTTCCAAGACAAAATGCAACTCGATAACTGCAATAAAGACTACCATTACTCGTATTTTTCCTACAAAAATGTCACATCGAAGAATACGAGGTGCTTGTCGTACCACGGACCGGCCACGAAATTGAGCGAAATCTTCTCGAACAGTTCCGCAAAGTACGAATTACTTTCTATCGCTTATCCACCTCTCTTACGCCTTGTTTTCTTTCAGGACTATTTTAATCGATCACGCCGAAGTGGCCCTTCACGATTACTTCGGCAGCCCGCTCTACTGGCAAGCCAGGCGGAGCATGAGATTCAACAAAGATCTCAAAAGCATAGCTGATGAGTTTAGAAGAAAATTCCTTCACTCGTCCGATGATAAAGACGGTACTCGCCTTCCTGATGATTGGACTGATGAAACAGTAGGTAAATGGAGTATCAAGTAGCACGATTTGCCAGATCTTAAAGTTAATGTAGTTTGCACAAAAGTAAGATATCTAGAGCTCTTTAGTTAGATCTGGCAACTGTGTTAGGTAGGAAGAAGTCATACAAATAGACAATGTTATTGTTTTATATGGGTTTTATTAATGGTAAATTAATATTTTAGGCTAAACGGAGCGCTGTAGGTGGACCTTACGTTGGAATACACTTGAGAAGGAAGGATTTCGTGAGAAATAGAGCCGAAGAAGTGCCTACTTTGATGAGCGTGTCAGAGCAAGTGAAAACTGTGCTGTTACAATTAAATTTAAATACAGTTTTTGTAGCTACAGACGGTACAAATGAAGGTATTTATATCTCAACTTTCCATGTACAGGATTTATGTGTATTTTATTTTTTTAGAGTACAAAACGTTGGTAAATTTATTAGATGGATTTGAAGTATTGAGGTATACGCCGGACTCGAATACTAAAGAGAAGTATGGAGATGGTGGAGTAGCTATTATCGATCAGATAATTTGCTCGTATGCGAGATATTTTATTGGTACTTATGAAAGTACGTTTACTTTTAGAATACAGGAGGAACGGGAAATTATCGGTTTTAAAACTGAGACGACCTTTAACGTGTTTTGCGGTAGGAAAGATTGCCCTAAACCCTCCGTTTGGGAAATAGTTTATTGATCAATTTAATTGATCGATTGTGAATTTGATTAGGTTTCATTTTAGAAGCGATTAGTACATTAATTCGTAATGCAGAGTAAATTTATATTAATTGAAAAAATGCATTTACTTGGGTAATAAACTTAGTGTGTGTGTGTTAAATGAAAGGATTCTGTAATCGATAGAAATAAATCATTTATTAACTGTTAAAAAAATGACATTAAACATATATTTATACATTTTTTTCCATATAAAATTTACAGTATGTAAGAAACAGCATTATACAACAAAATTTTGTTATCTTCTAAAAAGATCTATTTTTTTGTTATGTACAAATTTATACTAAAACGCTACGATCTTCGGGGTATTTTCCATTTACAAAATACTCGAGTAATTGCGCATTCTTCACTACAACATTGTAATGTAATCGTAAAGAATAAAACATTCACTTTAGTTTTTTTTAATTATCGATAATAATTCATTCTACAATTTTTTTATATAAATAATACATTTTTCGTTGCGACTTAGGCCACACAGGTAGGCTTTTGAAACCACACTAGGGAATATTTGATACATAGGGCGATTTTGTATAGATAAAATTTAAAAAACACGTTAATCTAACATCCATATGAAACATTGATTGATCATTCAGTATTAGAAATTAGCAGGATTTATTGTATTGTTCAATAGCAAAGTGTAATATGATAAATGTAGATGAATAAAAGAGTGAGTCTGATGATCGGAAGACCGAAAGGAAGACGCAATAACAATGAAATCCAGATGAGATACAAATTAATTTTTTTACCTATTTAGGTACTTTTATACTAGAATTTATTCGTGTACAAATTCAATGGAATTTCATTCAAAAAATGCGTACTATGGTAGTAAATTTACTCACTCATTCTTTGTTGTATAACATTAAAAGGGCGGGAATTATGTAATACTTGAAGGGAATTTGTAAGTCTTTCGCCGGTAATCATAAATTCATTGTAGTTTTAAATTCCGGGTAGTTTTCGCGTTTCTGTACATACGTAAAAGCTTTATTACAGCAACGTCTAAATATCTACATTGTTCTATTCAGTCAGAAGTTGGATAGGTGTAGAAAAACATTTTTTTCAAATGTCTATTAGGATAGTTTTTTCTATAAATAAATAAATAAATATCTATTGGCATTTGTGCTACACTTAGATCATTCTTTCATCACAATTTCTATATGAAATATTTAATTGACCCGTTTATTACAGGAATTTTTAAATACTTTTAAATTTTAGTCAGCAGTGGGTAAAATCTAAAGAGAAATTGTGATAAATAATCGTGGAAAAACTATTGTCGTTTGTTCATTTATGATATTTTTTACTCATAATTTCGACGATTTAGACACTTTTCAATCTATGATAGGATTGAATGATAATGGCCCAATCTCTTTAACGTAAACAAAGTCCATGGTTACTCCATAACAACAATGTAAAACTGTCATTTGAAAGAATCTCCTTAGTTACACCATAACAACAATGTAAAACTGTCAATTGAAAAAATCTCTATAGTTACTTCATAACAACAATGGGAATCGTCTCAACTCGACCTGCACATGCACAAACGACAATAATCGCAATTCGTCCGGTACATATCACAAAACAACTTCGTATAATTTTCGACTAGCGGAGTACGCGGGGGGGGGGCGCTTAGACGCAACTTTCTGGCCCCGGGATCGAATCGGCTATGATGTGGTCTCTTCGCGTCGTGAAGTTCGTATAAGTGCCGTCCCGGAGCCTCCTGCTCAGGCTGTCGCTCGACGAACTCGGCGGCTGTACAACGATAGTAAATTTTTTAATCGATTTATTCACCTAATTCATTGTCTACTTGCCTGATTTCGCGCGAGGTTCTCGAATGTCGTAGTAGTTGTAGTGGTGGTGGTCGTGCAGAGGTAATCCGGCCTACCTATTGTCCCTAAGGAAGTCTCCGCACCTTGAAATAAATTTCCAAACATCATCGCTTGCATTTACATCGAATTCCGTCCGATAAATGCGAAAATAGAATGTGTAGCGAAGAGAGAAAAAAAAAGGGGAAAGTAAAGTAAAGTAGCAATCTTTCAAAGTGGTGTCAAGTAAAAGCTGAAGAGGTTCTCCTTAAATCTTTTAAGTGAATTGAGTTTAGAGTCGACAAAAGGCACAACAATTCACCGTCGAATAAAAGGCTATCTATTATCGGGCCGAGGATTTTCATTATCAATTATATTAAGAGGCCGTTTTGGAATTTATCGCGCCGTTAAAAGGACGAACGCGTAACAGGTAATCAACTCGTCCCTTTGTTCGCCCTTATTTTTTTTCCTATTTACTCACTTCGCGGCGTGTTCAATATGTCCGGCGACGAAGACATGGTGGTGAATTGCGTGGCGGGCGTGCAATCGCTGGCCGGTTTCAACGTGTACGCCAGCACGTACCTGCTGTCCCCCGTGTTGATCTCCAACAACGAGCCCTGCCTGGACTTTACCTTTTGCTTGGAAGCGTCTGGAACGATATTTTTAGTTTACATAAAACAACGCTTTATGATAGTTCGGGAAACTCACCGATGTTGATGTGATGAGGACAATGCGCCTCTCCGTTGCACGTTCGTTTCCGCCTCACCGCTATCACTACTATCAGCAGAACGGCCAGGCCCAGCGTTAGGAGGGATCCCGTGAGGATGGCCGCCAGCGGGACCAAACTTACGTTGTTGTTGCCATCTGCAAACGCTCATTGCATTAGAACAACTACTCCAATCGATCCAGTAGATTAATCAGGAATACGATATTTGGAAAAAATAACGGTTATTTTGCAACAGTCGTTACTGCACCTCTATACCAAAAAATCGTTCCCACCTCTATTAAACTTGTCATTAATGTCAATTTTGACAGTTCTAGTTAGTGTACGGACCTATATTTCTAAGGTCTGGAATCTCCCTATGCTTTTATGCATTAGAGAATGTGTCTCGTTATTTGAGGACTTTTTGAGCTTCACTTTTGCGTTTTTGCACCGCACCGTGGCGAACGATCGGAGGACCAAATTATCTCAACCAATCAGCGTCGCGCTACATATAAATCGCGGTTGTGAGAAACGACAGTTCGAGCTGTCAAAACTACAAAAATTATTTTTTTGACATTTCGTCGAGAAAATGGAGAATTAACATTAACCGAAGATACGTGAGGCATGATGTTTACAACAAAATCATCGCTGATTTAGGTATATTGTTATATTTTCTATCTATTTTTAGTTTGAATGTTAATGTTAATTCTAGATAACTCGTACGCAAAAAAACGGGGTCCTTTACAACATCGCCTCCTAGCGGCCGGAACCCTTTTTTATCCTCAAATAACGACACTTTTTCGACCCATGATTCCTGATTGGAAATATGTGTAGGACAGTGGTGTGAAGAATTCAAGATAGTGACGAATTTCGGCGAATTTAAAATTACCAGTGCGTTTTTCGGCGTCGTTGAGCAATATGTCGTCGAGCACGATCCTCTCGCTCTTGCCCTTGGCGTTCTCCGAGTAGACCACGATGCGTATGGACGATTCGGAGGGCAGCAGCGCGTTCAATTCCACCCGGAACACCGGCACCTCGACGTCCGCCATCGACTCGTTGTACTTGAGCCGCATGGTTTGCGCGTCGAAGGCCTCGAGCACGAAGCGCTGCGGCAGCCCGCCGTCGTAGCCGGCCCGGCACTCCACCTCCACCGCCTCCGACGACTGATTACTAACGGTGCGCAGCGTGCAGTTGGTCAAGGCGCTCGGTTTCGACGCCGGCACCACCTGGAATCCACCCATCGTTACCCGACAGTTCAATTTATCTCGACATCTCGAAGTATACCTGGAAGACGCAGGGCTCCGCCTGTCTGCCGATGGCGTTGGTGCCGGTGCAGGTCAGCGTACCGTAGTCCCGTTGCGATTCCATCGTGTACATCAGCTCGCTGACGTTGCCCCTGGTGGTGACGAAGCGGGCCGGCGACACGTCGAAGCTCTCGCCGCTGTTGTTGAACTGCCAGAGGAAGTCGACGTCGTTGGGATCGGCCGACACCGAGCACATCACCTTCAGTATCTCGTCCAAGGAGGCGCCGATGACGGTCACGTCGCCGTCTTTGGCGCACACCGGCGCGACTAAACATTCAAAGAACCCCGAGAGAATGATGAATTCGTTACGCCAAAAGAAGTATAATGGAAGATATTGGGAGAGGCATTGGATGTTCGACAGGAAGAAGAATGGTAAGTAACCAGGGGAAGGATGGGTTTAGATCGTAAAGATGGTCCGAGTGAGGATCTAGGTGAAATTTATAAACTGTAACGACTTACATCTGATTCTTAAATTGACCGGTTCGCTGGCGGTTTCTCCTCGGGCGTTGGCGGCTAGGCATTTGTAGGAGCCTCCCTGCCATCTGGTGACCTTTTGAAGCACCAAACTGTGGGTGCTGATGATGATGCCCGATGACACGTTTTGAGTCACTGCGTTACCCTTTGAAAAAAAAAACAAAGAGATGGTTTATCAAAGAATTCCGGGCTCGATAAAATCATAGGCGATTTTGTCTTCGTGCTTTTTTGTCTTTGGGTTCTTTTGTCTTTGGGTTATTTTGTAGGAACTGTTTTGTCTTGGGTTATAATTCGCCGGGATACCTTAAGGTATAAATGGTCGGTTCGTTCGGTTTAAGCGAATTTTTTAAGTAAGTTTTTATTTTATTATCGAGCCGTTTGCGCCGGTTTTATTTCCGCCGAAAACCGTATTTACCGCTGGAGGTCTTTTAGTTGTTTTATTGGGCGAGCATCTCGCACTGTATTAAAAGCCTTTCAACCGGGAAAGTTATTGAGCAATAGGTAGGTATTACGTTTTCCCGGCGTTCTATCGGGAAAACTGGAGATTTTCGATTACCTTTGCGGCGAGAAAATTTATCTAGAGCGTGAAATAGGTCCGAATTTACTTCTTAGAAACCATAACGCGATTACGGCTTCGTTGCGGCTTTTAGCGAAGTAAATTCGTTCGTTAAGCGAATTTGCAGCGGCGATTTTTCAACCTCGTTGCATATAAGAAAAAAAAAACGGAATATTTAACGAAATATTTCCCCCATCGAATCGAACGATTTACCCGCGCACGAAGAGCCGAAAATGAATACGGTGTTAAATGGAAGCTCTCGCGGAATTAAATCAATCAGACTGTGATTAGTCTTCTAAGAACTTTATCCATAAGGAGTTAAGTCGGTCCCCGGGGGGATTCCCACACACACTCCCGCCCCCCGGAACGAAGTTACGACAGTTCGGCCGACGTTCGTTTCCTTTTCTCCGCCGATATAGAAAGTTACTTTACTATTCTGCGCGCTCTTATATGACTACTAACTGGAAACTTTAATTGAGGTGCTAAAGTTTTATGCTCGACGGAGTTTTCGCAATGTTTTAGACCGTACGCACGGCAACTGAAACAAAGCGTTTAACGGGGGATTAGGAACGGCTGTTCGGTGGATTTTAACGGAGATTATATTGTCCGACGGTTATCGTTTAATTTAATTTAATAACGATTTAAAAATACACGGTGTTAATTAATGTTGTGTAATTATTTCATTGGGTTTTGAGTCGAGAAGTTTATATAAAGGTATTCAAAAGGGTTGGTTTTCGATATGCAGGGTTGTAAATGTTTTATAACAGTAGCATCATCCCCTCTTAATTCTAAGGGGTTGAAACACACCTATGAATGAGGCTATGCTCAGTTACAATGCGAAGTTTGGGGATAAATCTACCCCTTTCAGAGTGTCATAAGAAATTGATTTTTTTATTATACAAGCTTTTTCTTATAGCTTCGTGTTTTTTCATGGATTCTACCAAGTAGCATCTTTCCTACTCAATTCTGAGGGGTTGAAACACACCTTTGAATGAGGCTTTGTTTAACAATGCGAATTTTGGGGGATAATTCGACCCCTTTTAGGGTGTTTTAGAAAACTGTTTATTACTATTAGTATTCATTAGTGTCAAAGAAAGACATCAAGAGATGCTTCTCAGAAAAAAATCAGTTCCTTACCACATCCCAAAGGGGTCAAATTTACCCCCAAAAAGCGGTTTTGAACATGGTCTTATTCGAAGGGATGTTTCGCCCTCTTAGAGTTGAATAGTGATGATGCTACTTAGTGGAGGTTAAGCCAAGACATGAAGCTATGCTTACTAAAAATTTCACGTCTCTAGCTACACCATAGCCCATTTAACGAATTTTTCATTATCGGAGTTCCATTTTTTTTCTGTTTAGTAGATAAAGCGAAATAAAAATGTGCAGAGAACGCCCGCGGTAAAGAACATAGATTTTTATTAATACCATCGACTATCCGTCGGGGAGTTTGGGAGCACATTGCGGAATACAAGTAACCCGTGACGGAAAAAACGGAGTCGCCCGGACGAATTTAATAGGTGGACACCGATAATTCACGGCCCCTGAGAGGAGCGAACCGCATCTCCCGCGGGAGACGTATCTTTCGCGGCGTAGCGAGGCTACTTTTTTTTTAAAGCTTTCAAGTGCCATAACTCGCGTTTAACCGTATCTGCCGGAGATATCCGCCTATTCGGGGCGAGTTTATAGCGCCCCGAAAGGACGGAACTTATGAGCGATAATTGAACATTTTTTTACGATCTGCAAAGAAAAGAAGGAATCGCCGGCTTATCGGCGGCCGTGAATGGAACTAAAAATTGAAACTTCCGATATGCGGACACAAAAAAAATGTATAAGTTGGGAAATAAAAATGTTACTCACCTCGTGATACCAGAGGATTCGGTGTTCTTTGGGATTCGCTTTGATGCTGCATTCGAAGTAAACGTCGTCTCCTTCTTTTATGTCTTCCGGATTTAAGGTATTTCCCAGATGAAGGACCACTTGCGGAGGATCTGCGAAACGTACATAATTTTACTCTACTCCGCGAGTTTTCGTCGCGCATATACAGTGCATTATAAATTAGAATAATAAATTGGATATCTCAGCTTTAAAGTATAGTCACTATACAATTCATTAGAATTTTTAGAGGGTTCTTGAAGAGATACGAATCTGAAAATTTAGGAGTAAGGTATAGTGAGTTCTTCTAAAATTTATGACGTATTTTGTAAAAGTTATGACATATTATGGCGTAATAAAGGCATCGCAAAGCCATCTAGATAATTCAAAAAGACTCACTCAATGAGACTATAGATTAATAAACAAAATTTTAATTATTTCAACGACAGGATTTGGGTATAGGAAATGCACATATAGATCGAAAGGGCTTAAACATATCCATTGCTCAATGCCTAAAAATAGGGTGCTTTAATTGAAATAATTAAATTATGACCACTTTAAGTTACCAAAGTTAGGTAGAGAATTTTAAATGCCCTGTAAATGAACCATGAAAACCCAGTTTAGTTTCACCTAGTACTGTGACATTATCGATTCCAAATTTCAAACTTCTAGATACTTTATTAACAGAGAAAAAGAACTCTTTAGGAAGTTCTAATGAACTTCTATCTTGAAACACCCTGTATATACATCGAATACATATCGAGAGATTGATTTTTTATCAGCATTTCCATTATTCGATTAGCGTTCCTCGTAAAATTCCCGATCTCCCTGCGAATTTAATTCCTAATAAATAAAGCGCCGGTTCCTCGTTCGGCTCTCTCTTTCAAATTCCTTTTTAATATCCCTCTCAAGATTTCCTAATAGAAGGATAAATCCGGCAAAATGAAGGACTCGTCTTGTTACCAACAAAGTAAGTTTCCGCGTTCCCCGAACGCCCGTTAAATAATTAATTTCTAGCGATTCTCGCGGATCGAACGCCGAGAGTTCGCGCTTTTCCAAAGAGACGCTCTATATACGTTTGTAGCACAGTCGCCCGAAAAGGAAATATGTCTCTCTTATTGCTCGAATTTCACAACCCCAAAACTCCAAGTGTACCCGCACATACTCGTCGAATTGGATGCGCTGTAATTTCCTAAGGTAAACATAATGGCGGCAAATGTATTCTTCGAGCACTTTCTGGGGGATTTTCCGCCATCGGGGGTTCTTATTTGAGGGTTTTCCGATGGTTTCTTCGACATTTTTGCGACGTTTAATTTAAATTTGACAGTTGGTTGACAGTTTGACACAGAGCAGAGAGAGAGTAGAGAACACAAAGTAGAGAATATAGAACAGAAAGTATTGAGCAGAGAATAGAGAACAGAGAGATGACAGTAGAGTCAGATAGTAGATAGCAGAGAGTAAATAGCAGAGAGTAGATAGCAGAGAGTAGAGAGCAGAGAACATAGAGCAGAGAACAGACAGCATAGAGCAGATAGCAGAGAACAGAGAGCATAGAGCAGATAGCAGAGAACAGAGAGCAGTTACATTAGAGAAAGTAGAGATTTAAGAGCAGAGGGCAAAATTTTTGGTGAGGAATTTCGGTACCGGATTAAAATTCAGAGACTGAAGAGAACGAAATGTTATCGTTACGTTACATTGTAACAGTTATTTCGGAACGCAACCTCCTCCGAACCTTTCCAGATCATTACCGACTTTATTAACAATCATAATAGAAGGAAATTTCTCGAAGAAGCATTTCGAAAGATAAGATTTAATTAAAACCCGAAATCGCCGATAGGGATTTTATTCGGTCCTTTCGTATGCATGTAAAACTTATCTCGGCGACACGTAAAACGTACAAAAACGGGAGATTCTGGAGCTCGGGGGGCGGCGGCGGCGGCGGCGGCGGAGGGTAGGTATATATATATAGGTGTATACGAGTGTATGCGGCGCGGAAGCCGCGACACGCCGGGAGGTGGGCGAAATTTAGTGGGACGATTTCAGCAAATATCTGTCAGCGTGGAAGTTATTACTGGGGGTGAAATACAATTCCGCGCATTCTTAATAAGATGAAAATCATTGTAACGGTCGCGGCGGCGAAGAAATAATAAAAAACAGCGATACGGACGGGCTTCATGTAAATGCGGAGGAGATTCGATGCAGGGCCGGATTTACTAGGTTTTTTCTACACCGGTTATACAGGGAATTTTTATACATTGTTATTTCTAGGTGTAATTTGCATTTAAATTTCATTGCAATGAAATCGATATCACCAAATATTTTTATATGCATATTTGACTGTATATCGCTCGGGTAGACCGCTTATTACCAGAGTTAGGGCGGTAGACTACATATGTGAAAGCAGTGGACTGCAAATTTAACCGAAGTTAAAGCATTAGAATACTCATTAAATCGTGTTTAATCAGTGATTAGTCAAGAGTTGGAGCAGTAGATCTCCTATTAGACCAAATTTAGAGTAGTAGACTGCATAGGCAAAATAATGAACAGTGGATCTCATATTAGAGCAAACTTAGAGCAGAGTAGACCGTGTAATAGACCAAATAAGGGGCGGTGAATCTCACATTAGACCAAAGTTAGAGCGGTAGACCGCATTTTAGACAGTCGTCCTAATTTCTATTGAAGCTACTAGATGAATTAATCGGTCGAAATTGTTGCAATAGACCACCAAAAAGAAATGACGTTATAATTAGTAAATTGGCAAATTTAGGGAGTAAATCCGAGCCTGGCGCGGGGGTTGTCGGGCGAAAACGGAGACCTTTTCAACAACATTTGCATATTAATCACATAAACTTTTGTTCCGTGTAAAATATACCTGAAAACCGGTGACAACCTGTATGATATTCCTCGGTTACGCAAATAATAAAAGACTTTCGGGCCATATATTTCGCGGGTCTTGAAACCGTTCTCGGCGAGAGAGAGGCTATTTGTCTTCGAATTCCCCGCGGGCGCCTTAGGAATTAAAGTCGCAAATTTACAAAAAATGTAGACTGGGCGAAATAAAATATATTTTTATTGCAAATAACGTAAATAATGTTCGACGAAATCTACTTACAAACCACGTTGAATTTGAAGGAATCCTCCAGCCCGACGCCCCCCAACTTGGGGTTCTCCCCGACGCACTTAAAAATGCTATTATCATCCTCCGGCACCGGCACGAACGTCAGCGTGGTAATCACAGAAGTATCGTTCTCCTGCGAGATAACCTGAAACCAAACAACCTGGTGCACGTGACTCAAAACGCCTCAAAACCCCCAAACCTTCCCGCGCCGAAACGGCCTGTTGTCCCTGCTCCAGGTGACCGCCGCCTTCGGCCTCGAACCCTCCACCTCGCACTGCACCGATATCTCCTCGTTGGCGATCAGCTGCCTCGGCTTGTTGATGATCTCCACCGACAGCGGCCGCACTGCAACAAAATCCCCTATTACATAAGCTTCTCCCGAGAGGAGAATAACCCGCTCGATAGAGGTGTACTTACGCAGCAATTCGAGCCGGACCGTCTTCTCGGCGGGCATCATCAGCTTGGTGTTGCTCGCCTGGCACTTGTACGTGGAGTTGAGGTGGTCCCTGGTGACGCCGGCGATCCGCAGCTTGTTCACCGTCATGTGGTTGCCGATCTCCTCGACGCGCCCCTCGATCAGGCGCTCGTTCATGAACCAGGAGACCGTCGGCGCCGGCCGACCTGCGGCAATAAAGGACGGTATAAAGGACGAGTTTCGGGACCTTTTTTTCGGAACGGTCGGGAGAGCGAGGTAAAGTTCCGGGGGAAAACGAAGATGGAGATTTGGTGCGGATAAGAGTTCGATGCGGTGGAATTCGATCGGAGTTGTGGATAAGGGTTATTAGGGAGGTTTCTGGAATGATGCGATTCGGGCGTTAAGGAATTTAGGTTTTTGATGTAATAACGTGGAAATCGAGAATAGGGTGGTGTCGAAGGTGTAGAATCAGAGTAGATTCTGAGTAGATTCGTAGAAGAATCAGATTGGATTCAGAGTAAATTTCGAGTAAATAGAGAGGATGCTCAGAGTAGAGTCAGAGTAGAAACTAGAAACAGAGTAGATTCAGCGTAGATTCAGAGTATATTATTTCAGCAAAGATTAAGGCAGATTCAGAGTAGATAGATAGAAGACTCTGAATAGATTCGGAGTAGATAAATGCAGGGTAGATTAAGAGTAGAAACTAGAAACAGAGTAGATTGAGCGTAGATTCAGAGTATAATAATTTAGCATAGATTTAGGGCAAATTCATCACAGCAGTTTCAGAGTAACAATAAGTTCTAAATTTGTTTAGAACTGGATAATTAATGGAGTAGGTACCATTGGAGGTCATTTTAAAAATTCAACCTTCCCTAGGGAAGAAATTTAATTTTGCATGTTCCCGAGCGCGTTCGGCAAAAAGGAAACTCCAATGGCGTTTCTTTTCCAACTTTTCGCAATTCCATCGAGTCGACTTTGGGTATATTTTTCACGGTATTAGAAACTATACGAGGACAGTGGAGATGTAAAAACGTAAAAACTTCGGAGCCATTTTACCCGAGAAAGTAGCGTTCAACAAATTGCATGTTTATAGCGCAGTAACAATACATTTTAGATAAAGTGTTGATACATTGTCGGATTTCGAAACCGAAACGAGTGCACTTTTATTTCGCTCGCATCGAAAGAACGAGGAAACCTTTTAAATGTGACCAGGAATTTGTTAAATTGAAATTCCGTTTTCATGGCCTTTTACTTTGTGCATTATTAAGTGCGATCTCGGGAAAACGGGGCGCGAATATTTCCATCGAGACGTCGGGCGGTATTTCTATAAAAATAAATAATAAATCGCACTTTATCCCGTCGATATAATACGTCGAGATTATCGAATGAGGGAAAAAGCGCCCGGATTTCATTCGGCGAGACAAATTAGAATTCAGAAGAAAACAAAACGGCACTCGAAAGGGGTTCGTGCGCGCTCGCGCTCGGGACAAAAAGAAAACGACAATCCGGGGCAATTTTCTGATAATAGCCGGCAATTTTCCGCAATTATTTATTCCGAATTTCCGCGGAGGAATGTCGTCGGGCTCGGAAACCTGCCCGGAAAAACCGGAATGCGTTAAATCGGTGTATTGTGGATGTTGAAAATACCCAAATGTATACTTTATTCGTATATAATATAGGAAAAATACGTAGATTTTGTAAAAAATATTTTTTTATATTTTTAATAAGATTTTAAGAACAATTTGTACGTTTTAAAAACTTGATAGGGATTTTATTTAAGTGCAGTTGGTAGCAAATGTTAAGAAGTATGTTGGTAAGTCTGATTTGGCTCTTGATTTCGAAGCTTTAACAAGCTTTTAAAAAAAGTTTCTCATATAGTATTCTAGTAACAGTTTTAGATCAATCTGAATACTAAATATTTGATAGGGTTTTTTTCAAATTTAAAGCTTTAGCTTTTTCCTAACTAATTTCGAATAATCTATACACTAATACTATAGTAAAATAAATTGAATTTTTTGACATAATATCTTTATTGCCATTACTGTTAATTTTAACGTTAGCGGGTATAAATAACGTGGGTAATATATTATCTGAAGAGCCAATTAAAAAAGGTCATTACGCGCAAATAAAAGTAAAACTCGGGCATGGTCACTTGGAAAATATTACCTCAAAGAAAAATTTTCCTCTTAGAAAAAGGGCTTTCTTTACGCGAATTTCGAACCGAAGAGAAAAGCATAGGCTTTAATTAAACCAACAACCGTGACACTTTCGAGAATCTCGCGACCCTTTTAATTACAGAAAAGTCGCTTTTGCAAATTTAACTTTACGTTGTACGATATACTTTTATGAAATCTGTCCTTCTATTAAATTGGGTAATTTCCATGGCTTGCTTTCTTTTCCTTCCTCAGTTACCTGCGGTTAATTAAATATTTGAAAACTTTTCATTTACATCGAGAAAAATGCAGCATTTCTAAATTTTTTTTAAAACGCCGTCCGACGACCGGCAAACGTCTGTTAAATTGAATCGCGCGCGATCGGAATCGCACGAAAAAAGAAATATATTTTGACCGAAACCCGGTGAAAAATGGCCATAAAACAGAGCCAGAGAAGCGGCTTTGCGGATGTTCCGCGCGGGCTTATTCACCTGCCCCAAATTGTATGTTTTTCTTTCGTTTCTTTTTACGGCCGAATTTATAGATATCTTCCTATTTAGGTACATCCGGAAAACCGGCAAGCCGTATTTTTTTATAGATTCCATTTTTTTCCCGCTTCCTACACGAATTCGCTCGCAAATAAAAACTTAAATAACCCCAAACATAGCTAAATAAAGTCCAAATTGGTCTAAAACTTTTACTAAAATACCGTAAAATAAGAAAAACGTGTCAATTTAAAGCTTCAAAATCTAGAGCAAAATCAGACTTACCAACATACTTTTTGACGATTACCAACTTCACTTGAAAAAAATCACTATTTCATTTTTAAAATGTCCAAATCGGTCTAAAACTTTTACTAAAATGCTAAGCGAAACTTCCCTACTTAAAAACTTATCTAGAGTTAAAAAAGACCAACAAACTTTTTTACATTTGTTACCAACTTCTCTATAAAAAAAATCCCTGTATCAATTTTTTCAACCTCGTTATTACAACAACAACAACAATATTTCATAGTAATTCTGCATCATCTCGAGTTACTAATAGCTCGTTTTAATTATAATCAAATTATACCAACAACCGGAGTACCAAAATATTATCGTTTGTTTTTCATTATAGTGGGGATTATAAGCTAACATAAATTTAATATTCGAAAACAGGCCGGCGTGTTTGCGCTCCGCAATCAAGCCGAAGTCAAGAATTCTCCCCCGAAATCGATGGGGCCTTCGTTTGCGTGAACGCTATACGTAAATAAAATAATTATTTACACGTTTAATCGCGTCATTAGTAGCGATTAATTAACATATATGTAATGTTTGATAAGCCGGGGATATTCAAAGGATATGGGAATAAATTTACGACACAAAGGGAGCCCCGCAAATATGTTTCTGGCATAGTTAACTGGAGAAATTTGATTGGATTCGGATGCGGTGTTGAGGGAAATTCGCAGATGTAATCATTAGATGAATTAATACAGGAATTTTCTCGATATAGGTAAATAAAAATAGAGCACATTTCTAGTTCAAAATAACTCGAAATTTGGTCGATTTTTGGAAATTTTCGATTCTTTAAAAGTCGTAGAGAAATGTTTCTTCTACTATATGAAACAAGCTACATGTTCCTATCTCGATTAATCTTCGAGATAAATGAGATTACATTCGCCATTCCTTTTTGTACAATTCTTTAACATTTTTTGAGACAACCCGTAGACGAGGCGCTCAAGACGAAATAGGCCAATATATAAAATACACCTTTGCGTATTTGAAACGCGTCGCGCGAAAGCTCTCACTAAAATTGTACATCCCGACGATACGGCGTCCCGGCGTCCCGAACGTTCCCGCGCTTCCCGGGCCTCTCTCGCATGATGGGATTCCGAAATGGCAGTCCGGGGAGCCGCGCCACTCCGCGCTATTATCTGGAAATTGTCTCTCGGATTGTCTTTTCCTTTTTACCTAGTGCTCGAGTACATAAACCCTTTGCGCGAGATGTTGCTTCCTTCCGGGCGCTCGAATTTGTCTCCCTTTAGCGACGGGAGAAAAAATACCGCCCCGTTGGAATTCGATTAATCGGGAATTTAGTTTAATGAAAGCTGCGGAAGGTGCGCTGCTTTTTTCTATACAGTAAACTACCAATGTATTCCACTACGATTAGACTTTTTAAATAGTAATGAACTCACCTCCTCTAACTTCGCAAGTCAATATCAAATCGGCTTTCTCTTCTAAAGGGCCGATGGTTTGATTGACGTCCCTTCCGGAATTATCGTAGATAAGAAGCTGGTGGGGTGGAACTGGAACAGAACAAATAATCGAGTGATGTAATAATAAAATCGCTTCGATTCGGATGTACTTCAAACTAACAGCGCGCCGGGCGTTAATTTATTTTAGCGGTATTAATTCAAATTTAAACGAATCATGACGGGAAAAAGCATAACTTGTCGATGCGAATTAATCGCGTTCAAACAAATACGCTTGCAGTTATCGACGTTAATTTACGTCGCGCCCTTTTATTAAAATATATCGCCTGAGCGATGGCGGATTTTATTGTAAAAAGTAGAGAGAAATTAGCCGATTTGGGGACGCTAAAATTATTGAAAAAAAAACTCTGTAAGCTATCAAAATGTAAGCTTTTCAAATATAAGTTTTCCAAATATAATCTATTAAAATGTTAGCTAATAAAATATAAGCTATCAAAATAAAATATTGCTCACAACAAAGAATAATAAAATAGTTAGATAAAAGGACCGGTAATTGCAAATTTTTCGGCTACGAAAAATAGGTAGAAATACCGTATCTAGTAAACCTAGTACCTGACTCTCTTTCACATACTAGGATAATTACCAATCGGCTTGCATTACAAGATTAATTTATTTTTTGATGAAATGCTTTTTTCTTCTCGCTTCGCGGCATGGAAATTTCGTCCGCTTCGAAAGAAATGCAATTAAAAGTAAATTATGCGAATTAATTAAAACGAATCCGGGTATTAGGACGTTAAACCGAAATAACACACATATTTCAAACTTACTTCATACTTAGATCGATATCTCACGAACGTCTCGTTCGATTTAACCTATTTCCACGTCCAACACAGGCCGAAGAAGGAAATCAATTCATCCGATAATTATTTACTTTATTAATACGTTATTCGCTCGATTATTTCCTCGTAAATAAATAATCAATCGGTAGAATTTATGATGGGCAACTTGTGTTTGTAGAGCTCTTCTTTTAATTAATATTAATCCCCTAAATTGGCTCATTTATTAATTAATTTCAAAGCTATAATTAATTGTATATAACTATAAAGCCTTATAAAGCGTATTTCCGTATAATAAATATTCCTGAGGCATTTATTCATATGAAAAATTTCGAAATTTTTAATGATCGATCGTAGTTAAAATCGATATAATTCGCTTCGAGCGAATTGCGAATTTTTCGCGAAAAAATAACAACCAGACGAGACGTTTTTTAATCGCATTTTTGGGATTTCCCCCGCGCGCGAAAATTCGACGCCTCCTTGAAATATTAATTAAGAAACTGGAAAAGTGACTGGGGCCGGCCATCTGTTTAAAATGTATAAAATGATTAAATTATAATTAAAGTTGAGGCGGAACGTAATGAAATTCTACTTCAGGTTGGCTAAATTCGTTTTCTCGGAGGCGCTACAAAACCGATTCCTTCAGTCGCACTCGAAGCAAAACGCTGAATGACATAATCACAGTTAAAGTTATTAAGCCTAAGTGGATAAGACACCTCCCGACTTCGATGTTAGCATGGAATATGAAGGAAAATATTTACCCTTATCCCATTCCATTAGGGGATTGTAGATTGGAACGACGCGGAGACGTTGTTATTTTTTACAAAAACCCGAAGATAATAAGATTCAAACATAAAATTAATTTACTATAATAACTAGTAGAGAAGCGCCCACTCACTTCACCATTAAATATTACGACTGTTATAGAAAAATATTCTATTGATACTAATTTTCCGGAGTGTTTTGTGATTTTTGAATATCTTCACAATCGATAAATTCGAATGAATAACGAAGGCAATCAATCTATCGAATTGAATAATAGATATATACAGTATACGAGTGCCCGGTTGCACAGACGTAATAAATTATGCAAAAATGACGGTATACTTTCGGTAAATAATCGGTATCAAATCGCATCGTAACAAAGCGACGGTGCGCACGCGATTCCACGACTCCCCGTTCTAAAAAGGCTCGGTTCGAGTATCATAATTTATTTCGAAATTAAATTTACACAAACAGACAAAAGCTCATTTCTCAACTCGGAGATTTATTGCTGTCTATCGCAGTTAAAGAAACTCGCAAGGAACCGGTAAGGTAATTGGAATGTACAGGTGAATTAGAAACGCTTTGTATATCTATGGTCTCCCTTAATTCACGCGAGTTTGCTAATATTTTAATTGAAAAACGTGCAATTTTAACGATTATTTTCACCCGCAAAAAGAAGAAAAATTAATTAAGACGCGCCGGTGCTGGGTGCTAGAGAGTCCTTTTTTGTATATAAAAATGATTAAATTATAATTAAAGTTCCGTGAGAAGTTAATGAAAATTTACTCGGCTACGGTCGAAGCGAAAATAAAGCACCGGAAAAATTACCAGAACACGAAATTGCGGCATTATACCGCGCACAATTGTTCGTAAAAATAACGTAAACGTTATTGTGACGTTCACGTCAATTGTCAATAATCGCTCGATAACCGAAAAATAGTAGTGCGAATTATTGTGACGTATAAGTCACCTGTCAAAAATCGCTGGATAACCGAAAAGCTTTTCATTTATAAAATAAGTAGAATGAAATATTGGCCCTTGAACGCCAACAAAGAAAACTAATTTTTGGTGCAATTGGTACAAGTTTATTGGAAATTTAAAACTTCTCTACAATGCATCTGGTCACGAGTACTCAAACACTCTCTAACTTTTAACACCTTACCACATCTAATTACAATTTTAACGTCTGCAAAAAGCTTATGGACTTTTAGACGATAAAGGAACGATGAATCTCGAAAATTAGTCAAGTGATTATATGTGCAACAATTTCATTGTTCCTTTACCAATAAATGCATTACAAGATAATCCTATTTAAAACTATCACACCAAACTCACATATTTTTCCATTACAAGAACCGAAACATCAATATAACGTTAACGATATTAGACGTACACGTCAAATAATAACGTATCTAACTGAGCTTACCGATAACCGTAAGATTGATGGCGAAGTTCCTGGTGGGAGAGACTTTGAAATCGACTCTACATCTGTACACTCCTTCGTCGTCCAGCTGGACCCCGTCCAACGTGAGCGCAGCCGGCTTGGATACCGTGACAAAGTACGCCCGGGGCCCGAATATTTTCGGATCGGTCCAATGCAGGGCCTTATTGAACGGCCTTCCTCTCACGTCGAAACTGCAAACGAAATTTACCAGATATTAAATCCGCCATTTTTATGTATCATGTCATATGTCAATGTCCTGTCAATTTGAAAGTTTCGCGAAATTTCATTAGGAATTCAATATCATTAGGTCACTAAAGTTCAGAGTTATAACTAAAATTTTTGAGCAAATATGTGCATCTAAGTAGGCATATATGCAAGATATTTTTCTAAAATGTGCTGAAAATATGCTAATATAAGAAGGGTTTTGCATCAATGCATCAAGATCCCACTTTGCTCAATTTTTCATAAAAATTTGAAACTTTTCAATGTCATTCATTCTCTTTGTCGATATTTTTCTAAAAATTGTTCATATTTTATAGAACTTTCACATTTTTCAATCCTTCAATCCGATTTTTCGCTAACATTTGCATCAATTTTTATGAAATTTACACCAATTTGTTCATTTCTGATGAAAATTTCTGATTTTTAAATCCAATTTTGCGCTATTTTTATGAAATTTACACCAATTTTTGATGAAAATTTCACATTTTTCAGTCTCATTTTTCGTTATTTTTAGAAAATTTGAATTAAATTGCTCATTAAAAATTTTATGTTTCTCATTCAGTTACTCGAGCAAGGTGTATAACAAATTTCTACAAAAATTTCTAGTTGATACATCCGCCGTTACTGTCAAAAATCGTAACTGTCAATTTGAAAAATGTCCAATTTGACGTTTGACATTTTGATTTATGACAACTCGGTTACAAATAAGACAAAAAAGGATAGCAAGAAAAATGCCATATCCCTACACTTGTCGATTTCCAACCGAAAATCCCTTTCGACCGGTGAGTTAGCCGGGGGGATCCACACACACATAAACTTTTATTCGGCGAAATTTAGCGAACCGCCGCCATTACGGCGGAGGCTTTTTAATAATATGTAAATCAGGCCTTCTTCTTTACATAACAATCGCTTTAAAATTCCAACAAAACGCTTAAGCTAATAAAGGGAACAATCGCTGGCGTTTCGCTACGTATGTACCGGCTCTGGCTGGCATCACAATAGAGTGACTTGCAACATTAGTTTGCATTTACATTTCGACGGGGAAATTTTCGGGCGGGCAACGAGGCGAGCGCCGCGCCGAGTGTGTTGCCGGCCCGAACAGCCGGAAAAAGATTCGACATGTATGTTTTCGGCGAGAGAGCGACTGTTTCGTATCAAATAAAATTACATTCCGGGCGCCGGGCAGCGGCACAGCAACGTTGTTGTTGTTGTTTCAAGTTTTATTCTAGAATTCGTTGTGTTTGTTAGTGTGTGTGTACATATTTTGTTAGTCCCGTTTTCAGCGAGAATAAATTGCCGTACGGACGGGAAATTTTAATGTTAAAGTCTAAAAGTACTTTCGACGGGAGCTTTTCTGCTACTTTTTAACTTTTAATGATGCAAACTTTATTATACGGTCGTTTATAAGGAACCGTTTCGTTTCGTCACGTATTTTTCGATAAATAAATACACATTCACGCATGAATATTACGAATTCGTCAATAAAATACAATTAGATTTGCACCTAATATGTAGGCAACCCAATATGCAGTAGAATTCCATTCGATACTTCGATAATTTGAGGAAAAAATATTGATATTTAAAGATAAAATACAGATTCATTCTTGCACCTAATGTTGCATACAGTACAATTCCAGTAATTCCATAATTGAAGAGCAAAAAAATTCTACAAGCCACCCTCATTAAACACACCTTCAAACCATCTTATTTATTTAGGTATGGAATTCACGTGTGGAGGAATATAATTCGAGAGAAAAGTATATATTCCGGGGTCTGGCGGAGAATGGGGAATTATTAAAAGCGGCTCGTAAAAGTGTGGCGGTCGAAATAAGAGACAACACGGAGATAATGGGTGAAAATTTCCAAAGAGCAATTTTTACGGGAACCTGCGGCGTTGTAAAGCCGCGAGAGGCGGCTAAAAGCGTCGCAGATAAAAGTTAATTTTAATTTTTCCACCTACCTTGTTAGAGCGGACGTAAAAATTTACTATAATAATTGGTATTCTGTAAGAGGCAATTATATGGGACAAGGGGTTGTAAAATTATTTAACGGGACGTTTATTTTGTTTTCTATTAATTTTTAATTTCGGCGCACACGAAATTTCATTAGGAACTCAATATCATTAGGAAACTAAAGTTCAGAGTAATAGCTAAAATTTTTGAGCAAATATGCGCATCTAGGTAGGCATAATATGCAAGATATTTTTCTAAAATGTGCTGAAAATATGCTAATATAAGAAGGGTTTTTCATCAATGCAAAAGGGTAAAAAACTCATCAGTTTCATTTTATTCATCTAGAAGATCCCACTTTGCTCAATTTTTTATGAAAATTTCAAATTTTTCAATGTCATTCATTCCCTTTATCGAAATTTTTATAAAAATTGTTCATATTTTATAGAAATTTCACATTTTTCAATCCTTCAATCCGATTTTTCGCTAAAATTTGCATCAATTTTTATGAAATTTACACCAATTTGTTCATTTCTGACGAAAATTTCTGATTTTTAAATCCCTTTTTGCGCTATTTTTATGAAATTTACACCAATTTGTTCATTTCTGACGAAAATTTCTGATTTTTAAATCCCCTTTTGCGCTATTTTTATGAAATTTACACCAATTTGTTCATTTCTGACGAAAATTTCTGATTTTTAAATCCCATTTTGCGCCATTTTTATGAAATTCACACCAATTTTGCCCATTTTTGATGAACTTTTTTTTCAGCCTTATTTTTCGTTATTTTTAGAAAATTTGTATTAAATTGCTCATTAAAAATTTTATGTTTCTCATTCATTTACTCTCAAGAATACTCATAATATGCAAAAATTCAAAGCATACAAAAAAAACAGTTTCCATATAAACCAATCTTTCTCTAATCATTACCGTCAGTACTTGAAATATTTTCCTATTAACCTACAAAACATCGACTCCCGTCCGGCTCTGTGGAAAATGCAAAACCCGCCACATATAGGTAATAGGTACATAAAAATCGTCCGGGCAATCGATCACCCCATTTCGCACTGACCACGCTACATCGAGCGCGATACAAAAGAGGCTTGTTTACTTGAATTAAAATGTAAATTTGGAAATTGAATGAAACGAACCGGAGCGGATGATTCCTGTCCCCGCAGACGACCGGCAAACGGAATGTAATTCATCAGGTATCCGTCAGACGGCCGGCCATTGATAAGCCCCGGCCGGATTTAAGCAGGGTCGTAATCGTTGGATTTATTGCTAATTCGACGCGATGCCCCGCTCGCCCCCATACACCCCGAGCGCGGACTAATTTTTAGTATAATTCCGCCCTTTGTTGTACTCGCCACAATGGACGGTAAATTGTGAGTAAAATCTAAAAGGGCGAGAGAGAGGAATAATGGAAAGAGAATTGAGTAATTACTCCTGAAAATGAGGTGAATTTGCTCCTATATATTAAATTAATTTCAATGATATTCTCCATTTTCATCAAAACGTTTACCACACTCTTAGGGGAGAGTCGGGTTGGTACTTATTAAATATAAAACTTCTGCAAAAAAATAGTTTGATTAAAGTGTTTATTATTGCACCCAACTCTCCCCTATATTTACCTATATTTAACACACCATTTGATTGCACGCAAGCGATAGCAGTCAACGCATGAAGATTTGTTTGTCTAGCTCGCTATAACATCGCTGGAAAATCCGGAACGGCCGATTTCCACGATTTCCCGCCGCGAAACAATTACCCGACAAGCAATTACCGCGATAATAAGAAACTCGCGAACGCGCGAAAATCCCCCAAAAACCGGAACGCGCCGGCGGCGATCGATCAATCTTATCAATCACTTATACGCCCGCTAATCAATCAAGGGATATAATTATCAGGAGGCGCCATCCATCTAAACAAAATACGTTACACGGCCAGTAACAGGTACCTTTTCCTCGAATCAATCATTTTTTCTCCTCGACCAATTTACGCGCGTCCCTGTGTACAGGGTGGCCAATTAAGATTGCGAGGTACTGTATCTGGGAAACTATGCATCGTAGAGGATTGCGGTAAAAAAAGTTATTACTAAAGCGGCCAAGAGAAAAACCTGGAAAATATTTTCAAGTTTCTTAACTGACCGCTAGGGGGTGTAACTGCAATATTGAAACTAAAAAAGTGATATTTCTATGAATTCCGCTATCTCTAAAAAACACCCTGTATCTTCGAAACGGCTGAGCCGATTTGAACAAACTTGGGCTAGTTGAAAAGAGCTATTCTTGGGTTACAAAAGTTATAATATTTAAAGTTTTGTTAGATTCACGTGTCGCTAGTAGAGCGATTTTTCCGACATTCCGACAGAAATGGTTAATTTTCTCAAAAAAATTAAATGCATTGGTATGATTTTTTTTCCATGAATAATTAGCTAAATAATGCATAAACAAGCTCGCGAAAACCGCATCTCGATATCTTGTTCCTAATATAAAATTTAGGCCAAAGAAAATTTTATACGGAAATTCCTTAAATGTACAGGGCGCTTCGCAAAAATAAATAAAATAGTCATATACATAACGGACGATAAATTCAACGAGGTAAGCAACAATTGATTACAAACTCCCCTTTGAGGGAATATCCCAAGAAAAATCGCCGACATCAAAAGGGCGAGCTGTTAATTAAACTCGTCTGTTGTACGCACAAAGAACAGAACAATTATTAATTCGCCATCGATCGCGAAGAGGCGTAAAAAACGGGCGCTTTTCGCCGGAGAGTGTGTGGAATAGAAGGCGAATCCGGGGATGTAATGCGGCCCCGAAATTAGCAACGGCGAACATCGCTAACGGGAAATATCGTCCTTAAGCGATCGGGATTGAGACGAGCGCCCGGGCGGTTTTGCTTGTTTCGTTTAATTACTTTTAAGGGAAACCGGGCGGGATACGTACCGGATTTATTCATTTTCTTCCCGGCCTCCCCCACCGATGGTGGAATCGAAAACGCGATGCTGAAGCGAAATGATT